ACATTTGCACCGTGGAATACTACTCAGCCATTAAAAAGAGTGAAATTCTATTTGCAATAAAATGGCTCCAACTAGAGACCATTTTACTCAGTGAAATAAGCCAATCCCAAATGGACAAATATCATATGTTCTGATTTAAGGAAACTTTGATGCAAAATACAAAACCAATAGATATATATGTAAATATGTATGCACATATACTCACCTAGAGGAACTGCATAGAGGAAATTAACATACTAGGAAGTAGAGAGAGATTGCAGTATGCATCTCTACTCCTGAATGAAAGAACGACTCCCAATGAAATTATTAAGTATACGCTGACAATACGATGCTGGATTCCCTGTCATTGTCTATGCCTACAAAATCATAAGACGGTTAAGTAGCAGAATGATGATGTGCAAGTTTCTGAAAGACCACACTACTGCAATAATAAGGGGAAAAACAGTTATGGGACGTGGGGAGAGGGAATGTGGAGGATGGGAGGGGAAATCCCTGAGCTTATGGAACTGTATTTTGAGAAATAAGATTACAGTAAGTCTAGGGCAACTTCTCCTCAATACTCTCCCGACGCCCTTCATCCCCATCCTCTGCTGTCCCCCCGACCTTCACAGTGGATGGCTGGCAGTGTCTGCTAATACACTACCCACTGTGATCCATGCTCAGCTTGTCGGCCAAAGTGACCTACACAGACTCAACCATTTCATGTAGCCTTTTTCCACTCAGAACAAAGTTACATATATTATAAACATGAATAACCATAAGAAAAGCTTGGCTTACAGTGGAGACAAAATTCAAGATTACCATAAAATTCAAGTGTGTATATTTAGATTTTTGCCCTTTTGTGACATTTATAAATATTTTCACTCAGAATCCGACAGACTAAACATGAAAACGTTCTACATTTCAAATCCACTATTATTGATGTCATAAGTATGTTTTTTGCACTCACATTTATGTGTATATGCTAAATCGATTTGGCAATTATTTAATAGGATCCTTTAGAAGAAAATGCCTTTTCTCTATAAGGTAGGATTTTTTTCCCAGTACTTATTCTTAGGCAGTTTGTTTTCTTGTAAGGACACTAAACACTTTAACTCTATTGTAATAGTGTGACTGGATAAAGCACGTAGTACGAAAACTCAACACTAAGCACTGTACACAGCTTAAAAGCATACCCACCAGGAAGAACAGCCCCATGTACCTTCTCGATTTAAAAGGATGTGGCTTCGGAGCTGCACACTTAGTGATGTGCTGTCAGAGGAAAGTCAACAGAGCCGAGAACAATAGCTTCAAGGACAAGTGGCTTGCTTTTGTGACAGTGTCCCAGAAGGAAATACAGAAAATGTTAAACATCACTATTGGGAACCGGTAACAAGAACTTCCCTAATCATGCATATATAATAACTGGAAATTATACTTTTAGTTTCACATGAACAAAAGCATATTAAATTCGCTCTAATTTTGCTTCTCTTACCCAACGTGTTTGTAAAAGCCCACCTATTTCTCTTTGTTATTGTCTATGTTCGCTTTGGTGGGTCAGAGCGGAGGACATACTCCTGATGTACAGTGCCACAGGACTTCTTAAGTACGATGGTATCAGCCACAGCTTTGTGCATATTCTTCAAGAAGTTTAAAAACATCTAATCCTAGTTCACTGAGATTTTAATCATGAATGCTGGATTTTGCCAAAATGTCTTAATTTGTAAATGTAATCATCTGATTTTTCTTTAATGTCTTGATTGATGGGTTGGCTTAATTTGTTTTCAAAGTAAGTAAGTAAATCTGACTTGGTTGTGGTTGTAATACTTGCAGCACATTTTATAATTTCATTTGCTGATTTATTTTTTAGGAGTTTTGGACATCTACAGGGAAGCTGAGGGATCTGTGTGAATCCCTTATTGCGTGGGCTTGCACGTAACTTGCCTAGAAATGAGTGTAAAAGGTCACCAAGGTGTAACTTCATCTGTCTCCCATCATCACATTCTCTTTCATCTAGACATCCAGGAATACGAAGGGCTTTCTAAAAGTTCATGAAAATGTCTGCATTTCTAAAAAAAAAGTGCACATTACTTTCCCATGCATTTTGTAAAGCAAAGTTTGATTCGTGCTATTTTTGCTACTTATAGGACTCCTACATTTTTACAGGAGGAGGAGTGAGTTTTCGGGCTATTGCAGTAACTCAGTCAAGTTCACTGAGCTAGCAAATGCTCAACCCGCAGTTTTGACCCAGGTCTCTCCAGTTTCCGGCCTTACAGCTTGGTTCTTTTTCTTTGCTTTTTGAAAGTAACTCTGAAGGTTAGTATAGTAAATTACATCTCTACCATAAAGGCTGGACATCCAAATTGCTCAATAAAACTCAAAACTGAGTTGCAATCTGAAGTTAAAAGGGACCTCACATGATTGTATCAGTCAAAATAAAGGTGCACTAAAAACATTGCATAAACTTGCTTTTCACTGGTGTGCATAAACTGTATAGGAAACTAGAGTTGCATTTCAATCCCCCAAATGCATTATTATGTATTTTCAGATATTCCCAATTCTGAATCCATGCCTTTCAAATAATGCAGGCTCAACCTGCACACACTGCTTAACCCTGTCATGTGTTAGTTATCTGGAATGGTTTCCTAATCCCCTACATAAAGATGGGGAGCACCTCCTGTGACACACAGAATCAGAAATTCATTTTGTGGTTTATTCATCTACAAGACAAACCTGGTACCAAAAGCATCTCTCTCCTTACCAACCTCAGGCCTGTAACAACGCTTTTAATGACCTTGGAGTCTCTCCTTACACAGCAAAATGTGTTATTAGCATGAAAATACACCTTTCTCTGGAACTCTCAGTCATCCAGGAGATGCTGCATGTATTAGGTGGGAGACGCTGTTACACACGCATTTCTGTATGAGAGGAAGCTTGCGAAACGAGCTCGTATTGCCGGGACAGGGCACCGTGTGCAAGTCCTGATTCCAGAAAGTTAATTTCATACTGGAGTTGAGGAATGCCTATTCACTATGAAACAATCTCCTTATCAATTCACTTACAAAGAACCACTTCCAACAGTTTATCACCCTTTAATTTTTAATAATCAGTGGTAACAAGGCCTTGCTGATAGTACTGCTTGGGTAAACATGGTGAAGCCATATCAACAGGTTACACTCCTTCAGATGCAAAGCAGGGTTTTCCAGCATGAGAAAGTTGACTCTTGCAAGGTAAGCAGTGTCGCATGGCCACTTTCTGCCCCCTTTGCTTGTCCTGGGCCGAGACCTCTATAAGCAGAGACCTTGCAGGCAAAGCTGCAAACCAATCTGCCCCGCTCAGGGTGCCAGCCGACTGCACCTTTCCGGTCTGGGGCATCTCTGCTCTGATCTTACAGCCAAGGTGCCAGGAATATCACACATGGCTTGACAAGCTGCAAACACGCAAGTACCTACAGACTTTACAAAGCCACAGTCAGATGGCGTCGTGTACTGCCCTGGCTGGCCACTTTACAAAGCCACAGTCAGATGGCGTCGTGTACTGCCCTGGCTGGCCACTTTACAAAGCCACAGTCAGATGGCGTCGTGTACTGCCCTGGCTGGCCACTTTACAAAGCCGCAGTCAGATGGCGTCGTGTACTGCCCTGGCTGGCCAGCTGGAGAGAATGCAGATAACGCTGTGAAATCTTCCGCTGTAGGATGTTTCCAGATTGCTAGTGAGTCTCCACAAACAGCACCATTTCCTCAATCAGATGCAAAGTCAGATGCTAAGTCACAGGAGTTCTGGGCCCTTCTGGTCTCTGGTACTTCAACACCTGAATATTTACCTTTCGTTTAGAAAAGTCCACATTCTTTGTTGGATTCCGTCAATATATACCTCTGTTTCAAGAATGAGTTGCACTCCAGTTACAACGGTTGACACCTAATAAATGTGGTGCTTGCTGCATTTAGACTCAGAGGTTGTTTCTTGAGATACCCTGCCTGAGCTTCATTTGTACAGACAGCAGAGGAAGACACTTGACTGCACACAGCTGGCAATGAAGTACAACACCAGTCTTCTGCCTTCACGCTGCCAGGTAGAGGCCTGCCTGGGTGCTCAGCACCCCGGGGAGTCAGGGCACCTTTAGGAGCCCCAAGCTAAACGACAGATGGAATTGTTTGTAGCCTGGGCCTCGGCCTTTGACCCTTTGCAAAGTGGGAAAGAGCCTGTTCCCAGAGCCTAGGTGGGTGGTGCCAACAAGTCCACTGAGCGGCCAGCTGGTTGCCGGGGGCACTGTGGGATTAGCTGTCTGGTCTCGACCAGGCTCCTGGCAGCCTCCGGAGTGGCCTCAGAGCCTCAGCAACGCTGGGCTGCATCTGCCCGCGGCCCTGTTGCTGGTGGCTTTCTGTACACAAACATGCCCCCAGGGACTAGGGACACATCCTTTTAAGAGGGGGTTGCATTAAAAAAATTAATTTACTTTTATTTTAAGGCAGATTTATAGAGAGAAGGATAGACAAACATCTTTAGTCTGTTGGTTCACTCCCCAAGGGTCCTCAACAGCCACAGACAAACCAATCTGAAAAAAGAGCTTCTTCTGGGTCTCTCATATAGGTGCAGGGTCTTCCACACAGGTGCAAGTTCTCAAGGCTTTGGGACATTCTCTAATGTTTTCCCAGGTCACAAGCAGGGAGCTGAATGGGAAGTGGAGCAGCTGGGACATGATCCAGTGCCCATAATGAGATCCTGGCTCATTCTGGGCAAGGATTTAGCCACTGAGCCACCACACCGGGCCCAAGATGGCTCCATCTCTGTGGTTAGAGTTCCTGCGTGCCACTTCTGCACCATTTGGGCACTGGTAGTGGGCAGCGTGGTTCCTAGTCCTGTCCATGTCTGCACTGTAACCCACAACTCCAGTCTATTTATCATTGAAAACTCCGCCCCAAGGCAGCCTGCATTAGGTCAAAAGGCCTGTTTTGCTGATGATTAATAACAATTTATCACTATCATCAAGAAAGACTTCCAATGAGTGCACTTATTTTTTGTATACACCATTTATTATAAAGTTATTTTTTGTCTTCACATTCAAGAGCAAACATTACAAAAAATTGTTATGAGAATTAAAAATATGTCATGCCTATCAGACTTCCTCCTGAAGTCCTGGTAATTTTGTATTACAGAAAATATCCCATAAATTTAAATTCAAATATCCTATAAATCCTCAAGAAAAATATTTCTTTGGCACTTTCCTAAAATGCAAATATTCCATACACAAATCAAAGCAAACTTTCAGATGAGCAGGATTACACAGATATGCAAGTAAAACATTACCACCAAGTTGTAAAATGCACAGACATGCTTTTTAAAATGTTTATTTCATTCAAATACAGTGTTGATTTACATATTTTCCACGATTGTCATTGTTTTTAAAAAACCTGCCTATATAATATATATACAAAATAATGAGAGACAAACCAGGAGCAGAAACCTCCATCCCCAATTTGCACTTTTTTCTTGTTAATAATGTAACAAGGCCCAGGTCCCTTTGAAAGTTGGGGCATTTTTCAGGTTTGTGAATTTCATTACTCTTAATATAAAGAAAATTCCAAAATGTCAGTTCTAAGAGTAATAATCTGACTCTTAATCTTATTAATTAGATTAGTTGTCCTATTAATCAGACTGGTAATCTTATCATAGGGAAATGTTTAAAATGATGAATACTGACCAGGACAAAAGGATTTACCAGAAATGTTTTTCTTAAAGCTGAAATGACACTCAAATTATTTTATTAAACAGGGAGTCTGCCTTGATGCTCCTCCTGTGGGAAGATATTTAACCAATGTGGGTATCATTTGGGAGACTAGGTCAGTGTGTGTTTCAACCTATCGCAGCCAAAATCACTTTCTTCTTCAGCAACATGCAGAGTGCTACATAGGACAGTCAAGGACACTTCAAAAAGTTGGTGGGGGGAAAATATCAGAAAAAGTTACATTTATCTGGGAATCAGATATTTAGCCTAGTGGTTGAGCTGCCCGACCTTCCAAACTGGGGTAGTTGGATGACTTCTCAGGTCTAGCCCCTAACTCTTTCCTTTGTAACAACAATCATGGAGCAAAGAAGGCATGGCTCAGGTGGCCTCCCACCATCCATTTGGGGGACCAAGTATCTGGGCCTGGCCCCAGCCGCACCCCAGCTCTCATCACTGCAGACGTTCGGGGAGCATAGATATAAATGGCTATTCTACCTCACTGTGTTTTCACATCTCTGAAAAATATCTGATGCAGAAATGCTTGAACCCATGCATACAAGCAATCTCAAAAATCCACGGGGATACATACTATGGAAAAATATGTATACTTTTAAAAACCTGTCACACTCAAACAAACTTGCCTTTTAATTCCCCGCATACTTTGGGAAGCGTCCTCGCACTTGTCAGGGTTTCTGTGTATGTCATGAAGGGTGTGTAAGGTGATGTGTTCAGAGGAAACGGGAGTAGAAACCAGAGATACACCTGCCGAGAGGGTGCCTTCCCACTGAGAACCTTAGTGAATGAAGCATCCCAGTGCCTTGAGGAAATGAACAGCATACTTACACCAGCCAAGGCTGGAAGTTACATTCTGGTCAGCAGAACCCACTCGTCCCCAGGACAGTGCTTGCCTGATGTTGTCGGAAATCTCGGGTAGCCACCATGCAGCCATGTCTGTCCCACACATCACCAGGAGGATGCTAGGTCATGTTCTTCCATCAGACTTTGGTGACTTCTTTCAGGTACAACCAAGTGCTGTGAGGCGACCTGCTTCATCTGGGAGCAAAGAGAACTGCCATTCCCCCACCAAGGGTTTTATCAGTGCAACTCCACTTGTCTAAGGCAACACATTTAAAAGCAACTGGAGGAAGGATATAGGAAAAACAGCTCTATTTCATTCTACTTTGTAGAATCTTAAGAAAGCAAGCAGGCACCAGTCCTGTCTGAAACCCAGAATTTAAAATAAAATTAGCCTCCATCAAGAAGAGGAAACAGAGCTAACTTTGTAAACTATCCTACGAGTACTGCGAGTATTTCATACATTTCTTTTCATGATTTAACTTACCAAATCAATTAGCATATACAAGACTATATAACACTGGTTTTTTAAATAGTCCCTTAAAACATACTTTCACTAATAACTATTTTTACAAAGATTTAAATAATTAAAAAATCAAAATACTTAAAGGAGTTTGCATAAAAACTGAAATTAAAAGATAATTGACTTTGGCACAAAAAAATTGAAATCCATGCCTTTTTCTTCACCTAACATGTTTCCACGAACTTCCTGGAGACCCCTTGAAAGCACGGATCGCAATTTTCTACAATGACATAAACTTATCTTTTTCCTTCCAGTCTCCACATCCCTTGTGTACACAGACGCTCCTTCCAGGGCGGAATTGCCCTTCTCAGTGTAAACATTTTGAAATCAGTATTTACAGGAGAACCAGAGTTTCTCGTCCTTAGATTCCTTATCTCCCTCTTACTCGACAGATGTTCTTCTCATTTTCTCAGCTAATTCTTTCCTCACTTCAATGTGTTTCTCTAAATTTTGTACTTCGTGCGGAAGATTGGTGTCCCAAATAGACAAGCAAGATTGTATTTCTAGAAGAAAAAAAAGATCACGTTTCAAAAATCCACTGCAAAAAAAGCTGATTAATTTGTACGTTTATATTTAGTTGACTTCAACAAATGTGTATAGCTTGTTTCCTTAAACAGTCATGGAAAATGGGGTAAATCGACAAGATTACTTAGGTGCAAAAGTTTTTGAAATCCATGTACAAAAAGGGTTTTCAAAATGTCCATGGAGAATAGGCGGTATGAAAACAAGTATACGAGGATTTCAAAAAGTTTTCACCAAAATAAATATATAATTGTATTTTTATAAAAACTTTTTGAATTGCCATCATAAATACAGCCATCAATAATATACTAAATTTCTATCACTTACAAAGTGACAAAACAATGGGGAATGCTCATAATACATTATAGAAATGACTAAATTGTAGAAAGAATGTGGTAAGCCAAAGCCTATCACTTGATTTTCTGAAAGGGGAGGAGCTTCCCCAGCACTGGCCACAATTACACCTCTCCTAGAAATAACTAACTTGTAAAGAAAAATGTTCAGATTCAGTTTAAAGTTCAGTTGCTTGTCCTTGTTTAAGGCCTGGTATCCCTACCTCATCTGATGGAACAAATTACCACTGCAACTGAATTCTCCAAGTTTAAATGACATCGTCTATGAAGACATTGTATTGTAAAACTACTGTGTAATGTTAACTTCAAATTCAAACACCCTACAAGTTGTCCTCATTCCTGCCACTGCACCATTTGGCATCCCAGTAAATGCTACTTTTGGGTGACTGCCTACCTTCAGCACTTTTCCGGTTGTATCCCAGGACCAGCATGACATTCTTAAGGCTTCCTTTATCAAAACAAAATACAGAAGCTTTCTGTTAAAAAACATGTAATGAATTTTACTACAAAAAGAAAAACAAAACCACTTGGAACTGAATTTTCAATTTTGTTTTAGCAGATACTTCAAATATATTGAGTAAAAAGTATTCCACAAAGATCACTAGTTGTTTGCTGTTGTTTTTTTTTTTTTTGTAAGAAATCTGGTGATCCATTCCTTACAACAACTTGAAAAAATCTTTTCCTTACATGAATGGCAGAGTTACAGAATAAGGAGGGAGGGGGACAGAGAGAAAAGAGAAAGAAAGAGAGAAGGAAGGAGAGATCGAGGAAAGGAGAGAGGGAGAGAGCTTGGTCTTCCAACATCTGTTCCACTCCTTAAATGGGCTGGGCCAGGATGAAAGCGGGAATAAAGAGCTTTGTGTGAGTCTCCCACACTGATGGCTAGGGTCCAAGCACTTGAACCATCTTCCACCACTTTGCCAGGAACATCAGCAGGGAGCTGGACTGGAAGTGGAATAGCTGGGTCTTGAACTGGCAACCATACGGGATGTCAGCATCTCAACGCAGCTGCTTAACCCACTGCAGATGGCACTTGCTCTGCTGCAATGCTCAATTGCGTGAATTTGAATAAAGCAGCTTAGTATTCCTGATAGACAGATGTAATAACTGTGGTGCTAGAAGGCTCACACCTAGTAAGCACTAGGATGGAGTGTTGATTAGATGCATGTTTGAACTTACTGTCCTTCCAAGTGATTCACTAATTTCAACTTACTGTCCTTCCAAGTGACTCACTAATTTCTTAGACAAATGGTCATTAAACATCTGTGTTCCAAACCCAAGGCTAGAACCTGGGAGTCATGGGGCGGGGGTGTCAACAAAATCACACACAGTCAGCCATCATGGAGTCTGTAAACTAGTGAAAAACCAGAGTGGAAATCAGTCCCCCTGCCCACTACTAATGCACTCCAACTGTGCCCCAAGAGCCCGGGGGTGACTGGACAGCACTGCTGTGACCTCCACCTACTTCTCCGACTATTTGAAAAGCAGAATAATAAAGTAAAACAAAACCTTAAGGGGCTGGCACAGTGACACGGCAATCGAATCCTCCTCCCGCACCACCAGCATCCCATAAGGGCGCCAGTTAGAGTCCAGGCTACTCCACTTCTGATCCAGCTCCCTGCTACAGCCTGGGAGAGCAGTGAGGATGGCTCAAGCCCTTTGGCCCCTGCACCCATGTGTGGGAGACCTGGAAGCTCCTGGCTTCGAATCAGTTCAGCTCTGGCTGTTCTCACCTTTAAGGGAGTGAGTCTGCTGATGGGAAGTCTAGCTCTCATTCTCACCGTAAATCTGCCTTTCAATTAAAAACAAATGCATCTTTTAAAAAAACTTTAAAAAACAGGAAAACTCAAGTAAAAATTCGTAAACAATAAACAAGGTGAAAAATTTGTTTATATGTATATAAACACTAGTTTCTGTGATCAAAAAATGAAATATGCTCAAAATGCCAGGTAATTGTGTTCTTGCCTTAGGTACAAAAGAAAAGCAGCAGGCGATACCCAGAGCGCTGGGTCGCAGCAACCTGCACCACCATGACACGCCCCCCTCCACCAAGATTCACCCCAGTTCTGCGCTTCATCCCAAGACCCTCGAGCTCACTCTGCGAAGAGAAGGCTCACACCGAGCAAACAGGCAGATGTCCAGTCCTAGAAAACAGCAAACCCCACGGAACGGGAAGGCCACTTGCCTAACTGCGCGGTCGTCATGACTCGCACAGAGTCACAGAAGTTGTAGATGATGCGGATCATGCGCCGTGTAGAAAGATCCAGCAGCAGGATGTGGCCGCCGCCGGTGCCTATCCAGAGCGCCGTGTTCTTCTGCAGGCAGAGCGCCTTCACTCGCCCAGAGTACAGCAGTTTGTGCTTCAACTCCTGGTTCACCATCACCACTGCCTCCCTGGAGACACAAAGCAATCATGAAAAAACACTTGTGTAACAATGAAGATAGACCTGCTTCTACATATATGTAAGCACAAGCAACTACTCAGGGACTTCAGAAAGCTCATGAAAAACAAAGTTCATTTTGTTGTAGAAGAATTCCGCAATCTATGCATGTAAGAATTCTTCAAGAAGCATTTGGAAAATGGGGAATGAGATTGAGGTGCCCCAAGTGGACCAGCTACGTGTGAGGCCAGCATTCCACAATGGAGGACCAGTTCACATGCCAGCCATTCTGCTTCTGATCCAGCTGCCTGCTCATGAGAAGGCAGGGGAAGATGGCCCAAGTAGCTGGGCTCCTGCCAGCCAGGGAGCAGGCGTGCGTGGAATCCCAGGTCACTGTGGCCTGGCCCAGCACCGGCTGTTACGGCTACCTGAGGAGTAAGACAGGGAAGGGAAGATTTTGCTTCTTTCTCTCCGTGTCACTGTGTCTTTCACATAATAAATCATAATTTTTAAAGTGAATTATGGGGGGAAAACACAGACTTCAAAATCCTATTGCACCAAAATAAACTTATATTTGAGTTCCACTTTCTGTAAATTCTTTAAGTACTTTAGTGTATAATATTTTAAATTATGAATGCATGGTGCTATTGTGTCACTGGAATTTTGGAGTAATTTTGAAGAATTCCAAAGGCCCACATGACACCACTTGAAGCTTAAATTATCAAAAACAGTAGCTCAACTTCACAAAATTCTGAAACAAGACACTAACTGAATGAAAACTGAATGGCTGTCCAACATAAGAAAAAAATAAGTAGTTCCAAAGGCTTTCCACCATGTTTCCATGTTACAAAAGAAAATGCAGTCACAGCCATTTGTATCTAAATCAGATCATAAATCTGAGTTTTTGTGTGAGCCACTGCACAATCTAATTCATGCCCGAAGCGAGGTGATCCTGAAGAAAAGGAGCCTCTCCAACTCTAACCTTCAGCAAGAAGGAAGGGACCCTTTGACCAAGCAGGACTGCCAGCCATTCAGAACATGGATCTCCTCAGTACCCACAGAAAAACAGACATTCTAGAAGGTAAACTTGGCAACATCCTTTTGTGGACTTCGTAATCTATTACATTCTCCAAGGCACACGGAACCTTCACGCTGAGGTCAAAACTAAACAGAAGTACAAAGTCACTTGACTGATAGGTTTCTGGGCTGCCCTCCCTCCTCCCCAAACCCCTCACCACACACACACACACACACACACACACACACACACACACACACAGGCGCACACACAGGCACGCACAGGCATCAAAGGACGCTGAGTTTGGGATTTGTCTCTCGCCCAATCAGAGGCAGCTCTGTGCAGTCATTCTCTGGCCAGTATCTGCTACCCTGACCTGTAGCACTGAACCTTTGCCCTATTGTCTACATAAGCGTGGAACACTCAACACTGTCACTGCTGTATGCACAGCTGGAACCCAGCCTAGCAGCGAGCGCTGCTTTCCACAAAGCGGAATATTCCAGAAAACATCCTCTGCAACGCCAACAAGAAACCCTACCTACTAGGTCCTTGTTCACTTGCTCTCACCAGATGAAATTTCCTGGTTATCTCAAGTTGGGGCAGACACACACTGACAATTTTGCTTCTGTCTTTGTGGGAGAGGCAGAAAGAAAAATCAAAAGACAGACACACAGTTCCTCCCCAGCCCACCCTGGCCCTGTGAACAGTGAAGACAGCAGCTCTCTCAACAGGAAACAAAGAACCCGGGCGGTACTTTAAGAAGTGCACGCAGTCTATCAGCTCGCACAGTTTTTCCGTTTTCTTATCCCACACTTCCACAACAGGGCTGTTTTTCTTAGCAATGTAGAGAGCCGTGTCCACCGCCACTGCTATGATGTTGGAGTCACCGAAAGCTGCATAAGAAAACCTACAAAGAGACAAGGTGAGGCTCCGTCACTCTACTGACCCATAACAATGACCTCCCATTAGTTCCCCTCACATGGAAAAACTAACAAGATACACAGTGGCACTTTCATGTTCCCTAACCACACTCAGTTGAATATTTACCTCACTTTAACTTTTCTTATCTCTTGCTATTTTATGCTAACTTCTCTCGATAATAAAATAACTTCATGAGTATAAATAATGTTTATTTCTGGCTTTAGTTTTCATGTCAGCCCTATCTCGTTCTTTGTAGAATGGTTACCATGTCTTATCCACCCAAAGGAATGACACGGTAATAGCTTTCACTTCCATGTGGTGCAATAACATCCTTGCTGCCAGGAATATCTGAAAAATTAAGTGCTGGCATTCACTCCTGGAGTTATAAAATATGACATGACCAAATGCATGTTAGCGGTAACACCTTCAAATCCCTAGCATTCACATAAGCCAGTTAATTATCAGGAAAGCAACCAACATCATCTAAACCTAAACACAACAGCAATTGCTGTTTTTCCCCCTTGAACATACAGGAAAACGTCAGCCATCTGCCACTTGGCCAGCCACAGACACGGCACTCTGCATATTCCACATCCAGACTGCCTTCAATGGCAGCTTCTCTTCTACCAGACCTCCACCTCTGCCCTTCTGGCATCATGCTAACGTAGAACTTCTCAAATACAAACTTTCAACTGCTACGAAGCGCTGCTTCTTAAGGACAGGGCTGTCTTTTCTGCCTCATATCTATGGTCCAGGAAAAGGTCCCAAAGGGGTGAGTGTGTGCCATGGCGTGAGCTCCCTGACTGGGACACCCAGATGCCACACTGGAGTTCCTAGATATAATTCCCAAATGGACTTCTCATTCCAGTTTCCTGCCAGTGCACAACTTGGGAGGCAGAAGGGGATGGCTCAAGAACTTGGGTACCTGCCACCTACATGGGAGGTTTGGACTGAGTTTGGGGGCTTGGCTCAGTGCCAGTTATTTAAATATTTATGGTTTTGGGCCCGGTGGTGTGGCCTAGATGCTAAAGTCCTCACCTTGAATGTGCCAGGATCCCATATGGGTGCCAGTTCTAATCCTGGCCACTCCACTTCCCACCCAGCTTCCTGCCTGTGGCCTAGGAAAGCAATTGAGGATGGCTCAAAGCCTTGGGACCCTGCACTCATGTGAGAGACCTGGAAGAGGTTCCTGGTTCCCAGCTTCAGATCGGTGCAGAACCAGCCACTGCAGTCACTTGGGAAGTGAATCATCGGACACAAGATCTTCCTCTCTGTCTCTCCTCCTTTCTGTATATCTGACTTTGTAATAAAAATAAATAAATCTTTAGTAAATAAATAAATAAATATTTAAGGTGAGGACTAGTGAATCAAAGATCTCTCTCTCTTCCTCCCTCTTCAACTAAAAGTGAAACAAAAAAATTAAGAGTGAACACAGATAGGCATGGCTGTGATCCCTTCTCCCGGGAGGTGAAAGGCAGCTTGCTGTCCATGAGAACTGAGACAGTAGTTCTAAAACAGGAGTGGCAAAACAAGAATCTAGCGAGGGACAAGAACAATGACGAAGGGCCTGGCAGACCGTCTGTAGGAGTTTAGACTTCACACAGAAGCAAAGGGATGCCACTTCTGAGCTGCCTGCAGGAACATGGTTCCTGGGGGCTGAGAACTGCACAGACACTGCTATTCACAAGTCAAAGCTAACAATAACCACCACTTAGTGCTTTCCAGGTACTTCCTTGAGATTGTTACATTCCTTACATGAATTCTGCTCTTTCATCTCTCAAACCTTGCTTTGAGACAGAGTATGCACAATCTAAGGAGCAAAGTGCAGATTTGAAAAGTTCTTGCCCAAGTTCACAAAACCAACACACAGAAAGCCAATATTCAAACAATGGTTCATACTCTCACCGTCCTGTGGGGATTTAGAGTGAAGGTCACACTAAAAACCAGCTGATTTGTTTAAAATACAATTGAGAAACTGCAACAACAAAGTGGACTATGTTTGCCTTAGCTGTCTTTCTGTTACTGTAATTGACTATCACTGGCACAGGAAGTGGACTGGAATCCCATGGTGGCACAGGAAGTGGACTAACCCTGTCTGGTCTTGGTTCAGAGTCTCCACGCTCAGAACTACATCTCATTTTAGTTACTTCCCCAAAGCTGTAATCCAAATAACATTCACAAGTGACTTTGGGGATTAAGTCTAACTCATGGGACTTGGTAGATCTATTCATGCTGCAGGAGCTTTATGTTACTTTGTGATTATTTGAGCAACCCTGGTATCTGTGACTTAGAGTTGGTTTCTACATGATTTTCGAATCTAGAAAGTACTTTGTTCATGCACACCATATTCCCTACAATCAATACTTGACGCAAATTAGTCAAAGCTGTAAAATACAGATGTGTGTCTTTCAAATCCATGTTTAACTTGAGATATGATATTTTTTAAAATTTAGACTGATAAAAACTCCTAAGATAACAATGTTTTACACATTTTGTCCCCCAAACTGACAAAGATGTGTAATATTTTACTGCTTCTCTTTCTGAAATTTCTAAATTTCCTATAACAATTATTCCATAAGTGAAATAAAGTAGGCAATTTTAAAGATGTAATTATTCATCAGATTTTAATAATAACACAATTATTAAAAATCAACATCAATAAAATGGCAAATTATAGACAGAGAATAACTTACAATTGATTTGTCTTGGTTTCAATGAGTTTCTGGACGGTGAAATCATGAGACAACGAGAAAATCTTTGTGCCGCATCCTCCCCACACTGTGTTTTTTTCCGTTGAATTCATGGATTCACTCAGACACATCAGTGGGGTGCTCACATTGCCTATGCTGAGTATCTTCAAAGGTGCGGCCCCTTCACACTGGGCCAAAAAGAAGCACAGGACAAGTCAACCATCTGCAGGATGAGACACTATATGACATATACCTGTCAAAATCTACCACAAACATCTTTCAAAGCTATACAAAGATTCATTTAAAGTCATAAACAAAATGTTATCATTATGACAACTCTCCTGTCTTCTGCATGTAAATGTCATCCAAGAAATAATGTGGCGATTGCAGCAGACTTCTCTGCCTCCCTTGAGGTACTAAGCCATTGAGTGCAAAGAGTAGGAAAGGGCAGAAACTCAAAGGATCAGATGGAATCACCCCATGAATGCACAGTTGAAGGCATAAGTATCTTCATCACTAAATGAAATTAGGAAAGCAGGAAAGTGAAATTATTTCTTCCATGTTGAAACATTAGTGCCAGCAAAGAGTTAAAACCTAAGTCGTCGTCATTACTCCCACAGTGTAAGGAATTGCCTTCTGCACTCATGAAGAAATGAGAGTGGCAATCACTCTATTCTTTAGTTTATTCATATAAGATACAGTCCATCAGCATGATTTTTTTCAGAGGAGTTAGCATGCAACACTTTATGAAGTGATAAAAGGATAAACAGAATCTGTGACCCTGGCTTTCCGGGAGCTTATCATCGCACAGGAGGAGACGCATCTCACTGCATCAGGCTCAAAAGAACCTCAGCATTTACCTTCACAGTCTTGTCTTCAAAAATCGCTAGCTTGCCATCAGCAGTTCCCACCAGAAGAAAGTTTTTTTGCCTGCTAAAAGGAAAAAATGTCAAGACTGTAACCAGAAGAATATTTCTATCAATTACAGTGTCTTCAAAGTCCTTCCCTCTCGTCTACACTTCCTTCTCATGTGTGGACCCTGGACCTCCTGCTCCTCAAAATATTGACACTTCTGAAGACTTTCCATCCTACATTTTTTCCTCTGCCCCTCTGAGATTAAATTCTTTTTGCAGGTTCTTTTCAGCTTCAGAATCCAGGAATGCCTCCCTGCCATACCTGGGATCCATCTCTTTGAAAGGCAGGGGCCCCAGCCTCGCAGCTTCTGAGGGTGAAGACAGTGAGCTGCGGGCATACAGGACTCCACTCTCCACCAAGCTCTCCAGGCTTTTCCACCTTCTGTCTCACTGTAATTGAGCTAGCTTCCTCTTCTTTTATGATAACCTTGGATAAAGAGTTCCCTCCCTGTTAACCTGATAAAGTGGAACTCTCCTTTGGTGACAAAGGATTCAAACTCAAAAATTGCCAGTGGGGTTTAAGTCTCAGGTACCAAAGACTGGGGCTTCGCACTTTTCTTACTTTTCCCAGTATTGACTTACAGCAGGGAAGCCTGTGAGACAGAATTCTCTCATCCCTAACCATACAGCAGCTGACCATTGACTGACACCTGAAATTCTGCCACCTCACTAAGCTGCTTTGGGATAAACTCTTGGCATCTGATAAACGCTGAGTCATTCTCACCAATGAATGATTCTGCATTTGTTTGATTCCTTTCCAGTCATGCTGTTAGAAAACTGATATGCTCAAACTTGACACATAAACAGCCATTGATTAGGTAGACAGACAGATACGCAAAGAAATCTTTGAAAAGGCCCTACTACTGTATATTAAAGTGAGAAAAAGAGAGCGAAACAAAAGCAGCAGCAGGCCTGGTGGGCTTAGACAAATGGCTGACATACCTGATCACTGTGTGATTTCACAATTCCATTTAATATAGACAAACCAATAGCAATAGGTTTAATAGGATCAGTTCTGCCTGGAGTTTGCATGAAACTAACACATCTCCCGAGAGTCAAACGCACTACTCTACCTTTGCTTAGGGAAGGCATTGCAGTACAAGCAGGTGACAGAGTCTGTCATCTTCTCCAGGTTGTGTCTCCTCCTCCCATCCTCCGTGCTGATGGCCAGAAGGGTCCCAGACTGAGTTCCACACACAATCCAGCTTTCCTTTTCAACAGGAAGGTAGACCAAGGCCAAGCACAAGACTCTACTGTCAGTAACTTCCTGTGAAGAGAAGGAAATCCGAGCTGAAGGCTTGGGTGTACACAGAACCTAGACTGCGTACTCAAAAGAGCTTGGCAGGAGTCGGGATGAGGGCCAGTGCCACAGCACAGCAGGTAAAGCTGCCATCTGCAGCACCAGCAAACAAATGAGCACCGGTTCAAGTCACTGCTGCCCTACTTCCTGTCTAGATGCTTGCAATGCACCTTGGAATGCAGCAGGAGATGGTCTGAGCCCTTGGGCCTCTTTGCTCACGATTCTGAACTTGGGTCAACCCAGCTGTGGCCACTGGGGTCACTTGTACGGTGAATAGCAAATGGAAAATTCTCATGGTTTCTTTCCTCCCCTCTCTCCATATTTCTGTAACTCTACATTTAAAATAACTTGTTATTTTTTTTAAGTTAGCAGAAAATTCAATGGGAAAATGCGTATTTCAGTGGAAAAAGGTGTGGAAAGCATGATTGTTTTTTCAACACATATATTTCCATGAACTATTTTTGAAGCCCATTCATACCAGGTTTCAAGGCTTTTGTGCTTGGAAATGAGCTTTCTGTTCTATTTTCCCTGAATTTCCCAAAGCTCCTTCTTAGACGAAATTAGAACATTTGGTTAACAACATACTATTTAAAATAGCTTCAACTTCATTAACAATAGATGGGATAACCAGGAATTGTGTTGCGTATCTAGAATTAAAAGGGTGAAAACTACTTTCCACATCAACTCTCATGAAGACCACAAGAGGACTACTGACCTTTGTGAGCAACACTGGCACGTGTTCATGCCATGACAGCTGAAGCAGCATGCTTCTGGCTTAGTCTGGACATGCACATGCACTGTCATTACAGGTTCCTGAGGTGTTGAGGTGACTCGGAGGAACTGTCCTGATCTAGCGTCCTCTCACAGAGCTGTGCCCTTAGCCATGGCTGTCCTGGGTGCGGGAGACTGAGCTGCCCACAGGGCCATGAAGCTGACCGCAGCCCACCATGCAACTTGTACGTTGTCCGGTCCTGGGCAATCCAGGCCCTGCAGCTCCTGTGGGCACTGGCAAGGGGTGGCCTTGCCTGGAGACCCCAGCCCACCTGAGCCTCTTTTCCCCCATACACTTTCCTCTCCTTCAGCACCGTGCCAGATTATCCACCTCAGACGCTGTTTCTGGGGACCCTGACAGAGGACACACACACACACACACACACGATGAAACAAGGCAACAAAGGCATGGCCCAAGTTCCTATGACACCCTCTGCTTTCACGGCAAGTCCACCTAGGAACACCTTCACTGGCTGCTCAGTTCGCCACAGAGCAGAGGGTGGGGGCTCCTAAAGGCCTCCTAACCACAGGGGTGTTGTCTTTACCTCCGTTGTGTGTCCTTCCGTGTTCAAGTCGAGAAACGAGAGCTGTCCCCTGTCAGTGTGGCTGCAGCCCAGCCAGATGCTCGCACTTTTGCTGCCGGGGTTTGAAGCCACCAGGCACTCAACAGTCACACTCTTCGGGATCAGAATGTGTCTCATCAGACAGATCAGCTCAGCTGAATTCAAAATGTCAAAGACCTGAGGAGGCATGCACAGCACAGATCAGTTACAGACACGGTGGACACCCCCTCCAGCCAACGCCAGCTGGCCCTGAGCACCTGACCAGAAGCAGTGACGTTTACATGACGCACGCCACACACTCTCTGTGTATGCCTGTTTCACTTTCTGCTTGGAAAGGAAATCCGCCAAGTTCCAATTGCACAGAATTTTAGCAGAGAAGGGAGTTACTGCGTGGTTGCGTGAGTATGCACATGTTTACGACAGCTTTCCCACATTGCGCTACACAGACTTCTTATATATGAAATACATGTGTGTGTGTGTGCATGGAGGTGTGTGCTGTTCTACGGACAACACGAACACAGTTTGACTCGGGATACCTGGGCAGAAGTAGGCCTTTCTTGAGGATTCTCTCTCAAACATTTTTTAATTAACTTCTCAGCCATGGGCCACGGGGTGCAGCCGTACTCCTTAACTGGATCTGAAACGTGAAAGACGTTTACAAATTACACCATGCTACAACACTCAGCCAGCCAGGTCAGTGCTTCATCTCCTCAAAACGCGTGTTAGCGCCTGAGACATCGTAAAGGAATATGTTGATGTGTGAATTTAATTTTGCTAGCTTGTTCTCCACTAGAGATGTAAAAACAAAATATCTTGATCTGAGTATAGAGGGAGACATGAGCACTCACTGGAAAAAAACAACTGATTTTCCGACCACATGTGAACTTATATACACACTGAAACACACTGCTCATATGCTAAACAGCCTTCCATGGAATTAATTCATTTTTTAAAAATTTATTTATTTATTGGAAAGTCAGATATACAGAGAGGAGGAGAGACAGAGAGGTAGATCTTCCATCCAATGATTCACTCTCCAAGTGACCGCAACGGCTGATGCTATGCCGATCCAAAGCCAGGATCCAGGAATTTGGGTGCAGGGTCCCAAAGCTTTGGGCTGTCCTTGACTGCTTTCCCAGGCCACAAGCAGGGAGCTGGATGGGAAGTGGAGCTGCCGGGATTAGAACCAGTGTCCATATGGGATCCCAGTGTGTTCAAGGCGAGGACTTTAGCCTCTAGGCCACGCCGCTGGGCCCGGAAATAATTGTTAACACTCAAAATAGCAAAGTAGCAAAATAGCTATGGAGAGTCAAGGACCAGCAAAATGTAATGTGTGTGTGTGTGTGTGTGTGAGAGAGAGAGAGAGAGAGAGAGACAGAGAGAGAGAGAGGCATGCCATGCTGCTGGGTGCAGAGCAGACACTGGGCAATCACTGGAATGCCAGCTGGCTGAATAGGGACAATGCCTGCCATGTGTAAAGATGATCCCAATAGAAATAAGTGTCCATTCCTAAGTGTTCCCAGAAAGGGGACATCTGAAGCTCCACGTCCCTGCACCGACACACAGTGTACTCCCAGGCATACTTATACACGAAGGGAAATCAGAAAGCAGGAGGGCGTTGAAACCAATGTGAAAGCATATGGTGCAGTGGCAGCCAAGCTGATGGTGAAGGAAGAGTGCCAACGTGCTATGACTTCTTGGGATCACGAGGTGACAACAGACACTGAGGTTTGAGCTCATTCAATACTCATTTACTAATTCTGACCAATATTTACTAGTACAAACTATGATAAAAATTCAAGACATCATCCCTATGCATAAATTATTGCACTCCCAGAAAATGAAAATATTCCAGACTTGCAGAAACATGGCACCTCTTCACAAGAACCAGAGATATCTAAACGTTCATTCCCAAGATATTTCCTTTCTGAACATTCTTCCAAACATGATACCATATTAATTTGATTTTTTAAAAATCCTTAAGCAGCCACTTTTTTCCATGTGATTTTTAATATAGCACAGAAGTTAAGAACATTCATGCACTACACAAAATTCTCAGCTGCAAAATAAATTGAACAACTCAAAGATGAAGCTACTGACATTACAGAGAAGATGGGACTTACCGGGCAGCTTTCCTTGTATTGCTAATTCATCAAACTCATTGGGAAACTTCAAGCCCTCCACTATCCTACCTCCAGCGGTCAGAATGTCATAAAGCAGCAAACCAAATGAATAAACATCAGCCTGTTGGTTATAAATGACATTTCCTCTGGCAACTTCAGGTGCACGAAACCCTAAAAGCAAGCAGAGAAATCAATGAACACACCTCAATCCTGGGGCCGCACACCCAGCAGGCACATGCTGAGGCCTCCTGCCAAGAAAGTCTGCAAAGGTGCGCTTCAAAGCTCGTCCTGCCCTCTCTACAGAAGAGCGGGACCAAGTCAGCCCACAGGCCTGAGAATCCTGTAGGTAACAACCCCTCAGTCAGCAGGATGAGACCTGAGGGTCTATTACAACGGGTGCCATCTTCACTGAGGCTACTGGGAACAATAATGGGGAAATATTTAGTCACAAGTTATTACACAGAGTTTCATGATTAAAGAAACCAAGTCCAATAGAGATAAAGATATAAATCATTTAATTCAATTCTCGTAATAATTATTCCAAGGAGAGTGATTTATAAAGAGGGAGATTTGGGCCAGCATGGTGGTATAAGGAGAAGCCAGCATCCCACACAGAATACTGGTGCAAATTCTTGCTGCTCCACTTTGACTCCAGCTCACTGACAGCGGTCTCAGAAAAGCAGCAAAGATGGCCTGGGTGTCTGGGCCTCTGGCGCCACGTGGCAGACCCTTGTGGGGCCTCTGGCACCATATAGGAGATCCCTGTGAAGCTGCTGGCTTCAGCCAGCCTGGCACTGGCCACCGCAGACTTCCTGGGGTAAACCAGCTGATGGAAGACTGTTTCTTCCCTCTCTTTCTAACTCTGCCTCTCAAAAAAAGAAGAAAAATCAGGAGTTAATTTCAAACTTGACTCCAGTAACTTGTGCCCGTCTATCATTTCAATGCCCTTCTTTTTCCAGCACTTATGACTCTAAAAAAGTCACAAGTGAAAGCTGCCAAACAAGGTTGAAACTAAAATTCTTTTAAAGCAAAATCTCCTTTCAATGCATAATGAAGTGAAGTTATAGGTATAAAAATATGGAGCATAATGACTAATTATTACCTATGTTTAATAACATTGTGTAGGCTCTAAGATTCTATGAAAGGCCTTCAAAAAGTTCATGAAAAAGTATTTTATGAAAAAAATGCGCATGGATTACACAAGTTTTTGGCACTAAAATAAACTTACATCAACTTGTTATGTCATGTCTGAACAGGATTTCGCTTGAAGCACTACAAAGTCTAAGTCATCAATTTAAAAACAGCCACTATCAGAGCAACTTGAAGTCAGTTCAAACTGAAACAAACATGGAACTTACCATGAAGCTTGGCTAGGCAGACTGAGAGCATTCATGCTTTACAAGACGTTTACAAGGACAACACACCAAATAATAGTTTACAAGTGAGGAACTAATTTCAAGAAGAAATGGGACAACGTGAAGTGTGTCAGCCATCCGCTTCAATGTACATGCCCTCCATGAAAATGACCTGTGATTACAGTACAAACAGTAGGTACTGTAGCTCTGGCTTACACAATTTCACAAAAAATTAAATGGCAGCCAACTTCCTGGGCCATTAGGCATCAATATTCTCATACATCAACTGCAGACATGAACAGAGCTTTCAACAGTGAGACAGTGCACTCAAAATCCTAGAGCATTAGTGCCAGGGATTGGAAATGGAGCTCAAACATCCCTTAGCCAGCACAAATCTCAAGACAAGCTATAATCAAAGCTGCGGTCACCAAGACAGTGAATTAGTTCAGTCAAAGCCAAAGTGGACTGATTGAAAGCAAAGATTTTGGGAGTGCTCGAGGAATTCCGCTTGTTGACTTTCTGGAGGGTCAAACGGAGCTGTTCAAAGCTGCACCAGGAACATACTTGGGACACTTGCCCACAGGCTCAGTCTCCACCTGCTCTTTGCACTTGCCAAACAAGGGCACCTTTATTAAAGTCTCCCCAGAACATCTTCAGGCACCCACCTTACAGTACCAACGGGGCTCCTTTCGGCTTCCATTTCCTACCATAAATAGCTTGGAAAGGCCTGCTGCTTTCTTCATCTAATGAGGTAAAAAAGACTGCACCGATGTGGTAGAATTCCTAGGAATCCAGTGCTTGAGGAATACTGGCCTCTCTGCTTATAAAAGCACCCTGAACTTGATGGAGCATATATTGGGAAACACAGTTTATATTTTTAGCTTTTACTTTTCAACTCAGGTTTCTTTTTTGACAAATGTGTTGAAGCACCTTCATATAATATTCACATTACTTATATATTATACCACACAATGTATTACTTATTAAATTACATGAATGACATTTTACCCATAGGTAAAACTATCTGAGAATAGGGGCATTTTCCTGTATAAGCAGCATATTTCTTGAAGATCCTAAGAATTGTGTAGGTATGAAGACAGTTTTAAGATGGGGTGGCTAGCTGGCCTACCTGGTAAGATACTTCCTGGTTCTAGCTCCTAACTCCCCTCTCTGCCAGCGCAGACCCTTATAGGCAACAGGGGTGGGGCTCCTGCCACCCACCCTGGCAGCCAGAGCACCTGCTGCGTCCTAGCTCCGACCTGGCCCAGGCCTAGCCACTGCAGGCACTTGGGGACAAACTGAGACAGGCACTCCCTGCCTATTGCTGTCTCTTCTTCTTGCTAGTCTCAAGTAAACCAAGACATGGACAAGCTGTTAAATGTTGGCTCTCGAGTATTTTACCAGTGTGTCCATGACATAATAATCCACAGCAGCTCCTAAATCTTGGCAGCTTTAGCTTTCTGCAGACACCTCTTAGACACCGTTAATGCACATGGGAACCCGCAGCGGTAGACAATGAGGCTTCCAATGGCAGGATCCTTTCAGAAATGGTAAGTCTTCCTACAGCCGCACAGATAAGGAACGGTGACCACTCACAGGTCCGTGAGCCATCTTAATCTTAACCATGTTAACCTTCTTAGATTTTATTTACTGTTTGCTCACTATATTGGTTACCGATCTTAGTAAGATTACTACAATGCTCAGCCTATCACTTCCTTGGAAATCTTATTATTAGAAACAGAATTAATAATTGGCAGAGCTGAAAGCTGCAAGACTCAGGTCTAATTTGCAGCTGTCCCCCCCTTCCCACCTCCAAGACCTGTGTCCCTAGTGCTCTGGAAGTTGGTTTTCAGGCTGCACAGAAGGTCGAAGGTTCTTCCACAGCAGGTCAGAGGACACTGAGGAGGGTGATTGTAAAGACGCCAGCTGGAATGCTTACTTCAGTATGAAAATGCTTTTAACCTTCCTATCCTGTCTTCCAGAGAAGTCTTCAATGACATGATCCCAGCATGGGAACATGATATTATTTATATATTCAGGAGGAATCTCAATTATAAAACCTTCTCAATTATAAGACTTTGTTGTTGAAGTCCCCCAGTATCTCCTGCTGCTTCCTGATGAACAGCACTCAGCCATTAGTTACTGGAGCAGCTTACGACTTGGTATGTGTTTGGTAAACTGCTTGCAAATGCATGAATAAATGAATGAAAAATACACATGATTTTTCCCCTTGGAGAATCATAACAACCGCAATGTCAAAATAAAGGAGCAACAGGCTCCAAATTGTCAAAGGGTTATTTTTAGAAGTTTTTCATAAATATTAACGTTTTAATCAGGAATGATTCAACAAAGTCCTCCAGGTCAAAAAAAAAAACCATGATACATTTATGAACTAGATTGGAATTTATGTCACTGAATGCAGCAAAAATATGTATGATCTCCTTTTTCCTTTCAGACACACCTGAGTGGAGGATGCTGCATAAAATCCACTGGAGAGCAGCGTGTGGCCAAGCAGGAACGTTCTGTCTCCCCAGAGATGCCTGCCTTGCCAGTGCATCAGAGTCCAGAAGCACAGCCAGAGCACACCTCAGTCACCCACCGCTGTCACCTGTCACGGCGGTCACCCTCACATCCACCTGACCGAGCTAACACCGAAGCTCCCTGAGTGCTGGATGGTCTCTGGCATCGACCCTTCCCAGCACACAGCCTGCGCCCCAGGCTCTCACCAGACCCCACTGGTGCCTGCCTTTGCTCTCAGACACAGTATCTGCAAACCTCACAGTGATTTGCATGGAGCCTTCCCCACGCTGGACTTCCTGATGAGCACGGGAATTCAAAGCTAAGAGGTCAGCAGGCACGCCATTCCTGTTGGGAATGCTGACTCCTGGGACATCCTGAGAAATGGGTAATTGGAAGAAGGGCCTGCTGTTCTTCTCACCACCTCTAGCCCGAAGGCACTGGCTGCAGCACGCACGTGAGCAGGAGGCAGGACTGAAGGCAGGGCTGACACTTGAAGCCAGCCACTCAGACATGGGAGGCAGACATACAAGGGGTGACGCCACACCAAGCACCTGCCGAAGATTCTGGAAAATGTAACTATATCGGAGGTCCTCTCCTGCTTAGGCTCCATGTTACAAAAGCCAGTTGACTTCAGCGTGTGTGTGGAGGGGGTAACAAAATACACCGATAAAAATCACAGTATGAAGTGATTACCTTATGCACAGTGTCTGCCCACACTGTCACAGGCATCATGTTCCTCTTACTTTCCTGGATTCACGCCTAAGGCCACCAGCTGCCCATCGTGGATACAGCCTTATCCAGCAATCCTTGTTCCCACCTAGGTCCACCCTGCACCCCTGCCCCACACTTGACCTGCCCCATGGGTCCATCCTGCACCCCTGTCCCACACCTGGTATGCCCCCCAGGTGTCCACCTATGCCCTTGTTCTCCCTGCCATTCCCTCAGGGTGTCCAACCTCACTCACTTTCCCCACCTGTCATGTCCTCCAAGTGTCCATCCTGTGCCCTTGTCCCCCACCTTGCATGCCCCCAGGTGTCTACCCTGCACCCCTATTCCAGACATGGCCTGCCACTCAGGTATCAAACTGCGCCCTTGTCCCCCACCTGCCATGCCTTGGGGTGTCCAGCCCTCACTCATTTCCCCCACCTGCCGTGTTCCCAGGTGTCCACCCTTTACCCCTGTCTGCCACCTGCCACGGCCCCTCGTTGTCTACCCTGTACCCCTGCTCCACACATGGCCGCCACGCAGGTATCACCCTGTGCCCTTGTCCCCCACCTGGCATGCCCTTCAGGTGTCCATCCTGGAACACCAAGGTCCAGCACCCTTGTCACCCACCTGGCGTGCCCTCAGAGGTCTTGATGCCCATCCTGCAGCAGTACTGGGAGATGCCATAGTCGGCAATCTTGGCAATGACGGCAGCATTGGGGTACAGGGTGAAGAGAAGAACATTGTGTGGCTTCAGGTCCCGGTAGATGATCATGGCCGAGTGCAGGTACCTGCCAGGAAGTGCAAAGGATGCTTACTGCAGTATGGTTACTCACATGACTATCACTTCAGTCACGATATGCTTGAACCCCCAAAAGTTCACAGAAAGTAGAATTAAAATATCAGCTCATTTTGACACAAAGATTTTTAAGCACATGCAATATTTTTCTTAATATGCATTTTTTGTGACCTTTCCAAAGATCCCTCAAATGCATACATTTCTCCCACCCTCAAAGTGACACCAAAATACACGTAGCTTTCAATTCCATTTTCTAAAATTTTTTTTAAAGATGTATTCTATTTTTATTGGAAAGCCAGATATATAGAGAGGAGGAGAGACAGAGAGGAAGATCTCCCATCCAATGATTCACTCCCTAAGTGGCTGCAATGGCGGGAGCTGAGCCAATCCAAAGCCAGGAGCCAGGAGCCTCCTCCAGTTCCCTACAGGGTCCCAAGGCTTTGGGCCATCCTTGACTGCTTTTCAGACCACAAGCAGGGAGCTGGATGGGAGGCAGGGCTGCCGGGATTAGAATTGGTGCCCATATGGGATCCTGGCACATGCAAGGCGAGGACTTTGGGCACTAGGCTACCGCACCGAGCCCGTTCTCAGAAATTTTTGAGGTCCAACTGCTTCATGCAAAGCATCATTTTCAACCAAGCTTGATGCTCTTGGCTAAGAGGTATTTCAGAAGGAAAACAAAACCTACAATTCCAAATACTACAAAGAAAAAGTTGTAGGAAAAGAGTCAACTCTGACAGAATAACATAAAAGATAAGACTGTCTCGGCAAAGCTTGATTTTCCAGCTTGCTCCCTCTGCAGCAACAATTCCTGAGGAGAACTCTGAACTCGTTGGGTGCACGTACGGATATCACAGGTATTTTTTTATTATTATTTAAACTTAGCAGTTTGTAGTATTCAAGCAAGATTTTACAGAACTTCGTGCATTCAAAATAGTCTGGTAACTCTAACAAGCCATGCATTGACAACTGAAGAGCAGAACAGTCTTAGGCGGGTGAGCGGAGAAATCCCCAGTAACTAGCAAGTGAGCAATAACTGAAGTCTACATCCTCCCTAGTGAGGCCTGGGAAAGGCCAGATCCGGAGCCTGACCAGTAAGGTACAGGCTGAGCTGTCATAGGTCAGCTGACTTTTTCCTGTCTGTTCAAAGCTTTCTATATTAGCCTATCTGAGCTAATTTGGAGCTCCTGAGCGACCCTGACTGTCAGTGCAAGAGAGGCTGGGGAGCCAGAGTGGGAGGTCACAGGTATTCCCCACAGGGCTCTGTTATAACTAACTCCTCCTGGTACAGTTTTCGTTTTCTTCAAACTCTGTAAAAGTTTATCTCAGCTTGAAAATTTCTCTCTACATTAGTCATTTGTTCTCATCAGAATGTTTCCTAAAACTGAGAAGATTTTATACTTTTTCAATGATAACATCAGAATATAAGATTTCTTTATTAACGACTAATTAATCTCTTATTCTCTCAGAAGACACGACTTCCTGTAAGCTCGGTTCTCCCACAAAGTTAACAAAGAACACTCAGATCGAGTTAGAGAGAACAACGTCTTATAAAAGATGATAGGGGCTGAGGCCAACGTTGACCTAGGCAGTCCTAAGCAAACTTAGGGCAAACAACAGAATCTCACTACCAGTAATTACACACTGCACACAACCAAGCTAATCCATTCTGGAAACACAGAGAGCTTGTTGGGGCCCAGTGACCACCCCAAGAGTGTGCTCTTTATACGTCTATAAAGCTTGATGTTTCATAACTCAGTCTTCTCTGTCCCTCAACGCCAACTTACTATGGTCTTCCACGGGATTTCACGGTCGTACCAGGCCCACCTTCAAAGAACAGTTCTGCACAGGACTTAAGGGAAGGTCAAGGCCTGTGTGTGTTTGTGGTTTCTGTCGAGGTTCATGTTCCATGGGTAAATATTGACTCCATTACTGAGTCTCAGTCACTGCCATGAGTCAGGGAACACAGCGGGCTTGCCTGAGCCTCTGCCACAGGTGTCCCCTCCACGGAAGTCCCTTCCAGGATGCAGCTAGCACAGCTGACGTCAGGCCCATTCTTTTCAGCATGCATAGTTCTGGCTGGAACCCAAAACGAACGTCCTAATGAAGTTGACCTTAACGCTAAGTAACGGGCTTAAAAGAAACGTTTGCCGAGGGCTTTACCGAGGAGCTGTTAGCCACTCTTCCTGCAGAAGGGAAAAGCACGGAGATGAAGAACAAAACGCTAAGCCCAGACATCACCAACGGCACCCAGAGCCTTCCTACCACATGCCGCTCTCGATGTATTAACAGAACACAGACCCAGAATATTTTCCAAAAGCTAAAAACCTGTTTGAGTATCATCAGTGAGATGTTATCTAGCCTAGTTAAAACGTTCAACTATAGAATTCAATCTTTAGAAAATGTGGTCTTAATAGCTTTTAACACATATGCAAAATAGCTTTTGAAACACCAATAATTACTATTTCTCTCCTTACTGACAATAATTCAGACATCATTTATGTTTTGTTGACTATAAGTATTGTCAAATATTTTATCAAAATAAATTAGTTTATATTCAGTTAAACAGTCATGATTTAAGTGCAATTATCACAAGAATGATTAAGAAATGTCTTCATAATTCAAATGCTATTTCATCTTAAACAGAATTATGCTAACAGTAGCTGCATTCATCCGTCTAACAAGTATGTCTCAGGCACCTGCGAGCACCAGGCCTGGGGCAACACCCAGCCGGCTTTGCAGAGGTCAGGCGCTCAGAGATGGCTGCGGACATGTCAATGGTCAATCCAGAGCAGCACAGGGGACAACAGCAAAGAGGCAATGGCCGCTTCTTCCTCCCCGGCACTCCGCAAGTACAGGGCCACCTGCACCTGCCTCACTGCTGCACCTCACCCGTGCTGCTTCAGGGAGCAGCCGAGCTTCACCGCTGAGACACATGCAAGTCTCCCAAGGGACCCTCTGTGGGAAGTGAGGAGCACAAATGCCAGGACAGAGACACAGATGGACAGGAAGGCCGAGCCCTCACGGGTGTTGGACATGTAACATGGTGTGGTGTCACCCACAGCACAGACAACAGTCTAAGTACCCCAGCACAGGAAGAGTTGGGGTGGAACAGCCAAGTATACCAGTGTCACATGCCCCAGTGTTCTCTACCAGTGCTCCAGATGGATCCACACTGCCCACAAGTAAAACAACTACACACACACACACGCACACACACACGCACGCACATGTTTGGTGAGCCAAGGAGGCGGGCAGGGGGGCAAGAAGCACTGAGAAAGGCTCTCTCCCTGCAGCCAGCAGGTATTCGTGCAGCCCACAGGAGCAGGACTGCGATTTTAGAAAATCTATTAGATAAGTGCCTGGAGGCAGTGAACAAGGCAACAGGAACAGCGTGGAAATACATGTACTGACTGACAGGATGATGCAGGGCTGGGGCTGGGGTTCAGTTGGTTAAGCCACCACCTGTGACTCCCAACCACGCCACTTAACTTTCTAAAAAAATATGCATTTAATTTTTTAATAGGGAAGGCAGAAAGAGCCGAGCCGATTGGAAGCCAGGGGCATCTTCCTGGTCTTCCATGTAGGTGCAGGGTCCCAAAGCTCTGGGCCATCTTCTGCTGCTTTCCCAGGCCACAAGCTGGGAGCTGGATGGGAAGTGGAGCGGCTCGGACACGAACCGGCATGCTGGTGCATGCAAGGTGAGGATTTAACTGCTGAGCCATCACGCAAGGTCCACAAGCACTCCGCTTGTGACAAGCTCCCTGCCACGGCACCTGGGAGGTAGCAGAAGATGGGTTCCAGGCTCCTGGCTTCAGGAGAGCAACGAACCACTCACACATCAATCCTGCTCATCTCTCTCTTCTCCCCACCCAACTCTGCCTTTCAAGTAAATAAGCACATCTTTGTTTGTTTTGTAAAGATCTCGGAAGGAGGGATCATGTGAAATGCCCCTGTGCATCATGCTGACCCAGCATCCCTTGCAGGACCCCAGGCCTGTTGCCCTCCTGCCTTTATCTACTTCTGTACAACAACCCATCTGGGAAAAGAAATCTTCATGTTCAGTTCTGAAAGTATCCTTAACATTGGCAGGAGACCGAGCTAAAGCAACTCACCCTGCTCTGTGTCCCTAGAGCTCTAAGGTGCTCCACCACTGAGCAAAAGGCAGCTGACCAAACTGGCTTCCAGGAGCCAAAGTAAGTTATTTCACAGGTGAGGCTTTCCAAACAGTGTTGTACAAAAATCAGCAATTCATTAACCTATAAATGAACACTTTAGGGAAGATGGGGAGGAAGGCGGGAAAGCTGAGACCTGGAGACGGTTAAGCTAAGGAAAATGACTCAAAAACACAGCAGACCAGGTTCCACTTTCCGGAGTTAAACCTGATGCGGAGTCCCTCTGGTGGTCAGAATCAGCAAAGCAACCAACCTAAACCACTGCATCCGGCTTCATTTCCTAACCCGCACAGATTCAGTAGTTCCCAGGCTCCTGACTTTACAACATGAAGTATTAGTCGCCACTTACACACAACCATGCGAGATCAGAACCATACAGTCACAGCTCTTAAGTGTGTTGCGCAGGAATTCATTCTGTCCTTCCTGCTGCCAAGAGTACAGCCACATGGCCTGCCCCAGGCTCTACCCAGTGCTGCCCGCTGGGCAGGGTACATCAGGGAGGCCATGAGGAAGAACCCTTGCATCCACCTCAGAAGGCTGAGCAGATGCTTGCCCATTTCGTCCTCTGACCTGTACTTTCAGAGGTCACAGGTCAGTTACCGAGGTAAGACCACACGCTCCGGGCTGACCCATTCAAAGGTAGTATCCGCCCAATACTGTTTGGCAAAGGTCACTGGGATCCCATGGGACTGCCTACCAGGGAGTTTGGTCACTTTGGCGAGAAACCCAGACACAGCACTCAGTTACCTCAAGCCGTCGGCCACGTGGAGGGCGATCCGATGCTGCAGCGTCCTGGTGAGGCTGGCCTTGTCCTGCTGTAGCAGCCGATCCAAGGAGCCCTTGGGAGCCAACTCCATCACCAGCATGCGAGGGCGGATGCCAGCCGCCAGCAGTGAGACCAGGCTGGGGTGGTGCAGGTGGCAGAGCACCACCAGCTCCTGCAAAAGCCCAGAACTGTCAGTCATGGCCCGCTCCTTCTGCAGGTGCACCGGCACGGAGACCCAGAGCTCCCAGGCTGACTGGATGGCAGCAAACTTTCCAGAGCTGCCTTGGGCTTTTTGATGCTTTCCAAGTTTTCAGAGACAAACAGCTACTTTACAACTATTGCTTAAACTGAGTGTTTTCATTTGGATTCCGCTGGCCCTGCTTTCACCAAGGTACTTACTGATCTCCAACCAAGAAGAAGCCATGGAAACTAGGAGATCATGGGGACAACCACGGAAGTGAGAACAAGCCAAGCAGCCCGGGGACACAGGTCACAGTGTGCAGGAGGGAGCCCTCACAAGGCAGGAGACTCCACCCCACAACTGTGAGGTTAACGGAGGAACCCCTGAAGACAGGGCAGAAGCAGGCATTTCCTCTTGAGATGCAGAAAAATAATCAGAAGTCCCTAAGGCAACATTTAAGAGTCGCGATATAATTGAGACTCAAATTAAAGCCCTGTTTTTACAAGCTGCTGATAGACATGTGGCAATAGAGAACTCCAACTGACTTCAGTATCTGGAATATTCCTAATCATGTAGGGGAAAAAGGTTAGTGGGAAAAGGTTTTATTTCCTTATTGAAAACTGAATACTTCATCTCTGTACAAATAATCAATTCTAACTGGCATTTACTGGCTTTTGCTGTTAGAAACAAACTGTTGACCAAATGCGAAGGATTTCATTGTGATTAGAGAATATAAAAGTTGCATGAGAACAGCAGAAGCAATACAGAACTTAATGAAGTTGGTGGGAAGGGAACAAGACAGAATACTGAAAACCTTCCCGTCACACCCAGCCAGAAGTCAGCACCTGCTCATACAAAAGAATATTGAAAATGTAAGTTTCATGCGTTCTTTCAACTCAGGTAGCCGCATTGTGTTGTAAAATAGAGAGCTGTTGCCTGTGACACGGGCATCCCATGTGGGTATCAGTCAAGTCCCAGTTGTCCCAATATCAACCCATATTCCTGCTAAAGGAACACAGTGAAAGATGACCCGAGTGCTTGGGCCCCCACACCCACGTGGGAGCCCTAGAGGAGGCTTCCAACACCCCCATTTAGTCTGGCCACATCCTGGCCACTGTGGACATTAATGGAGTAAACCAGCAGATAAACATCTTTCTCTCCCACTCCCTCTGTAACTTTGCCTTTCCAGTGAACAAGAAAGAAATCTTAGGGAAAATTTTACTTGAAAATGCTACTATATTAGGAAAAGTTAAAAAGCCAAATGACTGACTGTGGGGAGATAAACGTAAGAGAAAGCTTCAGTGTATCATCTTCCCCATCTCTTATAGCAGAAAGCCAGAGGAACTTTTCTAAGTAGACAAACCCAGAAAACAGAAAACAAGCATCTCAGTAAGTGTGTTGCTTCTGACTTCTGACCTCTAATCCAAGCAGCGATGTGAGGTCTCACTTCCCATCGCTCCTCCTACCATTCTGAACACTCAGAAGCCACTCATCTGGGGCCAGTGTTGTGGTGTAGCAAGTAAAGCCTTGGCCTGAAATGTTGGTATCCCATGTGGGCACTGATTCAAGTCCCAGCTGCTCCACATTCCAGCCAGCTTCTTGCTAATGTTCCTAGTAACACAGTGGAGGACGGCCCCAGTGCTCAGGGCCCTGTGACCCACAGAGGACAATCCCAGTGCCCGGGGCCCCTGACCCGCGGAGGACGGCCCCCACTGCTCCGGGCCCCTGACCCACAGAGGACGGCCCCCAGTGCTCGGGGCCCCTGACCCACGGAGGACGGCCCCAGTGCCCGGGGCCCCTGACCCACAGAGGACAGTCCCAGTGCCCGGGGCTCCTGACCCACGGAGGACAGTCCCAGTGCCTGGGGCCGGTGACCCACAGAGGACGGCCCCAGTGCTTGGGGCCCCCCGACCCATGGAGAACAGTCCCAGTGCTCGGGGACCCCCGACCTACAGAGGACGGCCCCCAGTGGTCGGGGCGCCTGACCCACAGAGGACAGCCCCAGTGCCCGGGGCCCCCCGACCCACGGAGGCCGGCTCCCAGTGCTCGGAGCCCCCCGACCCATGGAGTTTGGGCAATGAACCAGTGCATGGAAGAGCTCTATCTCTTGTACTTTCTGTAACTCTGCCCTTTTAAAGAAACAAGAAAATCTAATAATAATAACAATATCATTTTTCTCAGAAAAGAGGGCACACTTAATGCAAAGACAATCGATGCTTTCCACGCAACAGAAGTCCAGGTACCATGTCTAAACTGGGACCCAGTGGCAGGAATTTGCTCGGCCTCAGCTGCTGCAGAGACCAACGCAGCTCCAAATCTGACTGACAGGAAGTAAATACAGAAGCCTCCCATCCTGCATTTCTGACACTGTGGGGTGTGCCCTGGCTGCTGGCAAGCGTTCCTGCCAAGAGGGAGCTGGTGGCTTTCCATACTTGTCACGTCACACATAAGGCTCACAGTGACAGGGCTCAACACTGTCCAACAAGAAAAGCAGCACACAGAGAAGACAAAGCCAGCTTCCTAAGGAAATGCAGGCGCACCGCAAGTTTGCACGGCCTGGGCTGAGGGCAGTCTGTCCTCGGGACACGCACCTGTCTCAGCAGCCGGAGCGACGTGTGCTTGTTGAAAATCTTCACCGCCACTTCTTCTCCCTCGTAGGCCGCCCGGTACACGGATCCGAAACTGCCATCGCCTAGAAGAGACAGAGCTGTGAGGCGAGGCAGGCCCAGCAGAGGGCGCAGTGAATGGCGCCCGCTGGAATCTTCCTACCCACTGAGATCCACCTGCTCCATGCACTCCAGGCTGCTCTCCTGCCTTGCCACTCTCCCAGGACCAAGTCATCAGCACTGGCATGTCTGCATGCGGGGTGGTCTCACCCACGGCCTGAAGCCCTCTCCTGCACACCACCCGACAGCACTCCCTGCTTTGTGCTTCCACTCTCAATCTAAGCCACACTCCTTCCACATCCCGGAAAGCTGATACACACAACTGACAGTCTTCTATGTCACTCCAAGTTGAAGATGATGTGACTCACTCCAGAGACCCACAAACAACTGATGTCCACCCTCTGGGCCCAACGCAGTCCAGACCTCCTCCCATTGCCACAGCCACCTCATCCACTCTGCGTACACATGGGGACCCCCTGGGCTCGTTACCTGTAACTCATTTTCTCCTGTAAAACAAGTCCCCCTGATTCCAATGTAAGACAGCTTTCCTGCCCAGAAACTAATGATCCCACAATGCCTGCCAACCGAAGCCACGCTTGCCCTGTGGCCCTGAATTCCATTTCTAGTTGTCTTGCTCATTCTATTTGTTCAGGAGCAGAAGCTTTCCTCCTGGCCTGGTTGATTAATGTATCTCAGCAGCGTTTTAAAACACCAAGGGACGTGCAGGTGTTTGGCCCAGTAGCTCAGACACTGCCTAGCATGTGCATACTCCTTATCACAGTGCCCAAGTCCAAGTGCCAGCTCAGACACTGCCTAGCATGTTCACACTGCTCATCCGGCGCCCGGTTCAGGTGCCTGGGATGTTCATACTCCCTGCCCCGGGTCTGGGTTCAAGCACCAGCCCAAGATCCCAGCATTCTGCTAACACTCTTCCTGGACGGCAGCAAGCGGTGGTTCAAGTGACCGCACGTCTGTCACCCACAGAGGAGACGTGCAGGGAACTGCCCAAGCCCAGCCCCAACCACTATGGCACCTGGAAAACAAATTAGTGGACGGAAGATCTTTCCCCTTCCGTCTCTATATTGAACTATTCACCTATTCACTTATCAAAAAAAAAAAAACTTTCAACATGTTTATAATCTAGTAGAAAAACTCTTTCAAAAAAGAAAAAAAAAACAAACATGTGAGCATTGTGACAGAGCAAACTGAGCTGCCACCTACAACGCTGGCATATCATACCAGAGCAGTGGTTCGAGTCTTGGCTATTAGTCTTCTATCCCAGCTCCTTGCTAATGTGTCTGAGAAAGACGCAAGAAATGGCCTAAGTACTCCAGCTCCTGGCACCCATGTAGCAGACTGAGAAAGTGTTTTGGGCACCTGGCTTGTGCCTGGCCCAGCACAGGCTATTACATCCATTTGGGACATGAACCAGCAGATAAAGTCCCCTACCCCCACCTCCGGTGTCTGTGTGTTCATCAATATCCCCTTAAAATAAGAAAACAAATCTTTTTGAAAATCCTGTGCAGGCTCAGACTATACACAAGTTGGTGGCCATTGGGGTTTTCTTTAACTCCCATGATGACAGTGACAAACAACCAGGGTGAAGAATTGCTCTACATGAACCAGACTAGACACAGCTTTGGGGACAGGCTATGACCTTCAGGGCTTGCCATGCCACCTTCCCAACATCTGAAGAGCTGACTGAGGCCCTGAGGACTAACACACACAGAGGTGACCACAATCAACCTCACAGTGGTCACTCTGCTATGACGCAAGTCAAATCTGCGTATACAATAGGTTCTAACATGGTGTCTGGGGGGTGTTGCGAGACGCATTAGAGTAATGAACCAAGAAGAGTCTACAAGGAAATGCAGAATGTTAAAATTTGTTGCTTCTAAATGGGAAGCATCTGTCCTCATACTTTTGTTTTTCAAAAATGTCTTCATTTTTATTGCATAGGCAGATCAGATTTATAGAGAAGTATCTTCCATCCACAAATGGCCACACAACTGGAGCAGAACCAATCCAAAGCCAGGACTTTCTTCCAGGTCTCCCACTTGGGTGCAGGATCCCAAGGCTTTGGGCCAACATGTAATACTTTTCCAGGCCATAAGCAAGGAGCTGGACAGGAAGTAGAGCAGTTGGAACATGAACTGGTGTCTATATGGGATCCTGGTGCTTGCTAAGGTGAGGATTTGGCCATTAAGCCACTGTGCCAGGCCCTGTCTTTTTATCTTGAAAACACTCATAATGACCTTAGGTGATCATATGTTATTTTATGCTTAGGCCACTGTCCTAAACAAAAAAACAAAATCATCCTGTGAGTACACTTCGACTACCTCCCTGGTCTGCCTCTCCATGCCTGGCAGCACCATCCAGCACGCCCACAGGAACTCCCACAGTAGTCCTACCCTCACCTCGAACCCAGTCTGAGCATTGCAAATTCTAGAGCTGCAACATGATGTTACTGTAAAAAACAGCAGTTCCAGTAAAACACCAAGGAAGCACTGCACAACAATACCAAGACACCAAACATTTACGAAGCTCGAGAATGATGGTGCACATTTCCGAAATTTCAAGGAGATGAGCTGTGTTCTCGGACCAACACCAACAGGAACTCCTCTTACCTAAGAGGAACTCTGGCGCCTGTTGGAATTCCAGCTCATCGTTATTCAACATAATGTTCCTAGGTAGATCAGCCAGGATCAAGTCGGGGGCAATCTGAGCTATGGGAATGGTGAGTCTGGGTTGGTCAGGATTTACCAGGAGGTCTCCTGAAAAACATACACACGTGATTTCAAAAGAAGAACCCTTTAGGAACATGCATACACTGGCTTCTTTTTTTTTTTCTATTCAAATCATAATCACAGATTTCCTGTCATTTCTTATCATTCCCTTCAGTTTTCTTAACAATATTAGATTGCTTGAGAAAAGCTTAGAGGTTCTCCAGGTATCTGAGTAGAATTCTAGAAACCTGTTCCTAGGCTCATCCACTAGTACTGGGCTCTTGCTCTGCTACTTGTTTTCTGGCAGGGACGTGACCTGTTCTTCACCTGTGCTGCACTCGTGAGGCAGTTATCTTCCAGCAGACACGGCAGGGAGGGCCTCACTGCACTCTCTACTGCAACCCTGCTGAGTTACAACTTCCGTTTCCCTGAAGAGGGCATGCTGCCCCACGAGCCAACATTCGAACCCACAAATCCATGATTTCTGAATACAGGACACAACATCCCATCAAGAATAAACACAAGCACAATCTGTTTTCGGAATTGTGGTATCAAAATCCAACGCAGTCATTTTAGATCCATCCCTCCATTGAAAGAATACATTTGGTGTAATTCAAGCAGTCACTTCACAAACAGCGAAGGGTCACTTTAAGCATGAGTAAGTTGTACCAGAACACACCTTCTTCGGCTTTCTTCATCAAGTCATCCAGCAAGATTCTTTGATGTTCTTCACCATCATTGAAGCTATACAAAGCCCATTTCTTCAGCAGAGTTTCTCCTTCACCACAAATGTCAATCTCCAGCAAGCCAGGAAACCATTCCTCCATGAGAGAATCTATGTGGTCCACGACTTGGCCCAGCAGAATGCAGCCTGGGTAGGGTGCGAAAGGGGTCAGCCTCCTGAATGCCCTCACCCTGCCCCAAAGCAGCAAAGCCCGGGCTTCTGGCCATACCTTTCCTGCATGAAGGCACAGTGATCTGTAAGCAGCTCTCTGGGTGAGAGTCCACGACTTCGGATCCCACGAGGCAGTAAGCTTCCGGAGACCAGTTCAAGTAGATGCCCTGGCGCCAGTACATCCTGTTGGGGCGGAGTGCGCGCTCTGAAAGGGGGTCACATGGATGTGGGGCTCAGTGAGGACTGCACACACCACAGCAGCCTCTGAACATTTGTGTTTGTGTTGAAAGAATCTGGCTTTTCAATGGCATCAATCCTCATCTGTGCCTACTCTCCATCCTCTTACTGTGCAAATGCACTGTAGAATGCCACAGGTAATATTTCTGGTTTATGCTGATATTTAACATGCTTAATAAGGGAGTACAAACAAGCTAATTTTTTTTTAATGTATTGATTTGAAAGGTAGAGACCTGCCTCCAAATAAGAGACATGCAGAGAGAGAGAGAGGGAACCTCCACCAAGCAGCTCATTTGTCAGATGCCCACAAAAGCCAGGGGTTGTCTAGCACTGCCAGGAGGCAGCAGCTCCACCTGGTTCTCCCATGTGCATAGTAAGAGCCTAAGGAGTTGAGCCATCACCCACTACCTGCTCGGCTGCATTAGGAGGGAGCTGGGCTGGAAGCAGAGCAACCAAGCCAGGACTCAAGCTGGTACTCCCTGTGGGATAGTCATGCTGCCAGGGGCAGCTTAACCCACTCTACTGCATCAACTTATCCCATCATTTTTAGAAAAGATGTTTTAATAATCACACTAAAACCAAAAGTTCCTCAGCTTTTAGTGGTGTGTAACTACGTATATGTGAATGCATTCTCAGCAATATAAAGCTTATTTTTCAGAAACCAATACTACTTTCCTAAAGCTGATTTTCACATACAAAAGTGGAATTTTCCCTTTGGTGCACTAAGATGTATCTTTAAAAAAAGAAAGAGAGCTAATTTCACAAAAGTTTTTGTTCATTTTCTGTGAATCACTTAAGGATAATATCACAGAACTGAGAAATTACAGTTCCTACACTTGTGGCCAGAACCTGTTAGGTTTTCTAAGCAAAACTCCCTGACTATGCAGGGACCAGTTTATTTCTGTGTTTCGTTGTTGTTTTCTACAATGATTGTGTAACGGGATGTGTATGTGTAAACCGGGGACTCCAACTAACCCCACCTATTAAAATCACTGTTCACAAGATGTTAATGTTGTTTGGGAGTGTGCCTAAAACACGTGAGGCAGTTAGCTTCCAGCAGACACGGCAGGGAGGGGCTCACTGCACTCTCTGCTTCAACCCTGCTGAGTTAGAACTTCCATTTGCCTGAAGAGGGCATGATGGTGTGTGGGCCCCAGGAAAGCTGTGCCTGACACATCAGAGAAGTCTGAATTTGCACTGGCCAAACGCGGCTGCTGGAGCTCCTCTCCCTCAGTCCGGCGACCTTCCAAAGAAGCAAACTAGGAAAACAGGCACAGTAGATTCAGTACGCTTTGTCCCTGTTTTTCCTAAATATTTTCCTCTAAATACATACCTCTTCCTGAAAGCATGTAAGGTGAAATCTCAAGCAACCGGTTGATTAACCTTGACCAAAATCCCATCGGGAAATAAGGCATTTCATAGAGTCGGATGATGATCTCGGAGTTCTCGCAGTGCGGAAGCTCGATGACTGGCCGGTGGTCAGACAGACTACAGGGAAGAGGACACTACCTTTAGGAAGCTTCACAAGCAGCCAGCCATGTGACCCAGGCGCCTCACAGCTACAAGTCCAGGCAGGCGACCACTGCAAGCATGCCCACGTGCTCTGGAAGAGCCTTCACCCCGTGTTCTGTGTCAAACACTCAACGGATCAGTTTTCAAAACAGATGCACAACTTTGTATCCAAATAAATCACCATAGTTTTTTGTTCTTTATTCATATACAAACAGTGGTATTTCATAAAACTTAAAAAAAATGTTTTGGAAAATAGTATCTAGATTTAGCATGACGGGGCTGCCACCCATCAATGTAATTCCCACCTTTCAATATCAGATCACGTAATCATCTTTCCAAGCTGCTCATAAAGCTTTGAGGAAAACATCTACAACACAGGAGTACAATCTAGAATTCCCCGGTGCTAGCTTGCATTATCTCAAACCTTGCTGAACTTTTCCAATACAGCAAGACTCTAAGCACCGTGTAAGCAGGGACACACACACAAAAAAAATCATCTTTGGCATTTACCCTTAAGTAACTGAAGCAATAATAAACCAACTATTATATAATTAAGAAGCCATTTTCTATGTCTTTGAACTGCCAAACACGCTGCTTTAAGCAAAAAAAAAAAAGAGTAATATATCTATTAGAAACCAATTATATCTGACCATTAAAACAATACAGTGTATCAATACAGTGTGTCATGCTTACAGTATGACAATGGTGAGGTGTACCTTACCTGCTTGGAACCAGCAAATACTCTTCTCCTATTGGCAAGGCAATCTGGAATTTTTCTAGGAGTTTAACATACTGTGTCATGTAGTTCTTTGGAAATCTCCTTTTCTTCGAAAGAAATTTCTCCACGTCTCTACGTGTAATAATTCCCTTAGGATGTTTAGGATAGCCTTCCACTTTCACCGTCAAAATCTGAAGGATTTCAAAACACAAATATCAGTCACTAGCATTCACTTAGTGAAATGTTTCAAATTTAAAGTGACATGATTTGCTAAATTTTTAAAGAAGGTCTTGAAACTAAACAACACTAAACCAGTCAGGTTTTCCTTACCGAATACTGTGCAGGAGCAAACCACATCTGTTATAAAAGTCCACAATATGAAAGTCAAGTCATGAAGTAGCTTCCCTTGTCATTGGTTAGCAAATGTTCAAACCATCATGCATTCACTAACACAATGCACATCACCTTGTCCAGTGCAGGTAATCAGAATAATTTAAGTACAGCATGGGACCTAGCAGCCCTATAGGACTTGAAGCCAAGTAGGACATCCATCCCTCCCCAATTTTTTTAAATTAAGAGCGGGATTTCAGATTCCTCTGAAGCTCAGGACTTCCCTGGCTCTGAGTTACAGATCAGCTCAACATGCCGCACTTGTACTGTGGCCTTGTCTGTAACAGTTCTGTTGGTGCTACAGGTTTGCACAGAGATCACTTCAGGGCTACCTACTAGGCAGCGGTTTCTGTGCAGGGACCAGGACACAGAGTGGAACAGCCAATAAGTCTGCACCTTGCTGGAGCCAGCTCCCACAGTTTGGGTCAGTAATAAGAGTGGGCTGAGGACTAGGAATCCACTGTTGCACAAAGGCACCTGGACAGTTCTAACACAGACTGCAGTAGGAGCTTGGACCACTGTCACAGAACTTCAGACTTCATGACTGTAAAAGGGAGAGTTTTTCTTAGAAGGCTTGGGGTAGGCTTCGGACATGACCCCAAATTCACCCTGTATGTGCTGGCAGGCCTCTTCTCCTTCAGGTACCTGGCCAGTGCCGGGAGGAGAACAAAGTCTGTATATTTTGAGAAAAAGTTAAGACACTGGCACACATCCTCACCCAGCTCCTTGGCCTGGACCCGGGCGAGGTCACACCGCCAGTGAGGTATGTAACTTTGGGCTTTATTAACCTTTGTCTGAATTCGCCTAAAAGTCCCTCAGCCATGCAGTAAGAGAGCCCTCTCTCTCTTTCTTGGGAGGCTGTCATGGTTGCAGACAACGACTGAAACGACCCCATGATGTCGAAGGGGATGATGTGTTGAGTCCTCCCCTTCACTCTGGTGATGTATAGAATGCCTTCTGCTCTTGCATTCTGCTCCGGTGATGTGTGGTATGCTTGAGAACCTTTGCTCTCGCTCCTCTACATTTACTTTTCGCCATTCTTTTGTGCTTGATGTTTATTAAACATTTAACTTTATAGGTACTGGAACAGCTCATGGACGTTTCTCCTCTAACGAATCCGACCCTCAAAACATTAGACCGTGCACGGCTCCAGCCAAAATTATGTTGCTGGGACAATGACTACATTCTGGAGCCATTGCTGTGCTGCAGTGGGGTCAGCCCCTGCCTCTGCCACTGCATCCCCCAGGACTACCGGTTGTAGGGTTGGCTGCGCCCCTGCCAAGCCAATTCCCTACCTGGGAAGGCATCAGAAGATGGCCCAAACTCATGGGACCCACCACTCACACTCACACAGGAGACCTGGTGAAGCTCCTGCCTGGGGCAGCCATTTGGAGGGCACCAGCAGAGGGAAGATCTCTCCATCCCTCCAGTAACTGCCTTCTAAATAAATAAATAAGGAAGAGGGAAAAGTGGAGGAGGGGGCAAAAGGAAGAGGGGCTGGGGGAAAGAGGAGGACTGCAGATGGTTGGGGGACACCCAGGTGGAACCTGACTCGTGGGCCGGGCCTGCGCTGCCACCTGAAGAATGGCACAGCAGCTGGAACCTCTCCCACGGAGATCAAGGTGTAGTCTCCCTCTCCATCAAATGAGATGAAAAAGCAGAATTGGCCATTAATTCATGAAAATCATGGTCTAGGACTCCTCCCGCACTGCGGACTCTACGGAAGACGCAGTTGGCATAAGCACCTTCCGAGGTGAGCAGTATCATTGGCTGTCTGGGTGTTAAGTGCTAAGACGTTCTCTGACAATTCACTTCCTGTCTCCAGCTACACTTTGTTCTCTTTGTTGTTCTCCAGACCAGCAGCTTTAGTCATTTCCCCACATTTGGAGGCTACTCCCTCAAGGGAACGGACTTTGTTCTGTCCACGGCCACAGTCCAGCACCGCAACAACATGAACGTGACATATGCTAAAAAAAAAATATTGTAGGATGAATGGATTCTGAGAAATGAGATTTGGGGCATTTTACCCTAGTTCACAGACACTCAAGTCAATCCACTAACTCTTCTTGAAAATGTAGCTTTGGATAAATTATTTAATGCCTCTGCCCATCAATTTCCTCATCTCCCTGCTATGAGAAGTAAATAAAAAAATCTTTGAAAAGTGTATAGGCACACCTTGAATGTTAGCCATTTCTACCTGTTATTCTAATGTATTGTACTCAGACAAGTTCAATCTGTGCTGAATTATTCCTACCCGATCTATATAGGATGCTACCACTGTTGAGAGCGGTCTCCAAGAGTCCCCTCTTCTCCCCTTTGAAGCTGAGCTGGCCTGCAGGCCCCTCTGGTCACTGAGAGGATCTGGCAGAATGGACGTTTTGTCAGCTCTGGCCGTAGACTTTAAGATGATTGTCCACTTGCACTTCACCTAATTACCTGAAGTCCAAACTCGCCACCAGAGGGGCACCAATACCCATCAATAAAGGACAGACTTCCAGGCCTTCCAGCCCAGCTCAATAAATGAAGGCCAAGGAAACCGCCTGGGCCCAAACCCTCACAGCACAGAAGCAGCCTGCGGAGTCTACTCAACCCAGAGAATGGTGAGAAATAATAAACTATTGCCATCCTTAAGTCCTTAAGCTGTGGGGTGCCTTATTATATAGCAATTACACCTGCAATACTACCTTGATCATATTACCTTCAAAAGGTTCCATAGTCCTTTGCCTGGTAACTTGAATGGCTGGTTTACACCCTTACTCAAGGAAAGAGAAGGTCCCAAATTCCTGTCCGTTCCATGTATTTTGTTTTTTAACGCAAGTTTGTTAATGCTCCACTTAATTCAGTAAGCCCATTTCCTATCTCTCTTATCCAACTTTCTCCTGTGTGGACCACAGCATCTCTAATAAGTTGCAGAGCTCTCAGCTCAGGGCAGATATGGGGAGAGTGGGTGTGGCCCTAGAGCTCCCAGTCCAGCTTCACTCCCAGAGCCACAGACCCCGTTTATTTCTGCTGGTATGGGACAAGCGGCTCTTGTTCTCCCTTGACTAGAATTCTCATTTCCTACAAAGCTGGGTGGAAAATGATACTGCATTTCAACTTACCAGCATAAATACAAACTACTGCATTTATTTTTAAGCTCATGAGAAATATAAAGTGTCATTTCTCTTGATATTTTAAATCTGTCTTTCAAAACAACTTTGAGCTATTCAAATCCTTGACATAATTTTGACCTAAGTTAGCATGATATGCTAATGAGAAGAAACTTAATTACCCCACATGATCTGAAGGAATTCCATTGTGGTCACAGCAGGGATCTGCATTTGTTTAAAAAAAAATGATTTTTGACAAAAATGTCTTCCTCATTCTATTATCATAGACATGCTCACCCTCATAATACTCACATGCACGCAGCTTGAAATGCTTCCGAGCCCTGAGACATCTCTGCTGGGGGCACTGCAGCCCCTCGGCCCCGAGCTTAGTGCCTTCCTGACAGCTAGGGTGTGCCAGCCAAGACACCACCGGCTGCTGTGGCGTGAACTCCCTTGGGCCTACTTAGACATATGTTTTATCTGCCTCCGTGACTGACACTCTTTCCAAAATTAAAAAAAAATCCTAGTGTGTTTTCAAGATTTAATTTTCATTTCCTAAAACACTGTGGCTTACTTTACAAAATAGGTCAAATATAAAATTAGATACAGATTACTGCTCACTTGTAGTGAACCAGAAAGGCAACAGAGAAGACACAAAGAAACAAAGGCATCAAAAGCATGAAGCCACACCAGAAGGCCAGGAAGTAGTTACAGTCTTCAGAAACAGGTCAAGCTGAGCTCCCGAGAGCATGAGCGCTTAACCATGCTGTAGCACTGGCTGTCACCACTTGAGATGAGAAAAATCACATTTTAATCCTTGAGTGAGTCTAATGTCTCTCCATGTTAACTAGATGGAGGCTGCACAGGCTCTGGAACCCCATCTTCTTACATGCATTTGCCCAAGGATTCTCAGGATGCCTTCACCCAACAGGGCACTGAGAAGAGCAGCAGGGGGTGGAACTGCAGAAGCCTCTGCTTGTGACTTGACAACAAAGGCTTGACAGTGAGCCAAAGATGACGACCTCCCTAAGCTCCTGCTTCATGCTGCCCTCCACATTTTCCAATCCTGACTGCTGTCCGTGCAATCCAGTATGTACTCTCAAAGGTCCCGGGCCCTGGGTACCAAGTGCTCGCTCTGCAATCACAGCCACCACATCAGGAACATGCCAGTCACCTACCTGGGCCATGACTTTGCAGAGCCATTTGGGTTCCACAAAATACAAGTCACTCAACTGCAGTGCCGGGTCTTGGAAATGAAGAAGGACGCCTGGAGAGAAAAAGCCACTCAATCCATTCAATAATAAGACATGGCACGCAGAAGGCGCAAACGCCACAGAACTTCAGACAAAACAGAGGTCAGCCTCCTTATCTTCCCAATGAGAGGACTTCCAAATAGCTAGTAGTCAAGCTGGGACTAGAAGCCATGCAGCCTTGTTCTCAAGCCCTAAAGTCTCCACACTGAAAAGAAGCCTTTTGACCCGCATACATCATCAGAGGTAAGCACCGGCACGCATGGAAGAACATGCATTGGATAGACTTAGCACTCTCCTTAGGGCTTCTACATGTCCAAGCATCAGACAAACCATATGTAAACACAGCCCCTCTACCCGAGGACAAAGAGAAAAGGGGACAGCTTTTCATCCATGTCGAACGCTGGCGCTCATCAGAGTACTGGGATTTAGCCTGTTTCCCAGACACACACTCTCACAGTATAAACAGGCGCCCACATTTCCAGCCAGGCAGCACTCACCAGGGACACAGCCCTCCGTGATTTCAGGTGGGCATCTGTCCTCCAGGGTGGCAGGGGAAGCAGGTGCAGCCCTGCAGACACACAGCCACCCCAGGGGCAATTCTCCACGCAGTAAACAAATAGCTACAGACACACACACTCTAAACCACTCAGAGGCTGTGAGAGCTAACACACAGCTAGCTCTAGAACCCACAGTGCTCGCCTCCTGCTCAGCGACCACTCCTTTCTCTTTACACGATTCCTCAACTTCTGTCCTTATGAAACGATCGTCTTTCAGTGGCCTATTAAAGTACCTCATATTCTCTTAAATGTTTAAGTACATATATGTATACAAGCAAGTTGTTATTATAACTTAGTACAGCCAGGATCTAGAAGCAAAAACAGGAGCCTAACTGGCATACAGACCTGATTCATTGAGGAAATGGATGGCGTGAGGAAGCTCGTTTTCGTCCAACTGCAGCTGACTCTCTTTCACCAGCTGTAATAATCGTTTCCGGTCAATTACAGGAAATTCGCTTGGCACATTTTTACGTTCGGATAAAATGATTTTCTCAAGTTCGACGTAGCAATCTGGAATCAGCTGCCCAACAACAGGCTGATCTCGGATCTATTAAATTACAAATGACAAGTTGTAAAAATCTGTTTTAATTATGTATGTGTCAGGCGGCTGGTGAATTTAGCGCGAGCTATGTGTACAGAGCTGTGTGCGTCATCCTGGAGTGTATTTTTGGATCAGTCAGAATGTGATGTTAACCTAATTAAATTGCAAGACCAAAAATAAAGAAGATGAAATTCAAACTAAAAAAAAACTATGGACAAAGATGACAATTTGGAGGGGAGGGGAACCTATCCAACAAAATACAAAGGAAATTCTGACTCAGGACTCCAGGACAGTTCATGACGGACACCAGCACACACCAATTAGGCCAAAGGAAGGATTTTTGGATTCCTAAGTCATTAAACGTAATATGCAATAGACAAATTAGCACAAGAAAGCAGTAAGTATTGCATCAGCTCTCAGATACTAGTTAGTAAACAAAAACACACCCGAACGTTACACACTGCATTTTGTGGCTGCCATCTGCAGAAGGCCACAAGGGTGGAATGACAAGCGGCACCAGAGGCCTGCAGACACCAAGTCCGCCCACCTAGGCTGTCTTCTTCGGGGGCCCTGCGCTGAGGGAAATGCCCAATCATGACCAGCCCAGGGGCTGACCGAAAGGGAAGATCATCAGACCCTACAGCTAGAACCTTCACACTCCTAGAGGTACATCCATCCAGAAGAGCTCAAGAGGTCCTCAAGATGTCAACTAACCTCCAAACCATTTGTTCTTGAAAATCTGATGCTAACCAGTTGCCGCAATGCCTGCCAGAGCCACCAGATGGCCCACTCTCCCCATTTCTGAGCCCGTGAAAACCAACATGGTTTTCCTCTGACCACATTTGTCAAAATTTGTATTTAAATTCTCATACTTATTTCAAGCAAACATATTTTACCCATCCCAAAGATAAAAATGTAACTTAGTCTTTTTCTAGTTTTACCTACAACCCTGATTGCTGTAGTCAAACATTACAGCCATTTTTACCTGAAAAGCATCATTTCAAAGATTGCTTTTGTGCATTCTTCATCACAGAAAATTAAGTAGAATTCTACTAAGCTCTACTTTGCATATTCCTTCTCCCCATTATTTATAAACTGACATGAAATGTAACTTCAAGTTGAAACTTGTATGTTTTAATTCAAGGAAGGAAACTTGTATGTTTTAATTTAATACGCAAGGTCCTACTGCACACAAACCAAGCACAGAGCAAGACACAGGGGAGGTCGCAGGGCCACAGGGGCTCACCCTTTGTTAACCGAGTACCCCAGACTGAAAGGAACAGGACAAAAGCTTGCTTTTAGACCAGATCAGTCAAGCCAAACATGAAAAAGGCGACGTGCAAGGTGAAGCAACTCAAGAAAAAAAAGGTGTTCGTGCTGCGTCCGGCTGTCGGGTCCAGGGCAAGGATAAGGCTTCCTGCCCCTGAGCATCTGTCGGAGTTTTCAACCAACATGCTGGAACGGTGCACAGATGAGCGAGTCCTACCTCTCCTTAGAGGACAATGCCGGTCCGCAAAGCCTTGTATTAACCTGTGTGGAGCGTCATTCATTCAAAGTGTTGGCGGGGGGAACTGGCCTGCCCGCTGATGGTGCTAGCTTGCTTTCAGACAATAGCAGTGTTAATTTAGCTAGATGATCGTCCTAGCTATAGAAGTGGCTTTAACTAAATTCAGGCTTTTTCAAAAATAGGTAAATTCTGACAGCAAGTGATAAAAAGCTAAGAAAATATCCTAATAACAGATGATACAGCTATACACCCCAGAAGAAAAACCACCTGATACAGAGATGAACTCGATGACCAAATTTAGCAGCCATTTCACTCTGTAACCACATACTCCACCAGAAAGTAATCTGCAAATAACATGAAATTCTTACAGATATATGGACACATCCATGTCACTCATCCTTGCAGTAACCACACAACACACAAACTGTCTCTGTGGGCATCAGAGCACAGCTCAGCAAGCCGGGTCTGCGAACGGCAGCGATGAGCGAGCCAGCCAACATAGAGAAGACGACGATGACCACAGAATCCAGCACTCTAGCCATGGCATTTTTAGGAACAGAGGGGAGTTTCATCACCACCGTCCCTGGCCTCTGCAGGCCAGCTGGGACACAAGATGCTAAGTCATGACCTCTTTAGCCAAGTGCTGCTCAGCCTGCCCGAGCTACCCTGCGTGAGTCCCTCAAGAGTTCACTGACACTGGTGCGCATGACAACCGATTTATTTACATTTTATCATATCCTGTTGAACAGGAGACAACTCTGGAAATTGAAAACTTAAGTCCTATAGTGGAAAACCCAGTTTGTATCAAGCAAGCATGGTAGACACTGCTGTAAACCAAATGAATGATCCTGACTGCTCAATGAGTGCATTGTCTCACAATGTTGAGGGGGGAAAATTACCGCCAGAATGACAGTGACAAGGAGACACATGCAGGGGCAACACGGACCAAGATGGGCGTAAGGCAGATCGGTGAGAAAAGGGCAGAGCGAGGTACCAGCCCGTGAGCAGAGTGAGGTACCAGCCCGCGAGCAGAGCAGACACGCGTCCAAGGCACCCTGACCTCCCTAAGCTGCACAGGGACTGACGGGCCACTTTCACACACCAGCCCACAGGGCGGCACCCCCTCGACCTTAAAGTTCAGGCTCTCGTTGACGATGGTCTTCCGGAGTTTGGCCAGAGCGTCGGATTCCTCGGTGGCGTTGACGAAGTGGTAGTCCCGGATGGCGGGGAATCCTCGCTTATTCAGGAGCTCCTTGGTGATTTTGCCAATGCAGGCCTTGCGCTGCTTCTCGTCCGAAACGTCCAAGTGTGTGCCCACGAGGATCACCGGTGAAGACGACGCTCGTGCCTGTGGGGAACGCACCAAATCAGATACTCCTCCGCTTCTGCTGGCGCGCACCTTCTGGGAAGCCTAAGGCCCACCGGAGAGGGCTGAGCCACTCTGCCGGAAGAGACCCTGAGCCGGAGAATGCCCCGAGGCAACAGCGCTGAGGCCCGAACTTCCAGAAGCAGCAGGCCCTCGTGAAGGCCCAAGGCTGGCAGCACAGGAGGGGAATGAGGTCTGGGGAGGAGGTCCTGATCAGGATGGGCCAGACCCAGACCCTGCCCTGCCTTCCCAGCTGCAGGCTCCTGCCCTCAGCCAGGAGATGTCAGTAAGAACGGCCTGTCCTCGTGCTGGCCTCTTGAAAAGAACAAAATGAGTCCACTTGTAAACTGCCCAGTACAGGGTGAGTGCGGCAGAGAAGGAAAGATACGTCCTTGCTCTTCAGAGTAAATGTACCAGTGAGGCTCTGAAAATCATTTTAAGCCCCTTCTTAACGCAGTTCTTACAGGGGTTCATGTAACTGGTAGAGCAGTTTTCCCTCCGTTTTACTGTCACGCTTCAAAAAGCACTGTGTGTGTGTGTGTGTGTGTGTGTGTGTGTGTGTGTGTGTACACCTCTCAAGGAAACAAGCATGCAATAAATCCCAAATGGTATCAGAGTTCCATAATGCAGTTTATGTTTTCTCTTCCTTCTCTCTCAATTTGATTTCCAGAATCCATTCTGAACTCATTCAATTTGGAGTCTAAATGAAAGGAATGAAAGCCACTAATGCAGTTTCATTGTTACTGCAATATCTGCTCACACACATAGCCATCACAAAGTCAAGAACAGAGGAGTTCCCAGACAGATGCTAGGCGTGGCGGTTAAAACGCCCTGTGGGATGACCCCAGCCCATCTCACAGTGCCGGGTTCTAGTGCTAGCATCACTCCCAATCCAGCTTCCTGCTAATACACACGCTTGGATGCAGCAGTGACGGCTCGAGTGCTGAGTCCCTGCCGCCCACATCGGAGAAAGAGTGAATTCCTGACTCCCAGATCTGGCCTGGCCCAGCCCTGCCTTAAAGGAAAGAGAAGAGAAAGGAAAAGAAAGGAAAGAAAGGAGGGAGGGAGGAAAGAAGGGAGGAAGGAAAGAAGGAAGGAAGGAAGGGAGGAAAGAAGGGAGGAAAGAAAGGAGGAAAGAAGGGAGGAAAGAAAGGAGGAAAGAAGGGAGGGAGGAAAAAATAAAGTGCAGTAGAGGCCTGAGCAGCCCAGTTGGAGAAGCACCATCACGGCAGGAAGCTGTGTACGGACTCCATGCACACACTAGTGCATCCCTCCAGTGCACTGGCCCTTGTGCTGCCCCAGCTCTGAAAGCAGGTGCAAGAGTGTGGCAGCCTGGGCCACAGGCACAGGGGAACAGCTGAGAGAGGACTGTGGACCTGCTCAAGGGGTGGGGTACGAAGGACCTCATAAAATCTGCCACTGTGGACAGAACTGTGGAGGCACAGATCACTGTTCCTTGTCATGGTTTATGGCAAATTAAGAGTATATTCTGTTTGTGATCAAAGAGAGGCCAATCAACATATTTCCAAGTTTGACAGTATAAAGGGGTTTCATGTATCAGTCACATTCACCAATATAGAACACATTTTAGTTTCTAAATTCAATTTAAGACAAAGAAAGACAGAGATACACACACAGACACACAGACACACAGACACAGAGTTTGAGAGAGAAAAACAAGAAGAAAGAAAAAGGGAGGGGAAGAAGGAAAGAGAAAATTCTGATCCATTGGCTTACTTCCCAAACATGCTGCATCGAGGACTGGGTCATGCCAAAGCCCACGGCCGGTCGTCGCCCACTCTGGTGCCAAGGCCCCTCCTGAACCAGCCCTGCTGCCTCTCATGATGTGTGTTGGCACAAAGCTCGAGTTGAAGCTGCAGCATCAATCCCAGCACCCCAGCACAGCATTCAGTGCTACCTTAACCACTTGGCCAAACAGCTGGCCAGGAACACACTCCTTCCATGTTATGACTTAATGGATTTGAAATTCACACAACACATTTTAGTGCTTCTTTCTTTTCAAATCCATTTGAGGAGAAGCAACTTTATGGCCAAAACAAATCACCACACGCATGCACGTGCACACACACAGACACGCACTTCAATTTTCAGAGGATCAGATCACCTTTATGTTGAAGAGCCAGGGTTTCATGGCATCAACTTCAGCCTGTCCCTTGCTGAGGTCATAGACAGCAAGATACAGTGCACGCTGTGTCATAAAGTGGGGGTGCGTGCTGTAGAACTCCTCTCGCCCTAAGGAGAGACGGAAGACAATTTTTAATCTTTCAGACAATAGACCAGAACCTTTTTCATAGAAGAGATTTGGAGACATAATGCTGTGTACAGCCAAGAGGCCACACACAGAGGACAGCCATGGGTCCTCCTAGAGAGTGCCAACCTTCAGCAGCTGAGCTGGCCACCAGCCAAGCACCCAGCTTCAGCTGCCACCCACTATGTTCTAACATTTCCCTCCATGACGTCTGCACTCTGGTGGCAAGGGCAAGATCGGTGGGGGCGGGAGGGGAGGGAATGGCTTCAGAATAATTCCAGAAGACCCATGAATCCCTTGCTGTGTGGGAACTAAAAACTCAGCTTTCAGATCCATTCCGAATAAAACGCCAGTGAACGGCCCCCTGAGACAGACACCTGCGAAGTCCCAGACGTTCAGCACAAGGTCCCTTCTCCCTCTGCCCCTGATCTGAATGTGCCAGTCCTTCACGTCGATGCCGACAGTGGCGCCTTGCATGCCAACGTCCGCTCGCTTGGCTCTCATCAACTGCTGCAGCAACGTGGTTTTGCCACTCCCAGTGTTGCCCACGATCATGAGCTTCATTCGGTTGTAGGGCACGGCCTTTTTTAGCCGCTGTTGGAGAAACCTGGTTTGTGAAAGACAAACACCACACTGCTTCAGAGGCTACTGTGAGAGTGAGGAGAGTTTCTGTGAACGGCAGACTTTCCAACCTCAGACTGCCGCAAAATACAGCACACAAAAGTGCACCTTGCTCATAATAAATAATACACACAACCCAGGCAGCACCTGTGCTTGTAATTTTAATTTAGTTGATGATGTTGGGAAGCATGACCAAATACTCTAGCACACAGCTGCCTTCCCAATGCACTAGCATGTCATCTTATCAGGAGACAATGCAAACGCCAAAGAACATCTTTGATGTTCACTAGAGTGTGATATACATATATATATACATATACACGAATTGTGTGTATGTGTTACATACAAATGGATTTTTAAAGAGTATGAACAAAATCCTAAAAATTACAGAACACAAAATTTTACAAAGTCCATATGCCAGGGAATTAAGGTAGAGTGTGTACATGCTGTCATACTAAAGTTTGATAATGGTTTGAAATCGAGATCCTGCAGGTTACCTATGTGTGTGCACAAGCCACACACATACACGCATATATGTAACATATGCATAGAGGGTATGGATACCGAGAGGCTGGTTTCATCATAAACACTGCTACACTGCCATCGATACCACATGCTATCTCTAACATGTTGAAAGCATCAAGATACTTTTAATAATAAGTAGTATAAAAAACATTTTAGAATTGCAAATGCTGCTGGAAGCTAAACAAAGCCACTTTTAATATAATAGGTTTTAATTGTTGTTAATAATATATCAGATACAGAAAGACATTTTAAACTATGTAAAAGTGTTTTCACAGCTTAAGATCAGATAAGTAAACTAAATCCTGAGGGTATTTTAGGGAACGTTAATTGATCCATTCTTTTTCTAAAAAGTATCTCTATGTAGACACAGACATATCTACATAGATACTTTTTCTTAACAGTATATATATATGTATATATATATATACTGATTTGAAGTCAAGAGACAGGGGCTTCTTGCATGTCTCCCACATGAGTGCAGAGGCCCAAAGGCTTGAGTCATCTTCCACTACTTTCCCAGGCTAGAACCAAGGAGCTAGACCAGAAGTGGAGCGGCTGGGACCTGAACCAGCATTTGTTATAGGATGCTGACTCTGTGGGCAGAGGATTAGCCTGTTTTGCCACTGCACTAGTCCCCAACTAATCCATTCTTAAATCGTTGGATTCTTGTAACACGACCAAAATGCCACAAAACACTTCCCAATTTATTTAGTTAACAAGAAATCATCTTTATTTTTTTTAAAAAAAACAGCCGTTCTTAGAAAGCAAAGCAACTGTGGTGGATATTTTTCCTTTTCTAAAACCGTTAAGCACATACAAAAATGTTTCATTTGCTCAGTGAATTGTTACCTGCATAACTCACTAAAAACAGTTCTACAAGATGTTTAGTAAGAATGTAGCTGATTCTTATTACATGAACACCTCCAGCTTCCTGAGGGAAACTCAAAGGAAACAAAGGCACCTGGCCCGCTCAGCACAGAGCACTAACTCTCACCCTCCCACCTTCAGTCAAGTCGGGAGTCTCGATAAGTCCTCCCAAAATGAGCAAGGTGCTAAACGGGAGGACTGGGCTAGGCATGATTCACTGGGAACGCCACAGCTCCACCCTGCCTGCTGGGCTGTGTGTGAGGTGGGCAGGGCCCCTCTCAACGGCCTCCATCACGGACACACAGGGCTTGGGAAGTGATGACCAGCCTGTGAAACAAGCTGAGCAACTCTGCGGGTAGGGAAGGAGTTGATGAATAGGGAACAGGAAGACTGACACGTTGCGGTGCACCCCAAAGGGCTTACAGTCAGTCATCAAAGACATAAGCTGACCAGGGAGAAACAGCACCTTCCAGGGGAAGCGGAAGCTGAGGTCCAGGGGAGTCGTGCCTGGGTAGACGGACACAGGCTGGCTGACTGCTATGGGAAATGCAGGGTTGCCGACTCCTATGCTCTTCAGACACTTGCACCCTTTAGACTTTATTTATACGGAGCAGAATGATAAAGACACCATGGACTCCAGATTAGCATTGTCAGAATGAGAAGCTGTGGCAGCATACAAGTGGATACAGGAAAAGAAAGGGCACGGAGGGTGTCAAAGTCACAGAGAAAATCCAAAACAGATTTAGTAAGAACAAGTGAAAATTAAATGATCTAACCTGATGATGTCTTTGGCTTTGCATCCTATATGTTTGAAATCAAAATTAAGACGCAGTTCATCCAGAGGGAGATCCCATATTTTGCTCAACTTCCCCATTTCGTTGGGAAAGGATCTGAGTTCCGAGTTGTAGCTGACATCCAGGGAGGTGAGGTTTTCCAGATAGCCAATCTCAGGAGGAAGCTTAGGGAGACAGAAAGGGAGAACCTGTCGGTGGGAAGCAAGAGCCACGTGCTGCCAAGAGACCAACTGCAACAGGAGACAGAGACGAGGCGGGCTCAGGAACTCTGCAGCCTTCCCACGCAGCTCTCACACTTCCCAATGCCATAACCTCCCAGGACACAAGTTCAGAACCGAAAAACATTCCTACAAAAAACTTATTTGTACTTTCTAGAAGCTCAGTATGCTCATGAGGAACAGCATCACGTCATCCCTTCATAGCACTGACTGAAGGTGGGAGGTAACCCAATCCTGTACCTGCAGCACCCTTGGGTCCCTCAAGCTGCTGTGTCCTTGAGCACACTCCCAGGCATGTGGGCAACAACAGCGAGGGGTTGTTTCCAAACACAACCAGGCATGCATATTGCAGCTGGCATCCCACCCCAACTGGAATTTCTTGGTTCCAAATGTTTAAGCAATGTACATGTTTATCACAGAAAATATGCAAATATGTAAACCATTAAATATTCCAAATATATCCCCAAAATATTCACAGCTATTGTGAACTTCATAGTATCGGGTTGGTTGGTAGTTTTTATAGGCACTAGCCTTAAATTGGGGGTAAAAAAGCATTTCCTGAGATAAATGGATCATCAACTCCATCTCTGACACAGGGACTGGAAGGCTCATGTGTCTGGGTGAACGCATCATGGTGATGGAAGGGACAAACACAACGGAAAACTTCACATGTCACATAGACATACATTCACAATGAAATACATGTGCACATCATGAATTTATACACTAAATACGTACTTTATCATATTTATAAAGATGGTGGGGATTCTTTTGGAGATGAGAGAATGAAGGCATGTGAGTACATCACAGAGTGGGATTATAACTGATTTAAAATGTGAGAAACGCACTGAACAGATTCTAAAGCAGGCACGCAGGACACACGAGTTACGAAGCACACTTTAAAACCAGCAATACGCCTGGACAGAAACAGACGGCCTCTCACCTCTTTCAGTTTATTCTGGGACAGGTGCAGCTTCTCCACTCTGGACCAGGCTTGCGCCTTTTCACTCAGGTCCAAGACGCTGATCTGGTTAGAGCTAAACAATAGTTCCCTTAAGTTGGAGGACGCCCAGTGTGCAGGGCCTGGCAGGTGCTGAATCTGATTGCTGCTCATGTCCAGGGACCGCAAGCTGCAACAGAATGTCAACACCGTCACTGCAAAGCTGCAGGAGCTTTTGCAAAGCACACTGAGAGCATCCTGGGTCGCTTTCAGCACACTGAGAGCTGGATGTAACTTCAAAACTCACATTCCATACACCAAGACATATGCAAGTGTGAGCACACATGTATGTCTAGAAGTCTGGGGGAGGGGGGAGGGGGAGGCCCATCTCAAGGGGACTCAAGCTAAAGCAAAGGCAGAGCACTATAAAGTAAATGTATGCCTTATTTCCCTACTGCAAGTACTTAAAAATGCCCAATCCTCAGAGACAAAGACCCAACATCCTCAGATGTTGACATGGACAAGAAGTCACAGGCAGCAAATGCAGAGTCATGAGAAGTCCTGCCTCTTCTACGAGACTGACGGGTGGGCAGCTCCCACTTTGCTCGCCAGTCAAGTCGCTCCTTTGCTGAGGGGGGTCTGTGGAGGCAGCTCACACTGTCTGAAAGCACACCTGCCCATCTCAACCTCCTCAGCACCGCACCCCTGAGCAGGAGGCCTGCCTGTCGGGGGCCCTAGGTGTAAAATGAGGGCTTTCATGCAGGACTGAGCTACCCCAAATTCTTAGGAAGTAAGACACGTCACACATGGACATTAGGGCAGTCGGCGAATGTCATATCTGATTACCTGATGGCTACACACCAACCACTTTTGTCCAGTGCACCTGAAGTTTGCGGAATTGATACTAAGCTCCAGCACTCTAGTGGGTTAGACTGAAATGCTGGTTTTGCACAGCAAATGTCTACGCTCCTGCTCTGAAGTGGCAATAGACTGAACTACTCTTGTAGAAACCCATGGGGAACAAGGTCGTTGACTTGACCATATTAGAGGCTGCAGCATGTATGGCAAGCTACCATTGCTAGCTTTTCCAAGAGCAATGCCACGTAAGCCTGAGCCAGGACTTAACATTGGCAAGCGCAGGCTCTTTTAGGAAACACAAGAAAACTTGAGAAATTCCTGAGGCTGGCGTCTGACACTAAATGTCCTTGGAGTGTGAATACTGTTCAACTCTTGGGGAAGAAACCTTCTTTCTGACACGTTTTCTTCTTGTCAACTGTATTTGGCTGTCAGTCGCATTTGGCTCTCAATCATGAGGATGAAGCAGGGGCCACATCTACTCCACAGGGACTCAGATGGAGATGTGGATGGGCCACAGCAGAATGACCAACGTTTAAGAACCGTGACCCGGGACAAGTGACTTCACGTCTGTCCTGAGCAACAACCTCACTTCCCAGGATGGGTAAAAGCAGAAGTGCTCTCACAGGGTGACTAGGGAGAGGTAACCCTAACTTCCTATAGGCAACCTCAATAGGATTTCTGAATTATTAGTATTTTAGTACCCCATCAACTTCTGACAACTATTGATTTTTTAAAAAGTGCAAGTGATAGGCATAAACTGATACAATTGTAACAATACAGCAATCAAACAATCATAAATTATTTCAGGACAACAGCCCATTAAAATAAAAAGTAAGAAGTTTGGACTCCTAGGGCTGATTTTAAAATAAAATAGACAATAAACTTACTGTGGAAGATTTAAGATTGCTTCTGGAACACTTGTAAATTTGTTCTGAGATAACTTGATGCTTGTCACAGAGGAAGGCAAGAAAGGCATATCGGCTACAAGAACGTTGAACAAAGAAAATGCAGATTTTAAGAAGCAGCTACCAATGAGCTGTTGCTTAATTTCCATTCTTACACCGACAATAACAAATCTCCCTGTAAAAATAACGCTGATGGGCCCATGTGGTAGTGCTGCGTCTTAATCTTCCACCTGCAGCTCCAGCATCCCATGCGGACGCCTGTCCCAGTCCCAGCTGCTCCACTGTTGATCTAGTTCTCTACTAATCACCTGGAAAAGCACTGAGGGATGGCCCAAAACCTTGGGCCCCTGTACCCATGTGAAAGCCCCCTGGGGAATTCCTGGGTCCCAGCTTCAGACAGCCCAGTTCCAGATGCTGCAGTCAGTTGGGAAGTGAACCAGCAGATGGAAAATCTCTCCCTCTCTTTCTCCACCCCTCCCCCATAACTCTGTCAAACAAAATACATAAATCTTAAAATACATATATGTATAAATTAAAAACTAACACTGTGACTAAACAATAAAACAATTTATCATACTTAACAGGATCTTTTTAATCTGAAAGATGAAGCAACTGTCTAAATTCATCTGACATTTGTTCCAAGTAGAATAAAAGCCAATCTCAAATTACATGTCACAAATTACTAGATCATAAAGTAAACTAAATTGCACTTCTGTAACTAACAAAATATTTTCGAATACTCTATTACTATACAACACAGCATAGGGATAAAAATTTGTCATTTCCATCTAGTAAGGTGTGTTTTGTGAAAAAAAACAGTGATAGTCACTCAGTAAAAGTATTCCTTCAATGTATGATCTTGAGAGATTATGCAGGGGCTGGCACGGTGGCTCAGGAAGCTACTCATCCAGCTGTGGTGCCAGCATCTCTTATGAGCACTGGTTCGAATACTGGCTGCTCCACTTTCAATCAGCTCTCTACTCATGGCCTAGGAAAACAGTGCAGGATGGCTACAGTCCTTGGGCCCCTGTACCTGCATGGCAAGAAGCTCCTGGCTCTGCATTGGTTCAGCTCTAGCTCTGCAGCCATTTGTGGAGTGAACTCATGGATGGAAGAGCTCTCTCCTCTCTGTAAATCTGCCTTTCAAATTAAAATTAAAAACCCTAAAAAATTGCTATACTTAATTGACTAGTGTTAATTTTTTTTAAAGGACTACAACATCAGTCAAAAGAATGAGAATACTATGTCTATTTCATGAATGTTTACGACGGACATCCAGGGTGAGACATGTGCAAGAGACAAACATCTGTGTAACACAGTTTGAGAAACCTGCTTTCTCATGTGTCCAACACACAGCCATGTCAGATGAACTCTAGAGATGCACTCCTCTCCCACAATGTGAAAACGGCTGTAAAATGACCTCTTGGCATCCTGATAGCTAAAAACATGGGCTATGCTTTGTCTAGAAGATCCTGATGGGTCCCAGTGTTTGAGAACACAACTAGAGAAGCTGTGCTCTGAGAACGAGCCAAGAGGGTGAGTGGAGCTGACTCCCACTTAGCAATCCAAACACTGCATGAAACACACTCATGGAATCAGAGAGGCAAAACTCCCTGGCCCAGGGATGATCTATCTGCAGGAGTCAGGATCCTTTTCACAATACGCCCTTGTTCCAAACCACTAAGGCAAACGAGAGACTCGGCTCAATGCTGTCCCCTCCTTGGTTACTCAGGTGCATTTCACACCTACTTTGTCCCACACATGGACCTTCCCAAACCCCAGGGGCCTCAACAGCATCTTCAGCATCACAGAGCCAGCAGGCCGACTGAGAGGATCCCAGCCACGCACCCTTGTGGCACTCTGAATCTTTGCACATCACTTGGCACAGCATCCTTTTAAGCATGCCCTCACCTCTCTGCTTAACTTAACCACAAATCCCTACAGAATGGAGACTAGGCTTGTGTAGCAAGCATACCTCTCTATCTCTGGTCTCAGAGTCAGGATGATATCAGGGTTGGTGTTCAGGGAGCTGGGGCTCAGGGAGTGGGCAAGGGAAGAAATTCCTATGCAAATTCCCATGCTTTTTATATCAACACTATGACTTTCTGAAGTGCCTGACAAATAGCCGCTTTGAAGTAAATGGTCAAACTGTATTCTGCCACTTAACAATATTACACTGGGCTAGTGTTGTGAGGCAGCACACGGCACTGCTACAAGCAAAGCCAGCATCCCCTGTGGGTGCTGATTCAAGTCTAACCTGCCCCACTTCTGATCCAGCCCTCTGTTCATGGCCCGGAAAGGCAGCAGAACAAGAGCCCTGGCACGCAGCCCCCTGCCACATGTGGGAGGTCTGGATAAGTGCCTGGTTCCTGGCTTTGCCTGTCCAGCTGCTGAGGGTACCTGGGGCATGCAGCAGATGGACGATCTCCATCTCTCCGTGTCCTCTCTGTAGTCATAACGTCCAAATAAGTAAGTCTACTGAAAAAAGTCAATTTATGTATATATATGTGTGTACACACACACACACCATTTTGCTGAGTCAGGTACAGAGTAACCATCTGAATAGGAGGGTGGATGTGGTCTCTACGAAGATAAAATGTGGAGAGGGTACCTGTTTATTGCCATAAAGTATCTATTTCCTTCAGACCAGAATGTCCAGACAGACTGTAAATGGGTTTATTCCTGGTTTCTCTCACATGCTAATAGAATTTAGGCAAATTTGTGTTTTTTCAAAATAAGTGATTATGTATTATTGCAATATCCTGCCAGAGCAGGAGCTGAATGAACAGAAACTTGCAAATTTGACAACTGTTCAATTTACATTTTTTTCTAACACTACCATCAAAAGTAAATGTACTTATAATATAAAAAAAATGCTACTAAAACTTAGGGTTGAAACTCACTTTCTCAGTTCGGGCACTCAAGTGGTTGTAGTTGACTAAATTAACAACCAATCCCAGTCTGAGTACTATCTGTAGAAGAAACAACTGTTGTTTTAACCCATGAGCATAGCAACCTGCTCATTATTTTTTAATTATGAGCCCTTTTTGGAGTAGCTTTAGGTTTATTCCAAAATTGCACAGAAAGCAGGAGTTTCCTCTCACTACCAGCTCCCCACATACTCTCCTGATACAAATAACTTGCACCAGCTAGCCCACAACCTTTCTTTAAACACCAAGGAACCAATACTGAGGCATCATGAAAGCTCAAACTCTTTGGTCCTCATCGGGGGGGATACTTTGTGTTCCATACTCAGTGAGTCTGGACAAATGTATCCCGACTTGTATCCATCTTGATAGAACCTCAGGGAATAGCACCACTACCCCAGAAATCCTCTGTGCCTTGTCCATTCATCCTCCCCTGCCCCTCCCCGCTGCCTTCAACCACTCATGTTTGCACTGTCCCCACACTTGGTCTTTCTCAGACTAAGAGCTGGGATTCAACAGCTGGTGGCTGGTTCTGGTAAGTTCTTCTCTGCATATGCTAATGTTGCTAACATTGGCTGTGTCTGTTCCCAGCGGGGTGGCTCATCTTGTGTTGCCAACAGAGGTAACTATTTTGGAAACTCCAGTTTCAAGTGCTAATATTCTCTTCCTATGCCCATCCTCTGTGTGCCCACGTGACTCTACTCCACTGCCCATCCCACCACAAGAGACTCAGAAGGCCAGTATAGAACAGACGACACAAAATGCTCACCAAGGAAATTCATTCTGGCACTGAAACTCTCCACTTTAGGACAAGCCTCCAGAAAGTTCTCTGGGAGGGATGAAATGAGGTTTTTACTGAGGTTTAAAATCTTCAGCTCCTTCAGGCTCAATGGAGAACACCTGCCTGCTATTTTATTTCTAGTCAGAGACAAAAAAAGGAGACAAAAACGAGGATTAGATCCTATCAATTCACATGCTTTCAATAAGACAAAACTTTGTCCTCAAAGAATGCACCAGAATAATTTTAAAATTAGTGTGGAAATTTCAATCAATTGGCAGAAGCTGCAACACATTTTACCTCAATATTCTATTATTACATTTTTGTTGAAAATTTGTGACTGCAGCAATGTCAGCATTTTCTCAACCCTAGAAAGCCGAACGTAAGGCATCCCTTATTTAGCAAACTCTCTCCCTACTCACCCTTCTAAGATGAGCTGCTCCAATCTCTCCGCCACCTCCGGGAGGCTCTCCGGGATAGCTGACAGCTGGTTATAGGACAGATTCAGCTGCCGCAGCGTCAAACACCTCACCGTGGGATCCAAGACTATGGAGGGCCCAATCTCATTGCGAGAGACGTCGAGGTTGGAGATGCAGCTCATTTTCAACAAGTAAGGGGGAAATGACGTAAATTTATTACTGTGCAAGTCCAAGTGTGTCAAACACTTCAGGGTCTGAAAAGACAGTATTTGAAGAATCTAAAATGAACCAGCTGAGAAACTGAAGTTCAGGAAATATTTTTGCAGTCCTAGCTCTGGAGTTTCTAGCCATCAAGAATTCCCCCCAAAACCTGAAAATGTAATCCACACTAGAATTTCAGGATCTGGACTAGCCCAGCTACCTCTGCTAGAATATAGGTAACACCAAGAAAATACAAGAGGTAGTCTGCCAAGAGCAGGTTCACAAAAACAGTACTTAGAGTTTAATGCACCTTTTTATGGTAAGCAGTGTCTGTAAACAGCAAAATAAATCCAAACAATCCCCCACAAACATGTGAAGCGGTACTCATTTAACAAGCAGTGCAACGCTGAGAATAGGCTTTTCTCAATACTGGCCTTTAGAAACAGTTACACATGTTTTTAAGACTTATCTTGTTATTTATGTGTAAAGTAGTCTGGTTTAAAGAAAGGGAGAGACTGGGCCCAGCGCGGTGGTGCAGTGGTTAAGGTCCTCGCCTTGCATGCCCGGGATCCCATATGGGCACCGGTTCTATCCCAGCAGCCCCGCTTCCCTTCCAGCTCCCTGCCTGTGGCCCAGGAAAGCAGCCGAGGACGGCTCAAAGCTTTGGGACCCTGCACCCGTGTGGGAGACCCGGAAGAGGCTCCTGGCTTTGGATCGGCATAGCATCGGCCATTGCGCTCACTTGGGGAGTGAATCATCGGATGGAAGATCTTCCTCTCTGTCTCTCCTCTCTGTATACCCGCCTTTCCAATGAAAAAATAATAAAAATAAATCTAAAAAAAAAAAGAAAGGGAGAGACTGAACCACAGCATGAGATCATCCCTGCCGTGGTTCACTTCCTACAGGCCGCCACAGCCAGGGCTGGGCAAGAAAGCCAAAGCCAACAGCCCCACTGGAGTTTCCCACATGGGTGGCAGGATGCAGGGACCTGAGCTGCCACAAGTTTGAGTCAGCTGCTCCACTTCTGACCCAGCTCCCTGCCTGTGGCCTGGAAAAGCAGTGCAGGATGGCCCAAAGCCTTGGGACCTTGCTCCTAAATGAGAGATCAAAAAAATCTCCTGACTTTTGGTTGGCTCAGCAACCAGACATGGCAGCTGTTTGAGGAGTGAAGCAGCAGACAGAAGATCTGTTTCTCCTCTGTAAAAACCTGCCTTTCCAAAAAGAAAAAATAAATCTGAAAGAAAAATTCTTGAAGAGCACATGGAATCCATGTTACAAATAACTTTCACCCTTCACTGTGACATAGCAGTTAAAAGCCACCACCTGCAATGCCTGCATCCCAGAGTGCCTGGTTCAAGCCCTAGGTGCTCCACTTCAGAGCCATCTCCCTGCTAACAAACCTGATGGAGAAGCAGTGTGAGGTGGGCTAAGTTCATAGACTCTTGGCAACTATGTGGGAGACCCAGATGAAGCACCAGGCCCCTGGTTCTGGCCTTGCCTAGCTATGGCTGTTCTGACTCTGGGTAGTGAAGCTGTGGATGGAAGATCTTTTTCTCTCTTCCTTCTCCCTCCTCACGGCTTTCAAATTAACACACAAATCTTTGAAACAAGTCATCATGATGTAAGTTTTGCTGGACCTCTGAATTTAGAGCGCAGGAAATGAAGGCTTGGAACACGCAAGCAACAGTCCTCGCCGTCAGTTACTCCCACTCAGAGGACCTGAAGCGCTGTAAGTCAGCCACCCTGGGACCTGCAGGTAGCCCTGCTGGACGCCGACACACACCCTGCGTTACCAGGACATAATCCAGAATCCCCTCACAACCACGTTTATTTCGTGGGAGTGGAAGGTTGTCTCAGCCCAGGGCCCAGTCTACAACCCAGGGAACACGGGGCTCCTTGTGGCCCTTCACGGAGCCCCAAGAGGGGCCGCCACGCGTACCTCACAGAGCGGCTGGGGGAAGCTGGCGAGTGCATTCTGCTGCAGCTCCAGCCTCTCCAGGTGCTCCAGGTGGGTGCTCAGGCAGCCCCTGTGGCTGAGGGCGTCCACGTCCCGGAGCTCGTTGGCCGAGAGGTCAAGAGACGTGATGTACTCCCTCTCGGACACCAGGGAAGACGTGCTCTCTGACTGCCTCACGTGGGGCTGGAGCCTGGTGGACCCTTTATTCCAAAGCAAACAGCACAAATGTGAGCAAAGGATTCCAATCCACCAGGTAAACGCTACCCATGAACCTCTCTTCTGGGCCCTGGAGATGCAGTAGAAATGCATCTGGGGACATCTCCAGCCAGCGGAGACCGAATAAATACAAAATACTGCGTCAGCTGGTGCGTTATACAATAGCAGCAATAGAGAATGGAAAAGGGGGACCCAGCACAGCGGCCTAGCAGTTAAAGTCCTCGCCTTGAAGGCGCCAGGATCCCATATGGGAACTAGTTCTAATCCCAGCAGCCCCACTTCCCATCCAGCTTCCTGCTTGTGGCCTGGGAAAGCAGTCAAGGATGGCCCAAAGCCTTGGGACCCTGTGCCCACATAGGAGATCCAGAAGAAGCTCCTGGCTCCTGACTTCGGATCAGCTTAACTCGAGCCATTGCGGTCACTTGAGGAGTGAATCATCGGATGGAAGATCTTCCTGTCTCTCCTCCTCTCTGTATATCTGACTTTGCAAGAAAAATAAATAAATCTTAAAAAAAAAAATAATGGAAATGAAAAGAAGGCAATGGAGAAAGACACTCTTGGGCCTGTTACCTGCATTTCAGGTAACTTACAGAATAATGGCTGATAATGTGTATGAATGGTATGTTTGTAACCTGGAACTAAATTTCATGTTTCTATAGCCTGTGGAGTCACAAGGAACACAGATGGAACATTATACAATGAGATTACCATCAATAAGATTTGGACAAGCACTGTGCTCTGCTCAAAACGCTGACTTTCTGTAGGTAACTCCTAAATACTTACTGGACGATTCATCGGACGACCAGATTTTTTTCCGCCTCTGTACATCTTCCTGATCAAAAAAGGGTCCCTGTTAAACAATGAACAATGGACTTTAAAAAGCTGCTGTCATTTGTTTTTCAAGAGAGAACATTGTTAGGTGGAAACAATCAGGAGATTGTAGAGGTAATAAACGGTATTCCAAAGCATGGGGTAAAAACAGACAAGTATACCCAATGACTAATCATGAGAGAAAACTTTTACAGTTCCAAATTGACCACAGAACGCATCCACTTTTCCTTCTTTAAATCAAACACAGCACAACTGGAAAGCAGGGGGTCGAAATCAAAGAGGTCCAGTTGTAGTATCTCATCCACCACCCCACTGTTCTAAACTGAGCTGCTCTTGTAAACTTGAACTGCATGCACTGTGGACAGAGGGCTCAAACACCGCCATGCATCTGAGGATCTGGAATTAGTATCAAACAGTAGCTCAATTTTGATCAACATCAGAGCATAGGCTAACATTTCCATGAGTGTCCAATACAAGCGTGGAAACACAGTGGTCCCCACAATGAACCAACTTAGAACAATCAAATTCCCCTTGTCTTATATGACATTCATTCAGCTCTTCCACAGCTACTACACAGAAGGGAGGTGGAAGTAATGGTTCTAAGAAAAAGTGATTCTCAGTATACCAAAGACTGTTTTGATCAACAGCAACATCACGCGTTCCACCTTTCTCAGTGTCTTCAGGCTCCTGTTTGGCTTCTTAGAAACCACACGATGACTCCTAGCTACTAAGGGTACGAGGTACATGAGCACACAGGACAGGCCCACCCTGGGGTCCACAGACTTGGAGCTTTGGGAAGAGAAGGGTAGGAAGCCTTGCTTTTGATGTAGTGGTTAAGACAGTGATTGGGACACCTACAACCCATATCCAAGTGCCTGGGTCCAAATGCAGGCTACACTCCACACCGCAGCTTCCTACTAAGGCAGTCTCCAAGCAGTGATGGCTAAGGGGTCGGACCCCAGCCACTCACACGGAAGACCCAGCCCAATCCCTTTGCACACTAGAACGTGGCTTGCACATTAGAACGGCTGTTGTGCTCGCTCTCACTGTTGTCCTTCTCACCTCCCCCGCTTTCTCTCCCTCCCTCCTTCCCTCTATCTTCTTCTCTTTTGCAATTTTTCCAAAAAAAAAAAAACCAAAGGTAAAACCATTTAAACATGTTTTCACTCAGTACATATATACCCCAATAAACTCACACCGTATGAGCTCAAAAGTTCCCAGGTGTAAGTTTAATATGACTAACTTCTATTTTTTTTTTATATTCTGCACACAATTTTTACATCAGGGAATTCCTCCTAATTGCTCCTGGCTTAGGTACAAGCTATTAACAGAATGCCATCCACAAAAGACACAGTCACAATCTCACTCACCAGTGAACTGGAATGCCTGGGCAGATTCGGGGAGCAGCGTTGCAATCCAGGATCCCGGCAAAACTCTCCCACACTAATTGAATTTGATTTCTTTTTCATAAGAAGTGAGCCCTCACTTCCTGTTTTGAGACAGTAAAATAGCATGAGGGTGAGGAAGACAAGTGGGCTCCATCATAAAGTTGTACATAGTTGAACACATCCATAAGGGAAACTTCCCAGCCCATTCCCTTTGTAATGTCTTTACAATGATATGGCACACTAGTATTTCTTTCAAGCTGAGCTGCATCTCTCCTCTTCCATAAATAATTAGTGTCTAGTCTGTGACAACCATTCCCTAAGTACTGGATAATGAAGATCTGCAGGTGCAAAGTACATCCATGCCTCAGAAGATCTCAGCGGCCACAGAAGCCCCCGCTCTAGCAAAACCATCTGATCACCGTGACCTCTGTCTCTCTGAAGTCTTCTTTAAAATGTTTTAAGTCCTGCTGCAAACACCAGAATCATATCTGAAATTGCCTGATTGAACATCTCTATTCCATTTCACATACCATGGTTTCTCTTACAGAAAAGCATAGAGATAAACAGGAGTTGCCAAGAATTGCTTTATGAAAGAAGGGGACAACTTTTAAAATATGAGTTTTCAAGAAGCTGAATATGTAAAAGCTTATTATTAAAGCTAAATCATATGGAAATATTTTTAAAAATAATTTTAAGACTTACAATATGTTTTTTAATTGGAAAGTCAGATCCACAGAGAAGGAGAGACAGAAAGATCTTGCAGATACTGGTTCCTTCCCCAAGTGGCTGCAACAGCCTCAGCTGAGCTGATCTGAATCAGGAGACAGAAGTTTCCTCTGGGTCTCCCTCTGAGTGCTGGGTCCCAAGGACTCGTATTGTCCTCTACTGCTTTCCCAGGCCACGAGCGGGTGGGGCAAGAATAATATGGGATCTCTGAGCACGTGAGGTGAGAATTTAGCCGCTAGGCTATCATGCCAGGCCCAAGATTTACAGTTCTACCACTTTTTCTTTTGCAAACAGAGCATTGATTTCAAATGTCTAAAACAAATTATACAATCAACATTAAAAAAATGACAAAATTCAAGATAAGTTTTGACACACAAAAAAATCCTTTCCTGGTTCATTATTAAAATTTAACTGGTTCTGTGATTTATTTTTATGTTTAAATATTCTAATAAAATCAGTTCTTATATTTATATATCTTAACATTAGTTTTTATAATTATTTTATGCTTATGAAATATCCACAAGCATATTATAAAAAGAACATTATGTATTTTATAATTTTTTCATGTTAACATGTCTGTTTTCCTTCATTTAAAATATTCAAAGAGAACCATTTCAAACATTTTGGAGTAATACGCATGAATGTATTCTCATAAGAAAAGAAACAAGAAAACTACAAATCACTCTAAACTACTGGGTGCAGGCCCTGGGGGAGAGACAGTGCAGAAGTGTGAAGGTTCCAGCAGAGGGAAAGTGGCCACAGAAGCCTACAATCGCCTGGCCTTCTGCCTGGTGGCAGTTCAAGGGCTGAAGGCACAAGCAAAGGAATTGAGAGAGAGCCTGCACCAACCACGGAGGCTGAGGTCGCTGTGCTCCCAGAACAGGGTTCAGCCAGAGCTCCTGTCACCTGCCCCAGGGTTCCGGCCAGCTGCAGGAAGAAGAAACGCAAAAGAGAACCACTCACAGGAGGGAGGAAACGATACTAACCACAACCTGTGTTAATACCAAGGGGTTACTACGTCATCACACACACACACACACACACACACACAAGAATCCTCAAAGATTTTACTCAAAAACAATCAAAATATGCAAAGCATAAACTGCTAAAACTACAAGACTTTATACATCCATAATACAAAGTCAACATGTCTTCCTTAATTACAAGTCAGAAGAACTATCAGTCCAAATACAGAAGACGTGAAAAACACTGCAGTTTCACCCCCACTGACCCAACCCCAACTGCGGATCACTTGCTTGTAACTACACACACCAAGTGTTTGATACGTAGCTCAGTTTATTTCCATAAAACTGAAAGGGCAGGGCTTGTCTGGACTGGTTCTCTTACATTACACTGAAATCAGTAGCAAAAAAACTACCCAGACAACTCCTCAATATTTGGAAAATCCCCCAGTCTTCTAATTAACCCATAAGTCAATGAAGTTGTAAATGAAATGTTAAAACTGAATGAAAACACGGCAAAGTTTTAGGACGCAGCTGGTGATGCTCGGTGGCACATGCATGCACAGCCACGAACATAATGGCCTAAAAATCAGTGTCACCAACTTTATCGTTGAGCATTCATAAAAAGAACAGCCAACTGATAAAAATAAGCAAAATTCTTGCAAAATTAATAAGAAGTCACAGAAAATGAAGTCAATGCAGCAAAATCTGATTCCTTGAAAACATTAATGAAGTTGATAGCTGAGCTAGAATTAATAAGGAAAAAGGAAAAGCTACAAGTAAGCAATGTCGAGAGTGAAAAATCAGATGTCTCTATAGATGCTACAAATGCTGGAGGTTAAAAACAGAATTACTTTAATGAACATAAATAATATAAATCAGGCAATGTGTGAAAATGATTCATTCATTGAAAATCACTAACAACCTGATGGGATAAATCACAGGAACCATAAACACAATAAAGTTACTAAATTTGCTATTAAAATTTCCTTCTCCCAAACCCCAAACCTAGACGGTCTTCACTGGCTCATTCTATCAGACATTTCAGAAGGAAATGCTGCTGCTTCACAAAGTCCTCATGAAACAATGGAGCCAGGAACTCCTCAAGCTTATTTTACAGTCCAGATACTCTTAATAAAGAAGCCATTCATAACAGTTGCAAAATTCTCTTAAACATTTTTGGAAAATAAACTGTAATGGTACATTAAAAACTATAATATTCTATAACAAATGGGATTTATCCCAAGAAATCAGATTTAAAGAAAAATCAACATTGTTGAGCACATTAGTAGATTAAAGGTTGAAAATAGGAGCTTTTCAACAGATACAGCCAAGCATCCTCCAATACCCACTAGTGACAGAGAAGACTAGGACACTATCCTGAGCAAGCAGGTTCCACAGCGCATGACAGCGTCCGTGGAAATGCAGACGCTGTAGCCTGGCAGGCTGAATCTCTGGCTCTGCACGTGGGAACCAAGGAGGGACATCCTGGCTCAGCACCTCCACTCCACACAGTGTCCGAGGTCTCAGCACAGCCGCAGCAGAGGCCGTGAGGAGTGGAGATCAGGAAGTGAGACGTCACCCCATCCTAGCTACCAGCAAGTGTTACAGCAGCGAACACAGAAAATCCTACAGAATCTAAGGAGCTGCTTGAAGTCATAAATGAGCTTGGCAAATCCACACAATAAAATGCTAACACAAAAATCAATCTGATGTACTTCTTTTAAAAATCTATTGGTTTACATTTCCCATTCCATTTGTTTTTTCATTTTATTCATTTTTAAATTTAATTTTATTCATTTGAACGGTAGAGAGTCTCATGACTTGTATGAAGAATATACAAAGAATTTTTTTTTACAACAAAACGAATGAAATGCAAAACATTTGGACAATTGACCAAGGAAATACATGAACTGCCTAGTGGAAAATCTCCTCAGTATCATTAATCCTGTGGGACATGACAGCAAACTCCATATGAGCCAGAACTTAGCTGCACTGGAAGAGCTAGCGTTAGATTACCTGACAACACGAGTATTAAGGACATAGAACAATTCTAAATCTTGGGCATTAATGGTGGGCATACAGCAGGGCACAGCCACTTGGGAAAGTAGCCAGACACACCAGAGTACCCCCTGGATAATCCATCTAGATGAAACTGAGGGAACATTCCTTTCTCTCAATGGTGAAGGTAAAGTGGGTCAGTGGTGGTCAAGGCCATGGGCAGAGGGGCACAAAGGCTCCCAGATGAAAGACACACTGCACAAACTGACAGCTGACCACAGGAATACCTAAGTTGTCAAGATTCACAAATACTTAAAATGAATGTATCTGATTCATTAGAAATTGTTTCTCAATAGAGCTGAGTGTTAAACATACTGAGATGGGCTTTAGGCACAGCAGTCACAATATCTGACAGTCTATCAGCATGCCTGCGTTCCAGGCTTGGCCTATTCCTCATTCCACCTTCCTGCTGGTGAGCAGCCTGGGAGGCAGTGGCTAGCCTGGCTCCCTGATACTCATGTGTGGGACCAGACAGGGTTCCCAATTGCTGGCCTCAGTCTGACCCTCCTTGCTTTAGCTGTTATAGGTAACTGGGGCGTAAATCAATAGATGGAAAATCCTTTCTCGAAATAAATAAATAGATGAGATTCAAAGTACTACACTCCTTGGAGTTCGGCAGCAGAATTTTGGAATGGCTTTGCTTTGTCGCTCCTTTAGCTGGTTGTCAGGGTCTTTCGTCATATTACACTAATAATGAAGTTCTGCATGCAATTTCCATCCCAAACAGAGCTCTACCACCTGTCAGCCTTAACCATTGTCATTAGGTATCTTTAACAACACTCTCTCTTAAATATTTTCTCAAGTGATCAATGAAAAATTTTAACTTTAATAAAGGTGAAACATATGTTCACTAACCACTTTCTACACGTGATAGTGTCCCAGGTACCTAACCTACGTGCTCTTCTCTAAACACTGCTGGCCAAGCCTCACTTCCCAAGTCTCAGCAGGGCCATGTGCCTCTCATGGCCTCAGAACTCTGACACTGGCAGAACATAGAACCCAGTTCCAGCCTGCCCGAGTGAGGGTTGTCATGGCAAATGGCATCACCAGTACCCAGCAGCTGCAGTCACATTTTCTTGGGGTGCTGCTTCAACGGAGTCAGTGAGCATCGCAGCTTCTGACTACGCACAGATGCTTTCCTTGGGTTGTTCAGGTAAATCAAATCAGGTTTCCACCTGAGTCCTCACTGCTCATTGCTCATGTGTGCATACATGAAATGGAAATAAACGATTTTGTGAAAAAAATACCTTCACTGTCCAGATCGTCACTCTGACCAAACACACTGTCCATCGAGGAGTCGGGAATGAAAGCCCACTCATCGAACTTGTCCAGGACACTCTCAGAAAAGTTTTCCTCACCGCCTGGGGAGGCTCCCTCCTCCACCGTACTTTTCATCTGGTATCGCAGAACCATTCTCGCTAGTACAGCTCCTATATCTAAATATTAGGAGACATTGCAGCAGTTAGAAATCAACCATTAGAAACAGCCTAGATCACACCAAGCTTCCTCAGAAACTGAGAGCTTTTTCCTGATCCTCCGCCTGTATAAAGGCTTAATTAGGTCTGTAAACAGAAATACTTATACACATTGATAATGTCTGCCAAGATGGACTCCCAATGATTACTGTTGGGTCAAAAAGGTGTGTGTACACATGAAAAATATCAACTGATACTTCCAATTTGTTATTTTTGTAACATTTTATTTCTGAGTAGTATGTTTTAACATTTATTTTTGTTGGATGGGCAAATAAATATACAAACAGGAGGAGACACAGGATGAAAGATCTTCCATCTGTTCGTTCACTCCCCAAGTGGCAACAGCTTCTGCAACTGAGCCAATCCAAAGCCCAAAGCTTTGGGCCATCCTCCACTGCTTTCCCAGGCCACAAGCAGGAAACTGGATGGAAAATGGAGCTAGCCAGGACATAAACCAATGCCCACAAAGGATCCTGGCATTGAAGGGGGAGGGTCAGCCAATTGAACCATTGTGCCAGGCCTTTTGAATAGTGCTGGCACTATGCTTTACTGGATTGAGCTGCTGCCCGCAGTGCCAGCTCCTGTAAGTATGTTTATTCAAGTTCTAGTTGCTCCATTTCTAATCCAGTTCCCTGCTAACATGCCTAGGAAAACAGTAGAGGGTGACCCAAGTGCCTGGGCTCCTGTACCCATGTGGTAAGCCAGGAACAAACTCCTGCCTTCTGGCTTTATGCCATTGTAATCATTTGTGGAGTGACCCAGTAGATCAAAGATCTGTCTGTCTCTCTCTGAAATTCTGTCTTTCAAATAATCTTTTTTTAAAAGCCCAAAGTTTAAATTTATTAAAGAAAAACTGAAGTAGTAGTTCAAAGAACTCAAAAATATCCTTCAACCTACTTCCCCATTAGTACATTGAGGGCAATTCAAATTTACAACAACCAACCACGTATGAAATTTTTGTTTTCGCACATGGTTAGTCACACAAGTTATTACCAAGTTTTGCCAATACTTTAACTATCTAACCACTGCAGGCCGTGTATAGAGCAGTGCCTGAGCTAAGACTCTGCACTGGCAGGAACTGACCCTGACTTCACAATGTTTATAATCTCCCAGAGGAAAAAATGACACATGTGTTTCAGGAGCAGGGAGAAGAACCATCCATCCACACTTCATGGGGTCTGAAACATGTCCCTATACAAAAGCAGCAGGTGTGAGGAGACAAGAAGAATGAGAGGACGGCCAGGGCAAGGCAGACTCTGGAGTAGGAAAGGATACAGACACTGGGATTAAAAACCACCACTAAAAGAAGAATTGTACAAGATATCCTTGCTAAACTTACTTGTCTGCTTCCTTAAGTTAGACGTCTTATCTGGAAACAGAGGAACAAGCCAAGAAGGCTCAATCTTGCCGATGCCAAATCCCCCAAGGCAGATGCTGTTGTTAGCCAGATCCAGGGCCAGCCTCTTCAAGAGCAGGCTGATGACCTGGCTGTCGCCCTTCCGGATGCTGATGGCCAGTGCCCTGCGCACATCCTGCTCCCGGGACCCGCTGTTGAGCAGCAGCTCCACCAGTCTGGGACTGCTCTCTTTCTCACAGACCTGTTCCGAAAGGCAAAGAAACAGATCACGTGCTTGGGAGTCTTCCCTGTGGGGTGACCTTCTACCACACATCTCAAAGCTTAGTGGAAACAAACCAGAAGGACGCAAAAGGCACCTTGGGAACAGATGGAGAACACTGAATGAGGTTAATGCTAGAAATGTGAGATTAGTGTAAATCAAGTAATCTCTCATGGAAGAAGTGGCTAAGAGGGGACAGAATCCAAGGGTCACCACTGAGACCGAGTCATGCCCAGGCTCCAGACGCTACATGTACTGTCCACACATTCCACAGCTCCTGTGACTTAATGGGAAATCAGCATGCTACAGTGGTCAGTGCAGTGCCCAGCCTGCCCTGGAGGCATCAAATAACCGAATGAAACAACAACAATGGAACCCTCACAGCCACAGGCAAGGACATTGCCAGGTTTCCAGTGCCTGGGCTCCTGAGGTCCCATGTGAATCTCCACAGATGCTCTTGTCTGAGCATGGTGCTCACACAGCTGGGGCTCAGGGAGGGTACCCATGGCGAGGGCTGCCAAGACTTCAGGGGCCTCAACACAGGACAGAACAAGACCCACCGTGTGCCTGGGCCACTGCAGACTGGCTTCAGAAGCATGATGGGACGGGATGCTTTAGGAACTAGGAGACTGTAGAGACACTGCATGCCCGGCACTGGGCAAAATGTTTACACACAAGTTGGGGAGATGATGACCTCAGGGCCGACCTTTCCCTGGAATTGAGGTGTTTCTAAGGGATGTGAAGCGACAGTGCTGTGTTGGAACCGCACACTATCTCCCCAATCACCCACCCTGATGAGAAACAAGCGCATGAAGTCCAGAATTTGAGAAGAAGATCAAGTGTCATCCATAGGAGGATTTGAACAGATTAAGATGATTTCTGAGGAGTTAGTGCTACTGCACTGAAATGCTTCAGTATGCTCATTTCTAATGAGAAACTAGAAACTTAGCACCTCTAACTAGCATGTAGTGTTTTTCACACAAAAAATATACAATAAAAATAAATTACTGAGGTGACTGACTTGATTATATTTAATAAGAGAGAAGTGACTCTTTTCAATGTCACTTGCTTACAAGAAATGTGACTAAATTGAAATAATTTGAATATCTGATTTGAATACATAAATATAGTGAGGCATGAACTAAGTTATATGCTCTGTTAGTTTCATGTTGATTGCTAATTAGCACTGCTAATCTTATAGTTGACAAATCAACTGAAATCCATGGGCAAGTGTGAAATTAAATAAAGTAAGGTTTTAAAATTAAATCATTTGAAGACATAGTACCCTGCTTATTAATTCTAATAGATGTTGGATCACTGTACAACTGCTTGGTTGAAATGTCATTTCATGTCTAGAAAATATAGATAGAGCTACTCTGAAATTCATGCAACTTAGAAAACTTCTAGCACAGGTAGCACATTTGACAAAGTACTTGTCAGCTACATCCTGGATGCAAAGCAGCGGAGGAGGAACAAGGACTGACATAGATGAACATTGCGTATTTCTGCTTACACACAGTCAACCCAGAGTATTTGGGAGGTGCACACATCCAATCACAGACTTGCAGAAGGGAATTCTGTGTATGAAGGCTTGCATGTGTAGGAGGACTTTGTAGAAAAAAGTGAAGACGGAGCAAGGTTTGAAGGAGTAGCACAGCTGATAGATGTAAGCATGCGCACAGATCAGGATGGAAGGAGAACAAAAGGACAATTTACGACATCATACACATTTAGGGGTTGGCGACAACACAGGGTCTCTGCTCCTGCACCTCCAGGTACAATGTACAATCACAAACACCAGCCCTTGGAGGAATTTACAGGCAGAGAACCTAAACACACAGTGGAAAATGCCAGAAAACAATCAACTCCCTGGAAGTGTGGATGGCGTACAGTATGGCTGGAGAGCAAGCCGGAGATGAAGAGTAAGGGACAGAGCCACCACTTCTCAACCTGACAGGCAGGCAGACAAGTCCAAAGCAGGGCACGTCTGGACACTCTAAAATTCTGCCAACGTGAACCACAAGCCACCTGCCAAATTGTGCAGTGCAGACTACTGCAATGCACAAAACAGTCATTTCTCAAAAGAACACAGGAACATGGCCAACATGAATATGAAAAAATGCTCAAGATCGGTAGTCATCAAAGGAATGCAGATGGAAAGTAACAAAAGATACTGAGGTGTTGGTGAGGAGATGAAGAAAAGGGAACACTTGGCATTGTTCTGGGGGAGCATAGGTTAGTGCAGCCAAATGGGAAACAGCAAGGAAGCTCCTTAATATATTAAAAAGAGGACAACCACATGATCCAGCAGTCCCACTAATGGACACTTATATTTAAGAGAATTGAAGTCTGGGCAAAAGACATCAACATTCCTATGTTTATTGCACTGCCACTTACACCAGCTAAAACATGTCATCAAACCAAGTGTCCATCAACTGAAGAATGGGTAAACAAAATGTGGTATCCAAACACAGTGGAATATTACATAAGAATGAAAAAGTCCTATTGTTTATGACAACCTGACGAACCCGGACAGCACTATGTAATGTGAGATGAGCCAGACACAGAAAGACAAACAACACATGACCTCACACACATATGGAAACTGAAAGAGCTGATCCTACATAGGTGGGGTACTGGTTACCACAGTGGCTGGCCGGGAGGACAGGACACGGAGATGTTGGCCAGACAGTACATGATTACAGTTAACACAGGGAGTTTTTCTAAATGCTTACAATAGGCAAATATAGAGACACAGAAAATACACAGGTGACAGTTTGGGAAAAGGAGGTAAACTACACTTGAGAAAGAAGAAACAAGGAATAAAGGAGGGTCTTTGCACATGATGAAACTGTTCCAAAGCTGTGACGATGGCCACACAACTCATGGTCATAATTACATTCCATGACACAGTTTTGTAGGTCCAGTGCTTCCCCAGTCGTTTTCCCTCCCATCATCTTCCCCCATAATACCACAGTAGCACAGTCCTTTAAGTTTAACTTTCTGAACTCTGTAAACTACAAACTACTGGGCTGTATAACAGTTGGATGCTCTATATAGTTTGTGAAGATTATAATTTATCTCAGGCTTCTTAAAACAGGAGACTAGGACGTTTGTAAGAGCATCCTAGTAACAGAGGCCAAGTAACAGAGAAGAGACAGAAGCAAGGCCTTTGGTATTTACCTGGCAGATTAAGGAAGTGCCCTCCTTGGTTTGGTTGGCGTCCGCTCCCAGGAGCAGCAGGCACTCCACCATGACACTGCTGTTCTGGTCGCAGGCCCGCTGCAGCATTGCTCCCTTCAGCTCATCATCCAGGGCTAACTTGGCAAAACTCTTGCAACAGAGGTTCAGGAGCTAGCCAGAAGGGAAAAGGACATGAGAACCAGCTACACGCACAAGCCTGAGCTTACGGCTGGAACAAGGTCCTACCTGTTGGTCCTTTTGTTCTGTAATACTGGAAGACATCTGATGGAATATCACGGAATCAAATGAATGGTGGACCAACAACTTGGAAAAAGACACTGACAGTTCAAGTATTGCCAAGATGGCCAGGAACCCCTAAAAATGGAACCCAAAGTTATAAAAAGAAATCACATAAACAATCATGATCAAAAAAGAAAAGGAGTAATACAAAACTGAAGCTGCTTGTGGTACTTAATTACCACTACATTTACTTAATTACGCATTCATACATGTTGCCTTTGTATTTTGTCCCCTAAGCCTTCCAACAATCCTACAAATACCCCTTACTTTCTTACTCTTAAGAAATACAGCAGATACTGGGACACAAAATTAAGCTGCTGCCTGTGACCTTGGCACCTCACATGGATGACGGTTCATGTTCTGCATGTTCAACTTCTGAGCCAGGTCACTGATAATGGCCTGAGGAATCAGCAGAAGATGGTGCCTGGACCCTCTAACGGCAGGGGAGGCTCTTGGCTTCAGCCTGACACAACCGTGGCCACTGCAAGCTCTGGAAGAGTCAATCAGTGAACGGGAGATTGCTCTCTCTCACCATCTCTTAAATAAACCTTTATTAGAAAAAAGAAAGTCCTGCAGGTACACAGAGAACAGAAGGAGGCCATCACAGGAGGTCTTCCTGTAACTCAATCTGCAGGAATAACCCTGCTTACATCTGCCCCTCAGCTTGTCAGCCTTTCTCCCACAAGGCTGCTGTTGACTGCAGTTTCCCAGTTTCTTGGCAACATCTCCAATGCCTGCAGCAGGATGTTGTCTTTTGATGTGGGGATGATACTGTGGACCCTGCAAGCATAGGGGCACAGGAGGCCTGGTGGGGCATGGGGTCTGTCAACTACCCATTAGGAGGATTCCTGGTTTTCATTTTTGTCTCACAACCAGCCTTCCTGCATTGCCATGTCTTCACATTTCTGTTGAGCAGCCAGTCTTCTCCTGTGAGCCTCTGGAAATTCTGAGACACTGGGTAAGCATGCGGATACGCCTTGTTCTCCAGAAAGTTCATGCAGAAAGCAAGCACGGGATGACAACTCTGCCTTCTCCTCCCAGAACCTCCCTGGTTGTTCTTGCTGGGGCCCAGAGTTACCTGGCACCTGTCCATCTCCCATCTTCTTGACACCATCGATGTGGAGAACTAAACACCCCAAAAAGCCATCAAAGCTGAAGCCATACATTACTACTTTTATATTCATTTGTTTATTTAAAAGCAGAGAGGCACAGAGACAGATCTCTCAACCACTGGTACACTTTGCAAATGCCTGCAGCAGCCAGGATTGGACTAGGCCCAACAAAGGAACCGAGAACTCAATCCAGTTCCCTCACACAGGTGGCAGGAAACCAGATGCTCAAGCCACCACCCACCCTTGCAGATGTTCATTTGCAGGAAGCCAGAATCACTAGAAATGACATTCAAACCCAGGCATTCCCATGCGGGGCGTCAGCATGGCCAGCAGTCTCCTAGCTGTCAGCCACACATCTGCTCTGTTGCTTCTCGTAACCACCTGTAGCACATCCCAAGAGGGAGCTGCCCTATCTGCTCACAGCAAAGTTAAAGTTTGAATCCATAGAGTACCATTTATTTAGGGCAAACTTGCCAAAGGGCATCATATTTTATTTGTTTTGCTTTTACTATTTTAGCTCTTCTAATACAATGTATTCATGAAACCTCCTAAATGCTGAAATGGCTATTTTGAGCTCATAAGAGGGCAGGTTTCTGCAACTGTTCACTAAGACCCACTAGCCAGAGTGATCAAAGGCTGTGTGCTTGCCCAGCTCAGTGCAGAGCTGCCTGCAAACTCGAATATGGCAGCAGAGAGGTGAAGCACATATGTCCTAGGTATACAATTAATTATGACTTTCTAAAGAAACTATGACATCCCAACTACAGCATCGAGACCCTCCAGTGGACGCTCCAGGCCGCACACATTCAGCTGCCTTCCTCCTGCTCAGCTCTGCCTCTGTGCTTCAGCCTAGCCTGAGGCAGGCTGCAGAAAGTTTACAATACCCATTGTTGCTTTCAACTGGAGAATGTTGCGTGCTCAGCAGTTTATAACTTTGTTTAAAAAAATCTTTACATCATCTCAACTTACTGATAATTTCTGTGCAAAGGGTACAAGCCTAGATATTTTTATTCCTGGTCGAAGCTGTCATTTAGAAAATACTTGCTGAGTGTGGTTTCTGAAAGATGCCAACTCTGTTATTAGGAAAACCACAACCATGGCAGAAACTCTTAGAGAAGCTCTTTCTTTTGTTAACATACAATAAAAGCCAATAGAATCCAATTCTTAACCTCCCCTGCACTTAAACCTAGCTCGATATCTTGGAATCCTTACAAAAACATTTCTTATGCCCATGTTTTAAATGCTGTTTGGTGAAGACACTTAATATATTATTTTGCTGCAAGTGAAACAAAAAGAGCAAGAAGCATAATCACAAGAGGTAAGCATAGCACCACAGAGCAGAGCAACACTGGACTACACACAGCCTCTTTATCTAAACCCTAAGAAAAGCCAGCAATTAAGAAATCAGCTGAGAGTCCTTCAAGTTGCACATCCAATGGATAATGAAGATACTATGAAGGACAGATGGTTTCTGGTTCACTGCAATGCCCATGAATGCAAACCAAAAATTGAGCAAGCTTCTGTATCCAAAACCCAAGGCCCGGAGTCCCAGCAAGGGCACGGCACTGACCTTCACCTGCACCTCAGGAACATCCTTAAATCGCTGTAAACTGGAAACAAGAATTTTTGCCAGTTGATGCCCAGCTCCTGTGCACACATTCTTCTTGGTCATCAAGCATCCTATGAGACTTAAACCAAGACACTGAATTTCTAGAAGAAAATACAAATACACACAAAAAATTCATTGTTTTATATCTTAAAACTAAACAAAGACATTAAAGACATCCAACCAACAGCTGGTGGTCTCTGAAGAAGTGTTCCAAAACCTGAGCTCAAAGGCACTGACCTTGGTCATCCGGGTACATCTGCAGCGTGTGGAGCACCGAGTCAATGGCCCCATCCAGGGACAGCACCTCCAGGGCATCAGGTACGTGTGCTATTGAAGCTATTACTTTCAATCCACATTTCTGAATCCCAGGATTCCCAATGAACTGAAATCAGAAAGGAGGTAAGGCCTCTTGCCATCCTGAGTTAAAATTGGGCAGAACCAGTCAAGCACAAATCAAGCAACCCCAACACAAACCAATACAATTTACTTTGTCTACCATGTTACTATGTACTTGTATGGATCATGAAAGACAAGAAATAACAAGGGAACACAGCAGGCGCTGTGATCAACACTTCACAGGCATTTCTTCCCCACACAAGCACCACTGCCAGCAGAGCCTGAGTTCAACCAGAGCACAAGGACTGAGTGGTGATTCCCAAAGCCAGACCGACTGCAAATGCCCGCCATGAGAGCATCAAGTCACAGCACAGCCACAGATCTGACCACCTCTGCGTAGGTGCCCAGGTGCCCAGGAACTGCCATGCTTCCTCTCTCCCCAGCCGACCTCCTCTCTCCTTGGACAAACATTCACCCCTTTCCCAATCCAGTCATTTGATGCTACTCATGGGTCCTGACTCAGTTTCCCTATGCTGTGCCCTGCTCCTCACCCCATGGCTGCCTAGCATGGATGCCACCTGACCTAGCAGATGAACAAGGCTTGTGCACTCTGGCCCACCCTGGGGTCTCTTTCTTGTCACTCTTTCCACAAAATGGACTTCCTGAGGAGTGAAAGTACAGCCATGCCACAGTCACTTCTCAGGGTCACAGACCTGAGACCCAGGTTGACTCACCTCAAAGGAGGAGCTAACAGGGCTCCCATCTAGTTCCCTGCTTGTGGCCTGGGAAAGTAGCAGAGGACAGCCCTAGGCCTCCAGGGCTGTACACATGCAGGAGACCCAGAAGAAGCTCCTGGAAACAGACTGGCTCAGCTTCAGCCATTTTGGCCAACTGGGGGAGCGAATAAGCAGACAGAGGATCTTTCCATGTCTCTCTCTCTCTCTAAATCTGCCTTTCCAAAAAAATTTAATTAAAATGAAGCTTAAAAAAACACATTGAGGGCCTGGTGCAATAGCCTAGAGCCTAAAGTCCTCACCTTGCACATGCTGGGATCCCATATGGGCACCAGTTCTAATCCCAGCAGTCCCGCTTCCCATCCAGCTCCCTGCTTGTGGCCTAGGAAAGCAGTCAAGGACAGCCCAAAGCCTTGGGACCTTGTACCTGCGTGGGAGACCCGGGGGAGGCTCCAGGCTCCTGGCTCCTGATCAGCGCAGCTCCAGCCAGTCTTTAACAAATATATATTTTTACTCAAAATGTAGAGTGAGAGGGAGAGAGAGTCTCCATCCAGCATACTCCCTTAGAATAGACAATAATCTGTGCAGCTCCAGGCCAAAGCCAGCAGCATGCAACTCCATCCAGGTTTCCCATGTGGTTGACAGCAACATTAACAGGAAGTGCTAAATGGTAAAAATATTTACAGACCGGAACATTACGAAGAAATTCAGATAAGCAAAAGATGAGTGAAAAACTATACCAAAAGGACTTGAGTATATAACAAAAGGACAGTCTGTGTAGCTACAGGAAAAATATGAAGACAAGCTGAGGAAGTACTCACAGAGCTGTAAAATAGAAACCAAACACTATATACCCAGCCCACGTACACATGCAATAACCCATAAAGATATGTACATTGCCTAACGGCAGTCTGTACAAGAAACGGCAACAGAAAACTCGTATTCTCATCCTTCACACCCAGAGTCAGAAAATCCCTTCCCATCTAAAGCTCATCAAATTAACCATGCCCTCAACAGTGGGTTAACCACAGCCTACACCACAGACAACTCACTGGAGCACCAGTTCAAGTTCCTGCTGTTCCACTTCCAACCCACCTCCCTGCTACTGTTCCTGGGAAAGCACCAGAAGATGTCCCAAATCCCCAGGCCCCTGTATACAAAGAAGGAGACACAGATAAACTCACAGCTTCAGGCTGGCCCAGCCGTGGTCATCACAGCCACTTGGGGAGTGAATCAATGGATGGAAGGCTATAGTTCTCCATTCTCGTTATAACTCTGCCTTTCAAATACAACTTCCACTTAAAAAATTAACTGGAATGTATTGTTTATTATTATTTTATTTTGGTGCTCTTTACATAATTAGGGCACAAAGGGTCAAGGGCTACAGGAATATGAATAAGACCACTGCTTCCACATTCTCTTTTTCTTTTCTGTATCTCGGGGAAAGGGGGAAATAAAGGGAGAAGCCCCACCCAGCCTCCCAACCATCCCAAGGTCCCTGACGTGGGGCATGCTCCAAGGACATTGCTCAAGTGGTTTTGATAGTTCAACAGTTCTGAATTGCTGCCAATCGTGCCACTCCAATCACGATGAAATCTTTCCAGAATCTACTGTTGACATGGAATACATCCTATGTTGTCAGGCACTGTACTGACACCTTAACATGAACAATATCGTAGATCTTCCTAATAATTCTAACTGAAAAAATCATCTCTTATCACAACAAAACTGACATTAAGTAGCTTGTGGAGGATGCAATGACTGCCCATGTTTACTCGAGTCTCTTCCTGAACCATCTCCACGTACCACTGACCCACCTGCTCCAGTGCCGCAGTCACCCCATTCCACTGCCTGAAGTCTTAAGGTACATTTGCTTTTCTGGTGGAGCCAGAGAACAGACTATATCTTTCCACATTTGTCCTTAGTTATTCATGCATATTCACTTTTTTCATTCAAATTTGACATTAGTTTATCAAGTTTCAGCTATTTTTAACCAAAGCTTCATAGAGACAAATCAATTTTTATTTTCAAAAATATCAGTAAATGTATTTTTTCCTGCCTTCACTTTGTCTTTTGTGCTTTAGTTTACCCTTTCTGTGGTCCTGTTGGTGTCTAACTTCCCTCACAGTTCCTTGTAGTTTTGCTGCTGCTCCTGCAAATGACCTCTTTTACTGCACGGGATTTACAACTGAAATAAACACCTCCAATATTTAAACAAGTGTCTTGTGAGGCTCTCAAGTTCTTGTCCTGTGTCTACTTCTTTGATACAGCATGAATGCAGTAGAGAATGTTCCAGAGATTTCACAGCAGCCTCACTGTTGATGTACTGCCTGTACCTAGCACTGATTCACTTCACTAAATATATCTTGGTCCCCGATTGCTGTGGTTTCAATGCTGAATGCCCCCAACCAGGCCCCCTGCATGAAGGATTTGTCCCCCAGATAATGCTACAGGGAACAGTGACAGGGGTTTGGTGGGGAACAGTGGGCCTGGGAGGGAGGGCCTGGGGTCACGGAGGGTATTATCTGCTCCCTGGTCACCAGGTGAGCCTTCCTTCCCGGGTGCTCTGCCTTTCTCCACGGGCCTCTTGCCAGATCCACAGCTTGGGCCACACCATGTGGACTCTGAACCCTCAAGACTGTGAGCTGAACAAACCTCTCCTTCTCGCGTGCACAGCTTATCTCGGGCATTTTACTGCAGTGAGGCAAAACTGACTCACAGGAATTTGCATTTCTTATTTTGAATTCTGATCTCCAAGAGCATACTTTTTCCCCTATTGTCCACTGCTTCTACAACATTAGGACATTACATCTCTGATGCTTTGCAATCACAGAACGCTGGCACTAGCGAAATCATTCTCATCTTCTAAAGCAATTTTCTCAGCCACAGTAAGTGTTTTGAAATGTCCCCAGGGTCAACATGACTCGGGAAGCCTATAGCCCATCTCCGAGGGCCACCCCTGCTGATCCCAGCTGCCTGCACACAAGCACCTTAGGGGACACTGGCAATGGCTCGCATCTGTCACATACAGGGGAAGTCCAGACTGAGCTCCAGTTCCCAGTGGCTGCTCTCATCTGGAGACTGAACCACAGGATGAAAGCCTGACTCCTCCCCTCCTTCTATTTCATTTTTAGTCCGCCTTTCAAACAAGTATATAAAATGCCAGCACATCTCTTATCCCACAACCTGTATGACAGTCACCATGTAGTTTGAAGTCTCGTGTCAAGGCTTGGGTGGTGGCATGGGGACACAAGGAGGCAGTTTTCAATCAGTTCTCCTGGATGTAGTCAGAGCAAGCTAAACAACCCTCTTACGGCAATTGGCCTTACAGCTGTGTCTAGCCTGCAGCACACCCTAGGCCACACTGCCACACAGCACTTCAGCAAAGGCTAGCCAATGGAGCCAGTCTTCCAGGAGGCTCTGCTGGAACCTCTTCTTATCAGTACGCACTTTGACTAAAATTCTACTACCTCCTCCTTGATCTGAGAACATGTTCCCACACCCCCTGCAGCTCCCGAGTGCTAAGGGGGTATGGTTGACACCATGCAAGTGTGTGACTCCCCAGCCAGGTCATGAAACAAGACAGAAGGTGCAATCACACCAGTTATGTTCCCATCATTGCCCACCTAGTTCCTCCAACATCCTTACTTCAACAGGTATTTCCAGAATTAAAGATGACCCATTCTAATAAGCATTTTCCTATACTCAAAAATCACATGAAGGGTTGAATACAAATGACTTATGCAGATCAGAGATAATTACATTCCAAAATTCAATTTAAATTGAGACATCTCAGAGATCTCTTTGGAGACTATCCTAATTAATTCATGACATCTATCAAAGTACTCTAAATCACAAGGAATCATTTCAATTAATTATTTCAGATATGCATTTCCTTCCATGAAAACATTAACCCTAGCCATTCTTCCCACCTTTTATCCTTGTCTCTTTTATAAAGCCAATTTATCTTAGGTTAACTTAATTCCATTGCACAATCTGACCTCCTTCCTCTTCTTTGTTCACACTTAGCATGATTTAGTGATCCTTTTGCTATGATGCTCACAGAGCCGTAAATGCCTAGGAAATGGGAAGAAACTGGGACAGCAAGCAAGCAGACCCAAAGACAACTTTGGTGTTACTTTCTATGTTCATAGACTGATCCTGTTAGCAGAAAGCCAGAGGGGTAAAACAGAAAGAAAGATCAGCAGGCTAGACAATGGTTTGCTGGTTTAGTTCTGATCCAGCTCCCTGCTAACATACCCAGAAGGATGGCTCAAGTGTGTGAGTCCCTCCAGTGCTACACCACTTGGGCAATGAGCCAGGAATTGAAACTTGCTTGCTAGTGTGCTCTCTCTCTCAAAAATTACCTTTCAAATGAACAAATTTTTTAAGAAGAGGAGAGGAAGAAAAGTAAAGAAAGCAGCAGGTTGAGACACACATCCAGCTCCCAGGTGGGTTCATGTTTCTAGCCAGCACCAATGGTGGTGCTCTGCTTGAGGCTCAGCCACCTCGGCCAGCACACACTCCTACACTGCTTGACACATCACTCCAGGTCTCAGGCCCGCAACACAACTTCCTCCAAGCCTGGTAAACATAACCCAGAAAAGCTCCCTAGTTTCTCTAATGTGCTAAAGAACCATATAAAGGCACGGAACCTGTATTCTACGTACCCTGTTCAAAGCTGCCAGAACCAATTTGTGGATGTCACTCCTGAAACACTGCCTTCTCACCACATTTAGGTTCCGCTGACATTCCGTCTCCTCTCTGGAGTCTTCCGGTATGCCTACACACAAAAGCACACAGGCAAATAAACAGATGCGTGCTTTCTCATGAGGACTGAAGCTGAGCACACAGCCACTTGCTAGAAATCATCATTATGAACAACGCAGTGATGCGCGGCTCCATTTTGAGGGAAATACCACTGATTTTAAGCAATCGGCAAAGGTACTTTATCAGCAAATACCAAAGAAACAACACTGTATGGATGTTTATCACATTTAAAGTAGCAAGATGTTACCACAAGGCAGGGACTTCTGCACCAAGCAATCTCTCCTGCGTGAGTACACCATGCCTTAAGAAACCAGAATGTTTCCTATAACAGTGGCCAACCAGAGAAAGTCCAAATGCAAAAGGCAGGCAAAGAACAGCCAGAAAAAGTGTAGGAAACATTACAATCATGTCTTCTATTATTCTATTAGATGTGCATTAGTGCTATGATAACTAAGTTTAAAGGAAAAAAAAATTGTTACCAGGCCAAGTGTGTTGAAAAAGCAAGTGTGTGATTGAATGTAATAGATGAGTGAACTTTTATTGAAGCAATGTTTCCTAAATCTGAGACAACATAAATGATAAGAAACATTCATAACCCTTCATTATAGTCATTTGTACAACAGTAACTATACATTGGCTGTGATGGCTTTTCCAGGATTTGAATGACCACAGCCCACCAAGGGCTTTACCTCTTGCCATGAACACAGGGCAGCGGCACACTGGACTTCCACCTCCAGGCCTTCCCCTCAGCTCTACTGCTAGTCTGCGCCCACATGCCCCTTGAGGAGCCCAATGGCAGCAGGCCTGCTAAGCAGCACAGGCCTCCAGCCCCAAGTGCAGGGTCTCTGGGTTTTCTGAAGCAAACTTCATGTGGTCTTTGGCACATGGTTGAATGTCCATTATTCAGAGCATATAGTTTCCTTCCCACAAAACTCCCCTACACTGTGTGCACTGCAAATCCACAGTCCCACCATATTCAGATCTCAAGGGTCCCAAGCACTGCGTATTACACACATGCTCAACAAATGCACGGAAAGTACCTTCTCTACAATGAGGCTGCACAGGCATAAAAGCCAGCTCTATTATACAAGATTGGCTTTAAAAGCCTTCACAACCCTGTTACTCAGTTTCCACATTTGTAAAGGACTTCACACTATTAGGTACTAACACTGTTATTAGTTACAAATGAGTAATTAGCATTTTTAAGCACCAAGTTGAATCCTCTGTAGAAAATATTTTCCTTTCCTTTTACAACTCTCAGAGGAGTTTTATAATCTTCCTCTTCATTTTCTGTTTCCAAATGGTCTATGTCTCTTAAAAACTTTTACATGATTTCATCTACAGCTAAACTAAGTCAAGCAATAACCTACTAAAATAACTGCACTTCATTACTGATTTATAAAAGCAACCAGTTTGGGGGCCCGGCGGCATGGCCTAATGGATAAAGTCCTCGCCTTGAACACGCTGGGATTCCATATGGGCAGCTCCACTTCCCATCCAGCTCCCTGCTTGTGGCCTGGGAAAGCAGTCGAGGACGGCCCAAAGCTTTGGGACCCTGCACCCATGTGGGAGACCCAAAAAAATTTCATGGTTCCCAGTTTTGGATTGGCACAGCACCGGCCGTTGTGCTCACTTGGGGAGTGAATCATTGGATGGAAGATCTTCCTCTGTATCTCTCCTCCTCTCTGTACATCTGACTTTGTAACAAAAAAAAAAAACAAAAAAAAAACAACAACAAAAAAAAACAGTTCATCACTTTAGCATGCTATTTTAAAAAGAGGAAATAGCAGCACTAGATCCAAAGAAACTAAAGAAATATGACACCATATGTAATGCTAATCTTAACCAGATACCAAATTATGCAAGCTTTCTGTAGCAAACATCATTATATCTAAATATCATTTGATCCACACTTATGCCTGGATATCTTGTAAGAATCTCAAATTGTTCAAATAAAAATTAGTCTCCCGACTCCTGGGGTACTGACTGCACAGCTATTCATTAAATATGGAGAGCACATCATATTATGCTATGGTATGACACAAGTGGTACACTATGCTACTGTACAGTACAATGTGCCATGCCATGTTGTGCCATGCCATGTTGTGCCACATGGCTGTAGTTGTGTATGGTGTAGTAGCAGGCTATGATAACCAAAAGGTGAACAGATGATTAAGCCTTTACTTAACCCAGAAATGTAGTTATTCACTGATGTTTATAACATTTGTCTAGTAATATATACTTGCACACACAAGCAACAGGCCTATAGTAGTTATTTCCAAGATCATTCCTAGTGCATTTAATTGATCAACTCAGGGTTGCTCCAAGGTTAGTTAAAAAATAGAAGAAATACTATATACAAAATTTACTTTTGTATTAATTGAGTTTGTCTTACAAACTAAAAGACTTGGTCATGAATGTCTTTTGGCTATCTTTATAACTCAAATTCACCCTCAAAATAACAGGGCTGACATCTTTAAAGATAATCTAAAAAGTTTGCTATTTCTGCTATCGTTTTATGTAACCTACAAAGAAAATTAAAACACAGTGTTATAAGGCAAGGTTGTATCCGCTATATTTCAAAATTTAACTAAGAACTACGAATGGAACACCATTATTCAACTAAACAAAACATTGACTGAATATTTATCATTCCTCAAGGTATTAGGGAAAGCAATCTATCCAAACAAATATTCCTTTATGTTTAGAGAAATAAATTACCTACATAACCATAGAAAATGGTAGCTTTCATTAAAAGATGGGACTTCCAAAGAACTGGGAATTTTACAAAAAAAAAAAAAACTTCCTTCCTATTTAGTGTCACAAAGTCACAGGTCAAACAGGTCTGGAGAACCCACATGTACACAGGTCTGGAGTATCTCCCTGACCACCAGGGGCCTCCTGCCATCGTCCTGTCTGGAGTCTCTCCTAGCAGCGCTCGTTATAAACTGAAGATCTGGAGGTGAGCCCACAAGTTGTAAACAACTTTTAATAAATGTGCACTGCTTTTCCCAAGAAAGCTCACTGCTCAGTGCTGCCTCCCACCGCAGGGACACAACCACTAGTTAGGAGCACTCTCCACTTCTCTCCCCAGACCGGCCCTCCTCCACCTGCCATCTCAGCATCACCAGCTCAGCCTACCACTCTGAATACATTATTGTTGTCTCCACTGACACAAGATTTTGATGAGTATAAAAAGTTTGGGACTTAAAGGCAAGTTTGTTTATGGTGCAAAAAAACTTGAAATCCATGATTCTGGACATATATGTGTAGCCCTCAGTGCCTGTAACAGTACAGCCATGCTGTACTGTCGCTTATCTTTCAAAATGCATAACGATTACAACATAAGAGGCACCTAATAAAAATGTGTTGAATGATTAGAGCAGCTGGTAATTCAAACGTGCTTCAGGGATCAGGTAAGGTCACAGTAAAAGGGACAGGAGAGTAGAAGCCACTGAGGTTGGTAAGAGGTATGTGGTTATATGGCAGAAAAACTAAAACAGCGTGAGAAGGAGTGGGATAAAGCAAGAGAGTAAGTATGGAAACGAACTATCACTTCACTTCAGGAGAGACAGATAATCTTCAACGAAAATCAGGTGGCACCCACAAAAACACAATTACCAGTCAGATGTCGCCCTTAGAGGTAAAAGCTGTACAGTTGGGGCACACATTTCGTCTGCCAGTTGATATTCTGTTTTTAAAATGTACTTATTTGAAAGTATAGAGAGAGAAATCAACTTTCCACCCACTGGTTCACTTCTCAGTTGGCAACAATGGCCAGGGATGGTGTCACAGACTGAAGTCAGGAGCTTGATGCAGGTCTTTCATGTAGCCTGCAGGGGCCCAAGCACTTGGGCTCTTACCCACTGCTTTTCCCAGGGCTTTAGCAGGAAGCTAGATTCAAAGTAGAACAGCTTGGACAAGAACTTGTGTCGATATGGCATGCTGGTGTCACAGGCAGCAACTTAATGTGCTATACTCCAACAGTGGTCCAAGTTGATTCCTGAGACACCACACACCCCAGCTCCTGATTCTGGCTGACACACAGCCAGGGGAAGCAGGGGGCAGCTGTCTCATCTCAGCAGTTGGGTCACTGCCATCCACGCTGGATACCTGGATTGAATCCCAGTGTTTTGTTCCCAGTCCCCGTGGGTCTGCGAGTAATAAGCCAGCAGATGGGAGCTTGCTGTTCTGTTCTTTCATTGTGCGCATGTGTCTAGGTCTCTCAAATTAGTTTTTAAGATAAAGTCAGGAAGCTCCTCATCGTACATATTAGCTATTTCCTATGTAGCAAGTTATTAAATTCTCTCATGTGGCTTGTTATAAATTAATCAAAGGAACTCTTACAGCATTATGTACCCTCTAATTTTATTTTTTAGTTTAGCACAAAGGTTTGCCTTTGGCTGGTAGAGGCCAACCCTTTAATTCCTGTGCAGAAGGTGGATATCACTGAAAACTCCAAAGTCCATGCTCCCTGCTATCTCTTCCTGCTGTCAGTTACATGACTTACCTGGCATTATAAAATGTAAAATAGCTCGAAGTGCCTCCAGCTGCACGGGTGATGATGGCTCATGGCTTCTCATAACTGTGATGATTTTGGGGACCACCGCTGACATTGTATCCAGGGAAATATTACTGCAGGAATAAAATCGGCATGCTTATTAAAAACACATTCTAATTGTACACATACCACATTGCAATAGACGCAAGAGAACAAATCTATTTTAATTGGAAAGGCTGCAGGAAAAAATGTTAGAATTTGATGGTAAAAGCATATTACTGGTTAATTAAACTTCCACCTCAAGCTTAAGAATTCACAGAAAAATGGAAATGATTTAGTTTCATAAAACTAGCACTTCCTTCTGATCCATGAGTGTAACTGACCCATAGTTAGGGGACTCACACCATCACTTTCCAGATGAAGGACTTGGGAAGATTGAGCTCAAACCCCAAAGTCAAAGGAAGTATCAGAGTCAAGGCTGACACACCAACCACCAAGGCCAGGGCCCTGGGCAATCTATCAACCTGATCAACTCCCCAAGCCTTCTAATGAGACTTTTAATAATATCTACTTTGCATAAAGTCATGGTTCCTCCAAGGTCTGAAAGCTCTTTACATTCGAGCAACCATCGCTGGCCTGGATTTCAGCAACCGCCTAGGCTGGAATAGAGTCAGTTATGCTTGGCACTGTGCATTGCGATGAAACTGGACCTTGCACACATCCCAGCCGAGTCAGAGCTCTGCACGTGTTCCCTGAGGTGAGGCTTCACTGCCTGCAATCTGCTGTTTACACAGGAAGCACAGTCCTTGCTGGGAGTCTCCCCTCTGGTCAGCCCAGCTGGGTCACTCTGGGTAACTCTTTCTCACAAACACTGACTTTGGGGGGGGAATCATGCTGGATGTGAAGTGATCTGTTTGCATATCAGTCTCTCCACTGAGACAGGGAGTATGGGTGGGGGGCAGCAGCAGGAGGTGCTTTGTCAACTGTAATCTCCTTGACTAGAAGCATGCACATTTCACACACACAGCAACAGCCAGGAAGCAGCTGTGCCTGTCTGACTCCCAAAGAAACGGCCAGAAACTTTATACTCCTTGGCCATGGTTTACTGCTGCATTTATCAAGGATTCTGGCTCATTTGCAAAGGTTTACCAGTTTCTAGCTCCATAAAAACAAACAGCTGAGACGAGGTGTTCTAAAGCAACCTTTACATACAAGCAAATGACTTGGAAAGGCAAGGCGTGTAAACATGGCTAGAACCGGACTGACAACAGCGGAGCCCACTCTTCACGGAGAGCCGGGCTACACACAATGCACCATGCCACAGGCAAGTCACTCTCTTCCAGCAGCTCCATTCACAAGATTTGCTGAGTGCTTCAGAGGCAACAGGTATTATCCAAGGGGCTTTATAAACTTAAATTTTTACGTGATAAAGTCACAACATGATTTTTAAAATAAGATGTTTTTGAGATGCAATGTTTTAAATTTGTGTTTCATTCAAAGGCTTTTTGGCCCCACTCTTGTTCAATGAATAAAAAGCAAAAAAAAAAACAGCAATTCAGCAGGAAAATAGGCAAGGGCTATGATTGATAGTAACAATCAGCTCATGCATACGGACCGTAAAATAGCCACAAAAGTCATTAGAGTGGCACCTAAATCATATCATTTCACTGGACAAATATTTAAAACAAAGTTTGCCAAAACACTTTATTTAAAGCAGCCAAACTGATACAGACAGGCATTTCCTTCCTTCCTTTTCTAATTTTAGCTCCCCACACATACAGGAGAAAACATACTCAACTGTTACTCCTTTTTCACAGATGAGGAAGCTGAAGCTGAGCACCCAAGTGCTGGCTCTTACAGGGAAGAACAAGGTTCCCCTCAACCGCCAAGCCTCTTGTGTGTGCTCGTGTGTGCACCAGTTCCCATATGGCCTCCAGGTGTGGATGGACTCAGACAAAGCTCCCTCACAAAACAGGAGATGGCACCGAACATGTACTGCTGGAAGTATCACCTGCATGTCATTTGGCTTTGCATTTTCGGGAAGTGGGGGTGATCAATATTTTGGACCCTGTCATTGTCCAGCCCCTGGGCTGGGCACAAGTGTGCCTAGAAGTCCCCGTGTTGAGGCCTGAGCCCCGGAGGACAGTCAACTCACAGGAATAAATAATGACCAACCTTTGCTGTAAGAAAGCAGCCATTACAACCTGTTCCCTGGTTTTGTCTCACACCTTCCTGCTTACGCAATCGCTGGTGTTGTGACCACATCATCGCATCCCATGCACAAAGGAGAGAAGCCAATCTTGAGTGTGGATCTGACGAGCTCTGCCGTTCCTGTCAATGCCCATGGAGAGCAATGCTGTGACGCCAGTGACAGGAGATCACACTGCCACAGGTGCAAGTCTTGGTGGCCTAGTGCCTCGCTCTTGCAAGAACAAAGCTGACAGTCACATTGCATCTGGACCTCTATTTCTGCCTGAGTACGTGAGTTTGTCTTACCTGCCTTCAAACAGGTGGTTGAGCATCTTGCAGCCACTCTCAGCCACTTCTGGAGAATGTGCATGCCTCTGCATCAAGTCCAGAACATTGAGGTAGATCCCTTTGGACAGTAGTATCTTTCTGAAATTAACTGCAAGATCGGCTGCATGTTACTTGTAGGAAGGGAAACCCATTCCTCTAATTTTGCAATAGACATGGATGCTTAAGACCATCCACGTTCACAGAAAGCAAGTGCAACAACATACAAAATACATGGTTCATTGACAACCTAAAAATATGTACCACATTCCATTTTTTCACATTAACTCTACTAAGATTTGGGTTTCACCCATGGAGTAAGCTGACTCCACTGCAATCACAGTTCAGGGTACATAAAAGCAGAAAAAAACTAAAATAAAAGGTGCTTAAATTACACTTTGCAAATAAAAAAATCAAACTAACCATATTCTAATATCTAAAAGGGGTCCACAAAATAGCTGCATTTATTTATTTATTTATTCGTGAGACATTAGAGAATGGGAAGCCAGTCACAGGCATGTGGAGAGAGTGGACATCCATTCAGGTCTTAGAGGGAAGGACAATGAAGGACTGGAGCAGGGGCATGTTCACGGTCCTGAGGGACTCTGTGTACTGGCCCTGGGCACTGCACCAACACCATCAGCTTCATGTCCACCCTCAGACACACAGGGATGGGTGATCTGGAACTGCATTTACTTCACAAAGCAATCCCACAGCTAAGTACACACAGATGCACCCCATGGCCCCATCTACACCAGAGGTACAAAAACCATATTCCAGCAATGGGAATGGCAGAATAGCTCTCCTCTTCACAGCAGACTTCTGTCACTGAACAAGTCTGCTGCCTCGATGCTTGCACATAAATGTCAAACCCCGTGAAGCCTCTACTTAAGTATCAATCCCAAAGCTACAGTGTGCACTTTGGAATGCAATGACAAATTGACAGAAAAATTAGAAAAGTTAACTTAAACACTGGTTATTAAACAAATTGTGAGTACTCGCTTCGGTAGCACATACACTAAAATCGGAACAATAGAGAAGATTAGCATGGCTCCTGCACAAAGATGACACACAAACTTGTGAAGCATTCCATATTTTCTAAATAAAACAAAAACATAAGCAACCAAGAAATAAATTGTGAAAGCTGCCAGCATTCCTTACAGCACCAGTGAGTGTTGGGGTTGCTCCGCTTCCAATTCAAATCTGTGATAACAGCCTGCAAAAGCAGCGCAAGATGGTCCAAGGGCTTAGGCCCCTGAAACTTATATGGGATACCAGATGAAGCTCCTGGTGCCTAGCTTCACCCTGGCTTAACCCTGGTTGCAGCCCTGAAAACTGCCTTGAACACATTCAGAACATTACACATGAAGTTAGGTTAAGACATCCATACCATCGGAGCAGTTGGGATGGCCACATCTCACATCAGAGAACCTGGATTGACCCTCCTGTGGTCCCTGACCATGGCTTTCTGCTAATACAGACCCTGTCAGCCAGCCGTCATGACTCAAGCAATGGGGACTCGTACAGAAACCCGGGACTGAGTTCCTGACTTACAGTGTGCCTCTATCAATCTATTTCTCTCTTTTCCCTTCCTCCTTCTCTCAACAGATTTGATCACTTTTAAGAAGATATAATAAGAAGCTGGGTACTTTGGCCAATCATGTAATAAAATTCTAATGACCGTTTTTCTATGTGGTGTCTTCTAAACAACAAAAACTTTAGAACACAGGAGTTATTTATAAAACATGGGTAGACATCACTAACATCTGAAAAGCTTGTAGACTGCACACTGCTGGGTCCCTACTCAGTTTATGCTTCGGGTTTCTTGAGAGCCCTGGAATTCGCAGTTTTAGTCAAGTTCCAGGCAGTACTGCTGGTCTAGGGAGCGTACTGCAAGATCTGCCATCCTAGTCAATGAACCAATGCGTGATTCAAACACTGTAACACCCAAATCTGGGAGAAGACACTTCATCAGGAAGTACTTTAAACTTTGCAGAACATCCTTTAACCATTGTCTCATTCACTAGCTACCTACACAATTGCTTTTGGCCTCATTCACTCTCCATTTTAGCTGGAAAGTGATTGCTTTAACAGGTAAATAACAATATACAACTTGTACAAATTTTGACTACATCAACAGTCATCTTTCCTGGTTGCCCACTCACAATGTCATCTCCTGACTCATACAACAGCAAATCCTCCTTTCCTGAGTTACTTTTTTTCCTTAGCAACTTCACCAGTCACGTATTTAATGAGTCTCTCCCTCTACCCTAGCAGAGGTCAAACTCTAGGAGCCTAGGATTTCTTCTTATACAACATATCCCAGGTCTCTGGGCAGGGTAAAGAATGCTTGGTCACAAGTCATGCAAGCGCCATGAACTGCTGTGAACTGGCCACGCCAACACAACTACAGGCAATACTCAAAATCCCATCAACCTAGAGCAGTCTAACTTTAACACTGATGTTCTCGTATGGCCCATGAGGGACGTTACAATGGTCCTAGGCAGAAAACTGTTCCCCGGTCCCAAGTCCATAGGACTGTCCACCTCATAGTAAGTCTCAGTAAACACTAACTGAATGCAATGAAGGAAACAGCACAGGGACATCTGAGCCTTGGCCTGTAAACCTCCAGTTTCCACAATGCAGTTCCTCTGGCTGCCAACGCAGTTGATTTTCACAAACACCAGGCTTAGCTCTGTACACCCAAATGGCTCCCAGTGAGCAGCAGCCCAACGAGGCAGGTGAATGAGTTACTCAGGTCTTTAATGCTCCACTAAGGCAGACTCCAAGGAGATTGGTCCTGGGGCCTGGCCAGGATCCAAGGAGTGGGGATTCAGAGAAAGAAAAACAAAAAAAAACAAAAAAAAAACCACCTCTGGACAGGCTGGCTGGCTCTGGATGTCACTCCTCAGACACCCCAACAAGGAGCCACATCGCACATCAGAGCCAGGGTTCCGGGTTGAGTTGTTTGTGTATCAGAACAGCTCCAACTCCAGCTTGTTGGTTCACACAGAAGTCTATCTCCTCTCTGGCAGATCCACAAAGCAGCAGCCAAAACCAGACTCCATCTTCTGGAGGTCAAAGCCCAGCCCGGAACCCAGGAGACTCATCCACAGTGAAGCGCTCTCCCACCCCTCCCACACTGACTCATCTCCCGGGGCAGGCTGCCCACTTGCCTAGTGTCCTTGTCCTGCCAAGTCGTGTATTGAACTGGCGTCAGAGGAGGACAGAAAGGACACAAGGGAAGAAGTGACAACTTTCGTCCTAACTGGACTTAGACAAGAAACGTGTGTGCGGGGGCCTCCTTATTCTTACTCTTTGCTCACACTATTCCTGCCTCCGCTGTCAGTGTTTTATTTTCTCCATTCTTATCCCTCTAAAAATACACTGCCAGAGCTGTCATGTCTCAACACCACTCTGATGCATTTTCTCCCTGAGTCTTCTGGCTAGATTTCCTGTTTATAGGATCAAGATTCTCAGCAGTCTGAGCCATGATCCTTCCAAAGGATCCTTCCAAAGGATTAGAAGCCATTTCTCTGTTCTTAATTTTACTAAGCTGTAACCCAGGAATTCTGTAAAAAAAAAAAAAAAAAAAATCGAGAAAAACTAAGTTATCTAATTTTTGTAAGGGGGCAGGTCTTTGTGGTGCAGTGGGCTAAGCCACCACATGGAGTACCCACACCCCACCTCCACGTGCCTGCAGTCAAGCCTCAGCTCTGTTTCCAATCTGGCTGCCTGCTGACACACTTGCAAGGCAGCAGTGATGACAAAAGGGCAGAGGTCCCTCCCTGCCCCACGAGACTCCCATTTCCAGCCTGGCCCAGCTACTCAGAGTGCATGTGGAGAGTGAGTCACTGGATGAAAGATCTCGCCCCCTTTCTCTCTCTCCCTGTGTTGCGCTGTCTTTCAAATAATAATCAAAACAAACTAACAACTGAAAAATTTTAAATAGTTTGTGATAAATCATCTTATTAAACTTTAAGATGGGTGAGCACCTCTCTACCCAGTTATATTTCTATAAGGATTTTCTAAAACAATAACCTGTATTCAAAGAAAAATGAAGTGGGTAAACATAACCCTTTGCTATTTATTATGGATTCCAAAAGCTTTCCATGATACAAGCTAGCAGCTCATCAATAAGAGACTACTCATAGAGGCCACAAGCATCAAAAATTAAAACAGCTATTAACAGTGACCTACGGATATTCATAGATCAATTGAAAAATATAGCATTTAGTTATAAGAGTATCTTATGATTCCATAAAAACTACGAAACTGTCACGTGTGGGGACATAGAAGCCCAGAATACAGGAGAAACTTCGACTTCTTACTGCTTACCTATATCTTAACCTATCCACCCACCACACACTAAGCTGTTCAATGGCAAATACCACAACTCATGATTCCCTGTAGGATGACCTGGATGCACAGCTCACCGTTCTGCTCTAAGAGGGTCGAGAGTGCGTTTGCAGATGCCTGGAACACTTCCTTTGATGAGGAGTGCATCAGCATGCACAGCATCACCTCCCTGTGCGCTGGGAGCCTGCACAAATGAAGCACAGAATGAACCAGACCTCACTAGGAATAAAGTCTCACTCACCACAGTCAGGACTCCAGCAACAGACAATAGCATAGAAATAACTATCGGTGCACCGCCATTTACAAGAATGTAAAATAGCTCAACCATTTCACAGGCAAGAGCCACATTCAAGTCCATTAAACACCAATGAAATTGCTTTTCATTTCTTCCAAAGTTTGTAAGCAGACAGAGAAAAGAAACCTCAGCAGGTGCATGAAGAGTCTTCAAAAGTTCAAGGAAGGATTGGTCTAGTGGCGCAGCACATTAAGCCACTGCCTGTGAAACCAGGATCCCATCAGGGTGCTTATTCAAGATTTGGCTGCCTCACTAGCTCCCCGCTAATGGCCTGGGAAAAACAGAAGATGGTCCAAGTATTTGGGTCCCTGCACTCATACGGGGTTCTTGCCTTCTGGTTTCAGCCTGGCTCAGCCCCTGGCATTTGAGGTCACTTGGGAAGTGAACCAGTAAATGGGGTATCAATATTCCCTCTCTCTCTCTCTCTTTCTGTATGTGTGCATTCTTGTTCATGCAACTCTGGCATTCAAACAATTCAAACAAATTGGTTAAAGAGTTGGCTCTGAGGTCCTGTTCCCCAGAACTGGCACTACTCACTGGCCATCCTCATCGCCTATCTTCTCATGCAGGCTGCTGTGGTACATCAAAAGGTTGTTCAGGGCCCAGCACGCCGCCTCCTGTGTCGGGGAGGGACACAATGGAGCTGTTAGAGGGAATACCACTAACACTGGATTTTGCATGAGGGTCCCATCCCCGGGTCCCCACCTGCACATGTTTGTTCTTCCTGTGCCCTGTGAGTGCTTTGTAACAGGCTTCCAGCCAGAACAGCTTGTCTTCCTCCTCCTCCTCCTCGCCATTTTGAGTCTCACTCTTATCCTCTAGGTCTTGATTTAAAAAAATCGTCTCAGCTTGAAAACATTAAAAAAAAATTAGTAACTACATGTGTAGTATTTCACACACAGGTGCATGCATGTGGGGAGGGCACTTTAAAACAGAATTACATAAATCTATCTTGATACAAGAGAAAAACATGTAAAAAGCTCAGGTCAGAGTTGTGGCGTAGCAAGCAAAGCCACCAAGTGTGGAGCCAGCATCTCACTAGGTGCCAGTTCAGTCCTTGGCTGCTTCACTTCCAAGCCAGTCCCCACCCAGTGCAACTAGGAAACCAGCGGAAGACAGCCCAAGTGCTTGGGCCCCTCACCCATGTGGGAGATCGGGTGAAGCCCCTAGATTCAGCCTGACTCAGTGATGGCAACTGTAGCTATCTGGGGTGTAATACAGCGGATGGAAGATGAGCCTCCTCTCTCCAGCTCTGACTTTCCAAATAATTTTTTTAAAAATAAATTTAAAAAAAAATTTGAAATCCATATACATCATCAACATTTCTCATGAGTCTTTTAAAGATCTTCCGTGTATTTGATGTCCAGGTGTGAATGACCCACCTGAAGTCCCTGTGTTTAAATGTTGCTGATCAAGTGATGCTTCTGCAGCAGCAGCTCAACTCGTTACCAATCTCAGTTAATGCAATGAACACCTCATTCCACAGACATCTTGTACATCTTGTAAGATGGAGATAGATAGATAGATAGATAGATACCCTAACAACTGCAGGAGGATTGCATGAAGAGCTGAGTGCCCAAGCTGACTCAAGCACCCAAAGCAAAATCCTGCACATCCTGGGGAAGGTGTGCCCGGCACACTGCCAGTGTCCTGGAAAGCACTGTCTTTTGGACAATGGACTGCATGGGAACAGCAAGGCGGCCTAATGCTCCCGTCCCTACATGTGCTCCCTCTTGATGACATCAGACGCATGGGGAGGGGGCAAGGTCACTCACTGAGCAGTGCGAGGCAGCCAAGGGCCGAGATCTGCAGCGTCGCGTTCTGGGGATACCGCCGCACGGCTCTCACCACAAACGTGTGCACCTCGTTTAACACCAGGATGTTGAAAAAATTGCCTGAAAGGTAAGCGAGATGTCAGCTGAATCCTCAGACATGGAGCTAGAATCACCTTGGCATCAACACACTCAAGAAGTGTTGCAGTTCTGTGTCCCTTCTCGTGTGCATTCAAGCTTCGGAGAATCAACATCTGAAGTCCCATGTCTATGAAAAAAGGCTTTATCAGTGATATTCTAAAAATACATGTCTGCTTCCACTTGGCTAACATGCTACACCAGAGTTCCTTCTAGAAGCATGCACGAAACTACTTATCTGTAAATGGAACACCTTGAGCCTGGAGACACAAGAGCAGAAGCAGAAGAAAACTAATGGCACAGAAAGCCTGGAGACCAAGCTTTTGTTGTTGTTGTTGTTGTTGTCTTTTTATTTCCAAAGAAGAGCTTTGGAATAACTTAAATAGGATATGATCATGCCTATGGCTCTTCAATCTCAGTAGTGTGTCTTTATACACATCAGGTGGTCTGGTGCCATCTCCTTCACATAGAAAACAAGATCACTTCTTACTCAGGTTCATTTCAAGGGACTGAAATGAATCCAAGCTTGCAATGTGACTTGTGCATGCTGCAACTTCATTACAGAGAATTACAAACATGGGACACAACTATCCTTTGACACGCTGGTCCAGTAGCTACAACTAAGGAATCAGCTTGTGAATTAGCTTGGTAAGATCTCCCATGTCAGCTAGGGTGCATGACTGCGTCCTCCTTTGGGAAGATACTGCAGTTCAGTGACGCCTGACAGAGATGTGTCATCAGCTAACTACTGCACTTGAGCCTCACGATTTATGGGTACACCGTCTGAACCACTAAAAGGTAGACAAAATTCATGAGCAGAATTACACACAATTCAGAAATATAAATTAAGTTTTTTCAGAGTAACAACAAAAAATGTTATCTGCAAATAACAAAGATGTGAAAACTGGCATGGATGGAATTATAACGCAAGATGTCACTTCTTAAATTGAACCACACATTTTTGCGCAAGTCCAGCTGACTTACAATAGAGTTTTCAAGCAAAATGACAATTCTAAAATTTGTGTACAGTAGTAAAAACCCAAGAGGAAAAAAACAAGCTCCCCAAGGAGTGAATGAGGCCAGTGTTGTGGTGAAGCACATTAAGCAACCACTCACAATGCCCCATTCCATACTGGAGCTCCGGTTCGAGTTAGCTTGCTCCCCTTCCAGTCCAGTTCCCTGCTAACATGCCCCAGCAAGCAGCAGAACATGTAAAGTGCCTGACTTCCCTACCCCCGTGAGGGACCCAGCTGGAATTCCCAACTCCTGCCTTTAGCTTGACCCACTCCTGGCTGTTGCAGCCACTTAGGGAGTGAAATGGAGGATGGAAGGCCTGCTTCTCTGTCACTTGCCTTTCAATTAAAAAATAAATCCTACCCAAAATGGAGTAGAATATACGATGACTTGAGCTATTAATTTCTCAGACACAAGGGCTTACAGAGCTGTCACAAGTTAAACAGTACAGCACTGATTCAGGCAAACAAAATTCATCACTACCACAGAAGAGCAGGAGCAGAAGCATCCTACGAAGAGGGCGGGAGGGCGGGGAGGTTCCTGCCCCACTAAAGTAGCTTAACAGGAAATTGACTATTATACAAAGACACCATGAAGATGGTAAAAAGTCAGGCCACAAGTTAAGACTCTTTTTAATGCTTCACATTATCCAGAATCTCTAAATCAACTCTAAAAGAACAGCCAATGGGAAAATGGATGATGACAGATCATCTATTTCCCAAAGCAGAAAGGGCCAAAGGAGAAAATTTGACAAAAAAGAAAAAAATCTTTTTTTTTTTTGTAGCAATACAGATAATAGTTGCCTAAAGTGAGAAAGAAGATAAACCTCAATGAAGAGTATAACCTTTTCATCTGTACACCCAGGAAACACCACACTCCGAATGCACAATTTACTGACAACCCTCATAAACCCAGTGCTGAATTTATGATCTGCAGAGCGGCCCAGTGGAGAAGCCAAAGGAAGCACACAGTAGCAGCTTTGTTCAGGACCCGAGATGCACAAATGCTGAAGTGGGCACACAGCAAGGCAGGGAGGAGCCCCAGGGGAGCCTGCCCCTGCAGACCAAGGCCTTGACCTGGGGTGAGGGCGGGCAAGTGCTTTGCCTTAAGCTTCATATTCCCTTCCTTAGTTATAGATCAACTCCAGAATTCTACTCTAAACACAGGTCCAGAGAATTCTCTCTTCAAACACGAAGATGAAGACATCTACATTTCGCTCTCTGTTTTCATCAGTCATTTTAAAATTCCAGCCGGGCATTTTAGCGACATTTACTCCTTTCCAACAGTGCATCTGAAGGCGGCAGCACTGCCTATCTGTCCATCAGCAGGCAGTATGCATGGGCATGTCACCGACTTACATCCTGTAGAGGGTGATAACCAAGACCCCAGAAGCGCCACTACTCACCTAGTGTCAACCTGTGGAGTAAGCAGCAACTCACTTCTTGAATCTTCTCACTGAGAGGGAATGCTTCCATGGCTTCCACCACAATGTTGTAACACCTGACATTGCCGCTCATGAGAACTTCCACGTTGTTGCCTAAAATTAAAGAAACCATACCCATCACTAAGACTGTCACGTTCTCCTTCCACTACAAACACATCCTTCACGGATTAGGTGATATGGGTATGTTTCTAAAATATAATTTCTGCCTAGTAGCTATAAATTACATGCTTTTTGTAACTTATAAAATGCTAACTCAATGGAATTAAGATTTAGAAAAAAATTGCATATTTCTTGGGTTGGAAACTTAAGACCAGGGACCTGACTCTACAGCACAGTGAGTACATTCAGCACTTGTAGCACCAGCAGCCAGTAGGGGCACCAGTTCAAGTCCCAGCTGTTCCATTTCCAATCAGCTTACCTGCCAAAGTATCAGGGAAAGGCAGTAATAATTAGGTCAAGTGCTTGGGCCCCTGCACATATGTGGGAGACCTAGAAGCAGTTCCTAGTGTGTTGGACCAGACCAGTTCCAACCACTGCTGCCAAGCAAGAAGTGAACCAGTAGAGAGAATATTGATTCATATTTCCTCCCCTTCCTCTCTGTGTCTCCCTGTAAGACTTTGAAATAAAATGAATTCTTATTGTAAATAGAAAACAAAAATTCAGATTCTTGTATAATGTCTTAAAATAGAATGTCTTGACCATGTTTTTAATAAATTAATTTGGAAGCCCCCAGTCATTGTATAGCGTTACATGGTTCCTCCGCCTCACACCAGCACACCAGTAAAACCAAGCTTATGTCACCTCACAGAGCAGCTGGCAGCAGCTCTTGTCTTTTTCCCTATCCCAGGAGGAAAGCCAGGGCAAGGGACAAGACCAACTTTGTGAAGGTGCTCAGACTCATGGGGGATGCCAAGGGGAATTGGCAGGAAAGAGGTTTTACACTAAAGCCTGGGGACAGACAGGAGAGGAACAAAGATGAGGGAAGGAGTCTCCTGGGAATTGCCACTAACCCAGAAGGACAGCGAGTTGTGCATCTATGTTAAGGAAACACAACTCAGAACAAAATGGGGACTATTTAAAAACAAAATAGCCTGCAAAACCTCTCTTAGTCCAGCTGAAACCATTTTCTTCAAAACACACTGAACAGCATAAACTGTGTGTGTGCGCGCACACACACACACACACACACACAACCACATTACAATGCAAGGAAATGGCCCTTCATGAGAATTCTCCACTCTGACTCAGCACGAAGGAAGTGATTTGCTATAGGCTGAAGGGCGAACAGCCAGTCAGCATCAGTGATGGATGCTGGATTTCTCGAATTTTAGCTGTTAACTGTCTTTGACCTTGGCATTTTGAATCACACATTATAACTGGAATTATGGCAGGCGCGGGTGGAAAACAATGAGTGCCACGAACAGACAGCTCAAAGAAAATGCATAAATGAATAACTATAGCTGAGGGAAAGCATGGGAGGAACACAGGCAGCTGGCAGGGCTGACTCAGACATGTGGGAGGCACGGCCACTCTCGGCTTCTGCTCAGCCCATCCACCTTCGACAGCCTCATTTCCTGCAGGGAAGAAATGTGATTTCTAAGCTGCCAGGAACGGGCAGGTGGTCACAGGGGCATGGGCTGTCAGCCCGCCTCCCTCGTCTCACATCTTCAGGATGCTCCATGGCATTCCACATCTGAAACCACGTATGCATGCCACAGCCATTCAGATTCCAGAAAACGAAATGTATGTTCTTCAAGTATTCGCAAATGTAATCCATGACTTACACACAAAATCTCACAAACACGTAGTAATACTGTCAATGTGTGAGGAGAAAAGGCTCCTGCCAATGCCTTACTGTGTCCTCACTCCCTCAGATAACATGAGAAACCCAACAGAGAGACATCCACCAGCTCATACAAAGCAGGATCCAGGTCTGTGCTATTATCTCAACGTATTTGCAATCAATAGCAGCAAACATGGCAAAATGACTTTTCATTTTTTTATGAAAAAAAAAGTGTCTGGATTACTAAGCATCAAATGCTAGCCAAGAATCAACAACAAATTGCAACGTGTTTCATGTGGCTTGTCACACCTATTGTGACCTCACCCTGTGTTTCCAGTCTCATCCCCAGACCCTTCCTCCATCAAAGAAACACACGCAGCTCCTTGGGGAGAGACACACACACCTGCGCCGCCACACACGTACACTGCATACATGTGAATCACAAGCACATGTTACGCACATACACACAAAGTCACTGTTTACTGAGCTCCTTCTACCCAGCTGAATGCTCCCAACATCTCTTTGCTCACAATGCTCACACTGGACACATCCACTGCATGTCCCCCTCACCCCGCACTAGGGTTCCTGCCAGGCTATCCTTCTTCAGCCCCCACCTGATCTCCCTGGGCACTTCTGCCAGGCTGTGTTGGCATACACCGTAGTTGCCCAGGCACTCATTGGCCCTTATGTCCCAGTGTACAAAGAGGTCCCAAAAGGCAGGAACGCCTTTATACTTTCCACTACTGTTTTCCCAGCACCAAGCCTGTGCAGACAGCTGCAGGAGCAGCTCGATGAACACAGATTAATCCAAAGAATGAATGAGTTTAGCACCTACACATTTGTAAAAACAAACAATAAATCCAAAACACACTCAAGGAGACATAGGGTTGCTTTTCACTTAGAGAAAAATGAATCATGCACACAGGCTACTCACAGGGAATGGCCAGCGAGTGTAGACAGTGCAATGCATGCAGGACAATTTCCTCTTCGTCGTGAAAGCTTTTTAATGTGCTAAGCAGCACCATGTAGTCTTTGTTCTCAACAAACTCAGTGAGCTGTTCCTCAGAGACTAAAAGATGAAACACAAACATGCTGAATATGCGTCAAGTGATATCAAAGTTTAATTAGTAAAATTCTTAAGAGTGCTGAGGGATGCAAGAAAGACAACAGACTTAAGCAAAAATATCCTCCTGTAAAAAGCCCTTGCAACGAATTTTGTAAAAAGAAAACATAATTCCAGTTTTTGTAAGTTAAGTTTGAGTAACCAAAAGCTCTGATAAATGCAGTTACCTGAACAGATCGTGGGGGAAACTTCAGGACAGTGGCTGACAGAAGACTTCAAACGGCAACATGGCTCTGCTGGCCCGACAGCTGTGCATGTGGCCAATGGTGAGTAATTACATGCCATCCGCATTATTTTCCAGACACCAAAAACTACTATTTTCATAACTAGAGTCTTCTCATCAAGCCAAAAGCCCCATTCAGAGTGATTTCACGAGATAGGAAGCTCAATAATATGAATTACACACACAGTAGCCCAAGAATATAGTACTCCCCCAAAAGTCAGAAAAAGCAATACTCTCTGACCTGCATTAGTTTCGTGGGGGTTTTTTTTTGCTTCGTTTTTTTGCATTTTTTTTGTACTAAAGTGTCCACATCCTACAGTGTAAAATTGCTCAGGTTCTTGTGGCATACACGTCATGCCACAGAACTTTCTCCTTTCATGGAGGAGTTGGCCACAGCCCACTTGCAAATCTTAAAAACTAGTGAAAAACTGTCCCTGCACCTGGGGAGAACTTAAATCCCATCACCCCAGCCCTCAGAGAAAGCAGCAAGTTCCCCATTCCAGATCCAGAGCCATGGTGTTCAACTGGGATGATTGTGGCGCTCACAGTGTTGGAGTGATGTGGCTCCCCTTGCTTCAGTTAACAAGTGCACCTAAGCTGGGACGCAGAGACTTCAGGCCCTTAGGGTAACAGAAGCACATGCTCTTTCCTGGCCTGTTCCCAAGGCTTGGCTACAGAGGGCAATCTGTCAGACCCCACTCTCTTTCACAGCTGACCTACAGTCTCCCAAGAGCTGGCCCAGGCCTCTGCCATTCTGACAAGTGGTGGGGTCCCTGCACTAAAACAGACTTTCTATTCCTACGCTCACACTAAATCAGTAAATCTGTGCTAGCATTATTTCAGATCCCACAGGAAACCCATGGCATTTACCTCTTTACCAAACAGGCAAACATGTAGATTCATATCATTTTCCCTTCACCCATGTTCTCATCCACTATTTTCTCTAATATCTTAACACTCAAGTATTCAAAGTCCTTATGGAACGACAAGGGAATAAACAGCAACAAATGATCGATTCTGTTCTTGCAGCTGACAGAGTGGTAAACACTAAAACCAGGACATACACCCAATCGTTCCTACCCAAACCCACAGCATAGGTGGTTATGAGGATGACACAAAGGGACTATCACACCCCAGTGACACTGACCTGTACAAGCTAGTCTCAGACAAGCTGCTCCTGCCTCTGACCCATTTCCTCATCACACCATTATAAAGACTGCATCAAGACTGCAATGAGCTCCAACATGACCTGAAAGCCTCTGTTGCCAATCGCAGTGCTGGGCTGTGAAACAAATCAACCTTCTCACCAATGCATAATCTCGACAGTTTCCTCATTCTTGACATGAAGCCTTTCGCAATCTCTAAGATCACTGGTGATGAATCAACATCATAAACCTAGCTTCACCTAGGCCTAGCTTCATGGTTTATTTGTTCTTTCCTCACAGCCACAGAATTGGGTGCTCAAAGTCAACCTCAGGCCTTGCTAAGGAGTGGCAGCAGTCAACAACGACCGTGTGCTCTGCAAGCCACAGATTAAATCTGCTGCACAAAAACAAGGGTATTTCTGATTTAACCCTCCAACCAAGCCCTTGACAGACAGCTCACACTTAATTAACAGTATGACTTCAGAGAGTCTTCTTGGAATGATATTCTACTTGAACCCGCTTCCTACGTCAACTCCCAAGTGCAGACTCCGGCGTCTGTGCGTACCTCTCTCAAACAGCACGTGCAGCGCTTTGCAGCCAAGCTTCTGGATCTCATCATTGGCTGGGAATGTGCGCATAGCATCAAATATCAACAGGAAAATGTCGCTCTCTTCCTCCAGGATCAGCAAAGTGATTTTACCTACAAGAAGAAGAACACACCCTTAGTAAGTGGCTGTCTTCGCACGTTGTGTGTTGATTACAATGTGCGGGCAATGAATGGTGGGCTTTTCTTCTTGTAAACCACTGAATTGTCCCAGATGCCGACCCTATCAGGCTCTAAGGTCTCTGAATAAATTCCCATTGCACCTTCCTGCGACCACCGAAGTCCCGATTGTTTACTCTATGCTACACTCCAGCGTGTCTCCCTCTGAAGCAGCAGCATCTTGACTTCCCATGGGCCCTGCACACCCAGAGCAGTCCCTCTTGCTGTCCTCAATGACACCACCACCCAGAAGAGAAAGACAGATGCTACGGAGTCATCTGTCGTATTCTGCCTCCCTGTCTTCTCATCTCACGTTTAACCAACCAAGACCAAGCCCTCAGGTATGCTAACAGGCAGCCCAAAACACTCCTTTACAACAAGGACCTTCCACTCCCATCATGTTCAGAGCCTCAGCACCTTGTACCTACAACATGTGAACACATTGCTTAGTTGCTGTGTTTTGCATAAACTTTTACCCAACTAGTTTACATCCTGGATTATGTTGTTAAAACATGTGGCCCTGTATCTTGCTACAGCCTTCCAAGACCTTCTCCATCCCCTTCACGTTACTGACATGATCCCGTACAAACTGACTCTCCATCTCTCACCAGCCCCATGTCATGCCATGAAGCCTGTTCCCCGTGGGTTGCACTCCTTGCTCAGTGCTACACATGAGCTGTGCACCTGTGTTCTCAGCTGCTATAGAACCCGAGGACAGGTGAGTCAGAGTCCTACAGTACAGTGACTTGCCATCCTGTGCACTGCCTTTGCCATGTGACATCACAGCTCACAGCAGCCCTGTGAGTCTCCTTGTTTATGCCATGTGATGTCAAAGCTCAAAGTCACACAGGACTCTTCCTTGGGATGGTGTTGCTCATAGCCACGTGTGAGTGTAAACATTTGGCCTGTGCAAAACTGAATTATTACTTTCATTTTATGGAATTTCAATTTAACCAAAAGGAACTACATGATTAGTCGCTCCTGAATTGGACAGCACAACACAGAGAAGTATTTAGAGAAATAATTGAAATTTAATGAAAGGTACTATAACAGAGAAATGAAAACCATCAAAGGAAAAGAGTAGCTAAACTCACTTGGAAGTTAAGAGCACACACATGAACTGCCTATGCTATGATGATGATCATCATCAGAGAGATAGTCAGAAATACTCATGAAATCAATCAATAGGCCATAAAAACAACTCACAAATAAACCTTTGATAAGTATTAACAATGAGTTTTAACACACATATATGCAACTTCATGATGGCTAAAAATTCTAACTACTGCATGGGAGAAATTTACCTTTTGGAAACCTATGTTCATCTCCAAATTCCCTGCATGCTAGAGATTTCCCAATATTTCTAGGATGGGGCAGTTTTCAGATCCATAAACCCTCGTCCTCCCACCTACTGCCAACTGGAGAAGAAACTACCCCAAAACAAAATCCTCCCCGAGGATAAGATCCAGATAAGCCCTAGCTGAGACCTGTTAGTCCTCACCATTAAGCCCCTGAGTCAAAGACTGTGAAGTAGTGAGCTCCTGCTGGGCTGTCCTGTCTCCCCTTCTTCCCACATCTCACTTTCTCCTGCAGGGTCTCGTTTGCAGAGGCCAAGGAGGGGTCCCCCAAGTCCCCCCAACCCCACATGCACTGGACTGCAGGTCATGTTGACTTAAAACACCCTCCATGCAGTCCAGGTCAGCCCTGCTGCTCAGAACTCCCCCACACAGCAAATGTCCAGCACATCTACACACTCCACTCTGCCCCCCACAGCCTCCAGGTAGCACGCGACCAGGGCAGCAGACCTGATGGGGCCCAGCAGATCTGGCACAACCCTCGGTCAGTGGCTGAGGCAACAGCACTGCATGTCTGTCTGCATCACCCAGAAAATTCAGACCAAAGATCCATTTCATGACCAGTTGGGGAAAGGGGAATTAGGGGTACCATTTGTAAAAGCCTGTGACACATCTGGCACATGGAGCTTGGCACTTGGCAAGCAGTCACACTGACGGGATGATGACAGTCACCACGAGACACATTTTAAAGATACATATGGAAAAAGATGCAGCCATGATCGGCAAGGATGTGAACAGCCACAGAGCCAGTGGGAATGCACACTGTGGCCCAGATGGTAGGAGCAACACTGACGATGAGAGAAGATGCAGAATTTTGGAAGTCACCCAGTTTTCAGTGACATTATGTCAGGACCCTAAAAAACTTAAAATTAATTCAACAAAGACTCAAATTTTGAAAAATTTGTATCAACATGAAAAAAGCACATGGGTATTACCTGAAGTCAGGAGGAGCTCCAAGGCCTTGAGCCCCACTGTCAGGAGGCGGACACTAGCATTGTGCACCGTGAGCATTCTCAGAATCAGCCTGCAGGTAGAAGGGGACAGGACACAGTCAGAGGTGCCCCTGCACATCACGTCTTCCATTCACCCGGGTTTAATTGTGTGTATCATTGTATTGAATTATGTGGGGTGTTTTTCTTCCCATAAACCTGAGCCAGGCTTATACAAATTAATGGGGAACTTTGGTTCACTTGATTAGTAAATAGTTCACAACATACACATAAATGAGATTGAGGTGTCTATCTTAACCCAAAGTAATTTCAATTGTCAAGTAAATGTCAATAAAGTAGAGAAAACTTAATAAGGAACTGCTAGAATCTTCAGAGAAAAGTGATAAACACTGCTTACTTTGCTCTAAATATTCAAACTCCACTGTCAACCATTTTTACCAATTCCAACTACAAAATACCATGAGTAGCTATACACATCGAGAACAAGTTCATTTTTTCCTGCCATGCCAACTTCTAATTCTACATGTTAGAATTTTAAACATGGCAAGATTAAGATTGTGTATAAATTACAAGTTATTTTGGATATTTATATCACTTTAAACCACAGGTTTTTTTTTTTTCTGAGAGAGAGAATGAACCCGGGGTGGCCATTCAGCCTTGCCATGAAGATCTGCATGGGGCACTCACATCCTGCTACAGAGTGCTTATTTGGAGTCCACCCCAGGTCCTAATTTCCTGCTAATGTGTACCTAGGAGGCAGCAGAGGCGAGCTCACGGGGTAGGGGCCCTGTCACTCACATGGTCGGAATTGGGTTCCCAGCTCCTGCCTCGGCATGTGAAGAGTGAACCTACGGATGTCTCTCTCCCTAGTTAACTAAATCTAAAAAGAAAGTCAACCTAGTACATCTACAGTATTTAATTAGCTCACATTCACAAGATTTTGCTTCCCAAAATATCAGTTCCAACATCTGATTTTGGTTTACACTGGCCTGCTGCCGTCTGGGTTTCCGTTCTTGGAGGAAGGCCAAGTTGACGGCATCCACAGCCTCGTGGAAACCCAAGACACTGCCCATCTGGTCTCTAGTCGGTAAGGAGAGGCAGAGGGACCCCTTCACTCCAGCCTCTGCAGCTATTCCCCGAGCACCCCGCCCAACCTCTACCTGTGCCCTGAAAACGAGGAAAAAAGCTTTACAGTAAACCTGTCCGTCTTGCTCAGGATTTCATTGCTTTGAGGCCAGAGTAGGGGATGCAATGAGGATTTGGCGAATGTAACAGGAACCAATGAATGAGTGAATGAATACATGAATGCTATTTCCTGTGTAAATATGGATGTCATTTAATACGAACAGTTGGTTTACACTGAAATATGACTAGATGAGCTCCCAATGGTCCCTGAGGTTATTAACTGGCTCATCTTGGGGCGGGGAGGGGAGGGCCTTAAAGTGCAACAGTAAAAATTACAGTTTTGCAAAATCCTGTGCCTCTCCAGTAACACATCATTACTGCTGAGGCAAAGTGACATTCACCACTTCCTTCCATGCAGTCAAGAAAAATCACATCAGGCATAAAGAAAAACTAATGACTGGAGATACTTTCTAAATGTGAAGAAACAGTTACCAAAAAACGACTTTCCAAATAATATATTCTTTGCAGAACATTTTTTCCCTAGCTAATTGTGGCTGAGTAAGTGGTCTCATGTGTGAAATCTGACGCTGCCACTATAAAGCTGAACTTCTCAGCTAACCATTAGGGTCCCCTCCACATGTGCCGAGAGCCACCGCTGAAATCAGAAAATACCCACGTGTGAGTGTGTGTGTGTGTGTGTGTGTGTGTGTGTGTGTGTGTGTGTGCATGCATCAATGCACTATTCACAGGCAGTAAAGCAGAACTGTTCACATGACCTTCAGGGTCCCTTGTACACGTCAAGAGCCATCCCTGAAACTCACAAAATACCCACATGTGAGGTGAGTGTGTGTGCACTATTCACCGGCAGTAAAGCATAAACTTGCAAATTACCACTGAGGAAACTAATCTTTCAGTTTCCACATTTTTTTTCAATAAGTAATTTCTACCAGTATCACTTGGGAGTATAAAACTCCTCATTTTAATTCTTGAGTAGTCACTACAGCTTAACTAATTCTACGGAACTATGAGATTATGTTCCTGTAGCATCCCCTGAGATGTTGCCACGGTGTGAAGCACCCCACAGCTCTCAATCACCGACTCAAGCAACAACATCTGTGATTCAAGGAGTTTTTTCAGAGCTGCCTTGAAAAGCCAGTCTACCAAGGAGAGGGCTGCCATTCACCTAAACACTCCGTGCAACCTGTCCCGCACGCCCGCCATACTTACTGATGAACTCCGAGCACCTCCCAATCATTGCCAACATCCTGGGGCCCCATCAAGCTTTGCATTGTATCTGGACAGACTTCAATTAGTTTGCACAGAAGTGACCAACCCACCTGGAAGAGAAAAAGGCAAATAGGGACTTTTTTGAAAACGACACTAATATAATATATTCAAGCAGAAGTCTCTTCATTTTTACTATAACAGGGAATTACATGATTTTAAGCAATCATCTTGAAACAATTTTGTGAAACACATACAGGCCATTTACCTAGAATACTATTTGAAAAGTCATGCTTAGAAGGGCATAAAAATATCTCAACATTTCTGAATGATGAAGAAAGCCGACACTCCTATTATTCCAATAAAATTACAAATGGTTTTAGTGGGCATTTCAGGATTGTTAGATTTTTTTGAATGCAAGAATGACTATCTTATTACTTTGTAAATCAAATTTGTGGGATTCATTTCCCATTTTTCTGAATTCTAATTCCAGGAGACATGCCGCGGTGCATCAGTTAAGATGCTGCGTGCGACAGCCCCACCCCACGTGAGCACCTGGTGTGAGTCCCTGCTCCACTTCCGGCCCAGCCTCCTGCTAATGTGCACCGAGCAAGCAGTTCTTACCTCCAGTCCAGGTCTCCCTGGACTCCACTTCAGCCCCGCCCTGCCTGCTATGTTCTTTATCTGACTTTCAAAGAAAATGAAAATTAAAAAAAAAAATCTGAAGTGGTTTGAATGGAAGAGGGGAAGCTGGAGCTGCTGCTGCTAAAAGGAGCTGGAGTGCCAACGGGAAAACGGCACTGTCAGGTGACTGACCCCTCAACTGTTACAGGGAGCAGAGAAGGGGTGGCACAGGAACACAGAGGGCACGGGACTCCTTCAGGACCCTTGAGATCTCTTTAGAACTTCTCAACCTCAACTGTGGACGCTTGCGAATGATAAGCGCTGTGCTCTCCCCCTTGCCCGGCATGATGAAACTGCCGACACGATGGAAACACACCTGCACCCAATGCACTTCCATCCAAGACCAACGGGAATCAGCTGCTCCGTACTTCTGAACAAGAACAGAAGGTTCTTGTTCCAAATTGAAGATTAAATTTAATGTGCTTGTCCTGCCAGAGCCCTCTCTAAAGTTAAAGGATCGTCACTTCTTATGTTAGGAAGAACTTGACTTGATGTGGTCAGAAAAATAAAAAAAAACAGAAAGTGCACTGGCCAGAGTAAGGCCAAATTGAAGCCAGGAGCCCAGAACTCAATCTGGATATCCCACTAAGCAAGCAGGAGCCATCACCTGCTCCCTTGCAGAACACACATTAGTAGAAGCTGGCATTGAGAGCAGAGACAGGCCTTTAGCCAGGCACTCTCAGGGATGTGGGCGGCCCAGGCAGCATCTCAACCACTGCACCAAGCATCCATCCTGCCAACAGCCAATTTTACCTGTATTTCAGTAGCACCTCCTCCTCCGTGTAAGCTGAGCAGGCATCAGCAATCTAGCTGTCATAGAAACCAGCTATTTTTGCACTTTCATAAAGCAAGACTCTCCAAGTATTTAAGAAAATACATTTGGAATAACACCCAGTGGGAAATTTTTAAAAACAAACAAACAAAAAAACCCACAGGGGATGCTAACCTTTGTGTCTCTACCTGCCTGGCTGTCCAGAGAAAACCTGCTTTGTTTTCACTGTTGTAACTGCAGCATCAGTAACTGCTCTGCAGAAACATTCAGCTGAGCGTGCAGTGCCTCCACAGAGCTTCTGTGATTAAAGGGAGTCTGCGCCGGCCGTGAAGCCAAGGTAACAATTGATGCATTCATCTAGTCAATTAGAAGCTTATCTTGCAAAGAAGGCTCCCTTCTGCACAGCCCCCACACAATGCAGTCAGCTGCTTCAGTTCATTTGGAAGATTCTACAGACTCAAGCATCGCACCCATGCACAATAGGAAAAAAGTCAAGCCACTTTCCTTCACTCTGGCCCATTCTCAATCGGAAAACTGTGTAGAAAAAGGGAATGTAATTGAGGAGCCCAGAAAGAAAACGGTGGGCAAGGAAAGCGGAAGGTCCGTGGGCTGACTAGCCCAACAGTGGCAGCAACTTGGAGCCCCGAGAGCACACAAAGATCCTGAAGCACCGCAGTCAGGAATAGCGTACAGAACAATTCTGAAACAGCTCTGTTGAAAAACAACTTGCCCTAACTCTTCACATTCCGCCAGTTTTTCTTCTCCTTCCAGCTACCTCTGCACATGGAGACAGCCCACACTACGCTGTCCTGTGGAGTCTGCCAGTATCAGCGGAGGTGCCCCTTTCCACACCGCTCTCCAAAGACCCAGTGTCACCGAAATGCGGGCCCCTTACCACGCAGAGCCACACTCCCGTATACTGAGCCGTTGTGTGTGCGCCTTGAATGCACTCAGCAGCTCATTCTGAAGGTGTGGGAATTGAGCCCCCAGCCCCTCAGTCTCACTCCGAGTTCCTCCAAAAGCAAAATACCCAACAAGATTTCTCAGAGCACTGAGCGACAAGTTACAAATTGTATCCTACACTCCCTGCAAAACATATGTACACATGGGCAGAGACCAAGCACTCTGTTCCCCCAAATCATCAACCAGATGACCCTTACTGACCGCCAGGCTGTGCCTCTGCTACTCCCTGGGCGAGGACACTGAGCAACATGCACACTACCCCCAAGCAAGTGTACCCAGCCCTGGGCAGTTCCCAGAAGTTGGAATGAGCGAGCATGTTCCAGGCTCCCTTGGTTTCCAAGAGTAGCACTAACTCCACTGGACCCAATATCCCCAATTTGGACAGGCTCCCAAGACCCCAAGGTGTACCAACCAGGGGCTTGTGGGCAGAGTGGCTGCCAGAACATGCAGCAATTGCTGGCAGAAGGCTGGTGTGAGTGACAGCAACCACTCAGCCAGCGTCTCAGGAAGCCTCAAATCCCAGGACAAAGCTCAAGTTAAAAGAGGCACCTATCTAAGACCAGGCCTCCGTCTTCCCCACTTGGTCTGCCAGCAGCCAGAACACCTACTGTCAAGTGGAAAGACTTCACGGGGGAAAGAGACATCAGCATACTTATTCAGCTGCCTGTGTGCCTAAGTCAAGGCAGCCAGACTCCTGGGTCCCACACACTCCATCTGGCCAGGACCAAGCCAGGCAACCTGGGTGAAGGAGTGGGGTCAACCTGCAAGTCCCTTCCCCCAGCGACAGAGACCAGAAAGGGCTCTCAGTTCCCCAAATCTCATGGGCTGCAAAGGAAGTGAGCACCTTGGGGAGTAACCGCAGGCGGGTAAGTCACTCCTGGTCACGCTGGCTCCTCTGGCTCCCGTCACCAGGCCTGCCGGGCCTGCCTGCTTCTAAAAGTTTCACTTCTACATGACTTTCAGCTGACAAAGGTGAACAAGCTCAACCCAAACAGGTGAGGGCAATATTAAGGTCTCCCGGTGTTGTGTTTAGAGTCTACGAAGCACAAGGAAACTCTGGGAGATGAAGAAGCCGGCTGCTGATTAGAATCACAAGCAGCTGAGATCCAGGGAGCCTGTTGCCTACCTGGCTCTAATGACTGCTAATTGCTCCCCTTGCCATGCCTTCGCAGCAGGTGCTTTTCCGGAAGGCTGCCTGCAAGCCGGGACGTTTTCCCGGTGGGTCCATCCTGATCCTGGGGACCTCCTCTAGCTGACAACAGAACCCACAGCCACCCACGTCTGCCAGCCAGCTTTATGCAGTGGCCTGGAAAAGCCAGATGGGGACGCGTCGGCCCTGGCCCCCTCAAGTCTAGTTCAGGATCTGACAAAGCTACCAGCCTCCGCCCCACCAGCTAAGGGCCAAATCTGGGCCACCCCAGCGCAGCGAGCAGCCGCCTCAGGGATGCGGCACCCCCTTCCCTCCCAGAGGAAGGCGGGAAGTGCCCCGTGTCCTGCAGCACCGGCGGTCCCTTACCTGCTGCACGCTCGCGACCCTCATGTACGAGTCCAGCACGATCAGGAGCGGCACGTGGAAGCTTTTGCCGGCAAACAACTTGGCGGCTACAAGAGAAGGGGGTGAGGGAGGCGAGGCTAAGTCACCGCGGCAGGACGTGCACAGGGGCAGGGCGGGCAAGGGCGAGCCAGAGAGCGCAGGAGCCGGGTCTCAGCTGGGTCTGGGCCGGGGCAAACTTGGCGGGGACCGTGGCCGAGTGCCGCGCTGGGGGCTTACCGCGCTCCGAGTACGTGAACACCAGTAGGTCCTCCAGGATCTGCACCAGCGTCTCGATCTGTTTGCCCTCCTGAACGTTGTTTAGCCTGACCAGCAACTTCTTCAGACTTTCCTCGTCCTCATCGTCGCTCCCTTGACTGCTGCCACTGCCACTGGCCATGGTGGCGCCGGTAGCCGGCCGTCACCCTGGGAACCCCGAGGCCTCGGGTGTCCCAGGCCAGCCCCGCGCCCCGCCGCCCTGCAAGGCCTCCTGCGCCCCTAGCCAGCCCCGTGCCCCGGCCGCCCGCGAGCCAGCGCGCGCCGCCCACGGGGCAGCCGGCCCCGCCCGGCGCGGCCCTGCCTCTCCCAGGCCCGCCCCTGCCGGACGCGGGCCGCGGCCTGCGTGGGGACTCAGCCCGAGCGGCAGCCCGACCGGGCCTGCGGGATGGGCCTGGGCGGCGCCGGATCCTGCAGGCGGTGGTGGGCGGCGCGAGCCGAGGCTCCGCGGAGCCCGGGACGAGCCCACCGTGCCCCGCCCGAGGTCTGAGTCTTGGGAAAAGGAAAACCGAAAGCCGCCGGCCCGCGGACCTAAGAATAGAAGCACCAGGCACGGAGCAGAGAGGCCGCCGGGGTCTGGATGGCTGTGCTCAGCGTTCCCCGTGTAGGGGATGCGCGGTCACCCCGGCCCGGCCACCCTGGTCCCCAGAGCCACGGCCCTGCCGTTAGCCGAAGCGTGGGGGTGGAGGACCCGCAGGCAGGAAAGGAACTGACGGGACCCTGGGAGTGGTGGAGTGCTCGGTGAGGACCGAGAGGAGAAGTTAAAGGTGCAGAAGAACCGAAGCCACACGCTGTGTTCTCGGAGTGACTGGGGGCCTGTGCGTGTGAGACGCAGAGTTGGAGGAAAACGGAGCTGGAGAGGGGCGGCAAGTTAGTGCTCCACACTTCCACATCCCCTCCCTGCCCCATCCTGATGACAGTTCCTGGCACTGGGATTCCGCCTTTTTTTTTTTTTTTTTAATGCTCTGATCCATGGGAAAGCATTTACAGAAATGCCAAGGCACTGAGTCAGGAATCGTCAGTGGTGGGGAAAGGCTGACACCAGGGGGCATGGAGGCGTTGATCCAGTTGGGGTAAGTGAAGAGTTCCTGTGTTCTGCTGTTCTCTTCTCCCTGTGTAAGATTGTCCACGGGAGACAACGCTCTGTGATCCCAGCTTCAGTTTAGACTTGTTCCAAGCAGTGTCTAACTTGTCTAAACTTGTGACCACTAACGGCATAACCTGCGATGTTCCTAAGAACTGTCCCTCCGTACCTCCTTCCTAATACCTGTGTACCCCTCACTCCCTTCCCAGTCCACTGGCTTAGCACTTGTAAGAAACTGAAGTCTGCCTCCCATCCCAAGAAAAACAAATTTCAGCCAAAAGGTATCTCCTAAAATTTCCCCGTTTGGTCCATCCACCTGTCACCAGTGTGTGGGCCACTCCATCAGCCAGCCCATGAGTAAGCCAACGGTGAGAAGTCACTTCTCTTAGGAGACTTCTCCCAAGGATCACTGCCGTGGCAGGCGGAGTCCCCTCAGCTTTGTTGTTAACATTTATTCATTTGAAAGGCAAATTAGAAAGACAGACCTCCCATTCGCTGGCTCAGTCCCCAAACAGGTGCAAAGACCAGGCTAAGGCCAGGTTGAAGCCAAGAGCTTCTTGCTCATCTCCCGTGCGAGTGCAAGGGCCCATTACTCAGGCAGTCCTCTGCTACTTTCCTAAGTGCATTAGCAGGGAGCTGATCCAGAAGTGGGGCAGCTGTGAGCAGCTCGGGCTCCCACTGGTAGGGCACTAAAACCAATCTCTCCCTCCAGCTTTTGAAAATGCTACATTGGTTCACTGAAATCCCAAGCCTGATTTCAGCATCAAGTGGTTAAGTAGATGAACATCGAGGCTAGAGGCACAAGCTCCAGATGGAAGCGACCTTCAGAGCGGCTGACTTTCTGGAAGGAAACAGCAAACTGACAGCCTCAGCACAAGCTTGAGGTGGAGTACCAAGTCACATAAAAGGAGCTCTCCAAAGAAAATATACACTAATAGCTGTTTAATCCTGGTATGAGGAAGCCAGAGCAAAGAAATCACACAAGAACGATACGTGTGATTCCGTAAGATTTTAATCTTTCCTAGTGAAAGGGAAAATAACCATGAATGACACTAAAAGACCACTGGAAAACTGAAAAACACGGGGCAGGAAACAATTAGATTTAATGTTTGAAAAGTGCTCCTAAATCGTTTTTGTGGGAGGAATTACTTCATGGTACGCAAGCAGAAAACCGGATTTAATTTTGAACAGGAAATTAACAGTAGTTAAGAAATCTATGTTCATCGTTATATAAAACCTGTGTTTGTAGATGTTGGTGACACAGTTGTAAAAGGTTGAGTGTTTGTGTCTGAGCAACAAGGAAGAGAGAAAACTAATAGAATCATGAGGAGTATTACCAGGCTTCAGTAGAAGGACACACAAGTAGCTATACTAATTAGCGGAAAGCAAAACTGTAGAACTGGCATCTTTAATATAATAAAAAAAATAATGCAAGTGCAATATATTTCCTAGCAAGATTTATACAGGTTTCAGTAAGATCAATCCACATATCCCAAGCCCAAAACTATACCTTTAGAAAACAATATTCCATAGTACATAATTCATGAATAATTTTATTTACTGCTTATGAAAATCAGACACTTTTGAAACAGGAGATCCATCTGCTTTTATGATTCTGACTTTTAAAAGGTAGCAAGCAGGTGACCACAGGAAAAGCACATGTGTTAGGGAAAAGAGGAGGAATTGGACTCTTTTTTTAAACTAACCCACTCTGCATTAATTGATTCATGAGGATCATTGATTATTACCCTGGATGCCCCTGGATGGCCCACCACCTCTCAATACCATTGACCTGGGAATCAAACCAGCACAGGAGCTTCTGTGGACACAGACTCTACATAGCATACTCAAAAAACAAATTTCTCACAGACTGAACATTTTTGTCACACATACACAAAGGAAGTAGAAAGCACTTGAAAAAAACATATAGGAAACTGTTTCTCACCTTAAGGTAGTGACAGCTGGGACAGAAAACAAAAATCACAGTGCACGGCCAAGCATTTTCATCAGAAGTAAAGGTACAGGTGGGGGTGGGCTTCTGTCTTGGCTTCCGCTGCTCGGTTCAGCTTCCTACCAATTGGGTCCTGGGAGCAGCCGTGATGGCTGACGGAGGTGGGTCCCTGCCACCCATGGATGGAGATCTAGGCTCCTGGCTGCAGGTATTTGGGGTGGGGGACAAATCAATGGGCAATATCTAGCTTCCTTTCCTTCTCTCCCTCTTCTCAATTCAAAATTAGAAACATCACTGTCCAGAAAAGACTATTAGAGACACTAAAGTTTGCAACAATGTAGACAAGACTCAAACAAAAGCCCACAAGTTAGAAGATGATTGTTGCTCTAGACAGCACAATACCAATAGCCTAGTGTTAGTGTGTGCAAGAGGCAATTTACAGAAGAAGCAATGTCCAGAATTCCAAAACCTACCAAAAGATGCCCACCTTCTAGCTATGACATTAACCACTAGAAATCAGGGAAATGTAAATTCAACTACAATAAAATTTCACATCCCAGGCACTAACCAACACAACCAAAAATCGGCCTTTCTAATAAAAATTTAAAAATTTAAAATAAAAATTTAAATTTAAAAATAAAAATAAAAATTTAAAATAAATTAAGTTTTAGAAGTTATGCACGGGAATACTACTATCAAGTCTGGTTACTCATTACTTCTGAGGAGAGGAAATCAGCACTAAATCCAAGAATGATATATTGGGAACAATTACAACCTTTTCTCCTTAAGCTTTCTGCTGGGTGCATAACTGTATTATCTATACTCTACTTATGATTTATTTCATAAGAAATAATTAGGCATGTTTTCCACCTCATCAGTGATCAAAACAACTTTTTACCCACTAACGTAGCAAAGAAGTCTATGAAATTTGTGATTCTATTATGAGGAAATAAAAAATTATTACAGCATATGAAGCAAATATGTGTCATTCAGTTCCAGAAAGCTTATCCAAGATTTGCAAAAGCAACACCAAAGTGTAATGAAACTATTGAAAGTAGATTTGCACATGCAGTGATTTTTTTGGTTGGGTAACAGAATATGGAGTGATTTCTACGATTTTTTTTTTTTGTATTTTCAAGTATTCCATAGCCAGCACATTTTATATTAAAGTATAAACTAAAGGAAATGCAGAAGTATGAAGTTAACCTTGAGATTGGCATCTCCTTGGTGTATATGACTATAATAGCATACCACACTAATAAACCTAGGGTGACATAGTTCATGAGACAGACACAAGAGCAAACATGGCTGTGAATTCCAGTCATCCCAGTGTCCAGCGGAGACACATGCCAACGTCCATAGAGCCACAAACTCGACCCCGAGTATAACAGCCCAGTCTGACCGAAAACTCCACTGGGACAACTCAGCTTAGTTCCACACACTCCCAGACAAGGCCCAGTACTCAGTGCCATCCTGGGTGAGCACTTACTGGGTGAACAACCCCCTGAGTGGACAGATGACAGACCTGTTCGCGTGCTGGCCTCACTCTGTCCCGGCTTCCCATCACGTGCTTATTCTCAGGTGTTTCATTAAGCCCAGAAACACTGTCTGACCACTAACCCTTTGTCCGCTGTGTCTTATGTATACTGCAAGCAACTTTGATCTGAACAAGAGATAAAAGCTGTAGCTGCCTTGAGGTATGACATTCTCATATTAACTGAAATAATCTTTCATTACAGTCAAGTCCAAGTTACTCATAGGTTAGAGCAGCCCAATATCCGCTGAACTTATGCTTGGTTCCTTGGAAGAACAACCTCTCTAAATTATATGTCAGTATTTCGTTCTGCTTTAAGATTTTTAGCATATATTACAAGCATCACACAGAAGCAAAATGGTCCAAAACCAAGCTAGTCTTTCTCACTCTGAATTGAGCATTGGGTTTATATTGCTGGACATATTTCAGGTGATCAAGAACACTCCTTGGTTAAATTAAGTGAAATTACTACTCATGATGTTTGATACCCACTGATAAAAGAATTATGGCGTAGCATATTAAGCTGCTGCTTGAGTCGCCAGCATCCACACCAGAGCACCTTCTGGGTACTCTGATTCTGGTCCAGCCTCCCGACACTGTATCTAGGAAAACAGTGTGAGATGGTGCAGGTGCTTGGGCAATCAAAGCT